GGTCTTGAGATTCGATGTTGCGACGACGTCACGTGGGCGTTAGGCTTTGTGTCAGGTTTCAATGACGTGTTTGTTGATATATCCAACTCATTCCGACCTCTTCCTGTTTGACTGGCGGATAGTTTGCCTGTTGTACCACGTTCTTCTCGAAAATCAAGTCCTTCGTGACTTCCTTACTTCCAACGACTGCACCGATGACTTTCCTTTTCTTTGTCGGCTGTGTGTGAGTGGTCTTATACGCTTTAAGCAATATTCCAGCAACATCAGCGCTGGGGACTCCAGACATGGCCTTGTACCCATGTGGAACTATTACGACTCCCCGCTGGTGCGATGATCAAGCAAGGCGACAAACGGAACTGAGAAGAATAGTACAGCCTTCCTCACCGACATTCCACCAAGTACAGCTTGATATGCAATAGCTTAGGTCTCAGAAAGATATTGGCGGTATTTTCCCTGGTTGGAGGTTTGTCAAAACCTGTAAAACAAAACTAGCAACATTTGAATTTCTAATAAATTGCACATTTTTACAAAATAATTATCAAAGATGACTTTCCACACATAACAAAATGCGAGCGCCATTAGGTGATAAAGCATGTGAGTCCCTAAAGATCCCACATTATTTGAAATTTCCTGAACTACCAACGGTTTCATTTTCCTATACGACACCATTTTAACCTTGTTGGTCAATTATAGGAACAGTTTGCAGAACGCACGGACTTGTATATAGGTCCGTGCAGAACGTGAATAGCTATTTATGTAAGCTTCACTAGTTTCGACTGTCAAGTTTGATGAGACTGCTCTACCACCCTACGAGATAGCTGTTGGAAGAGAAAGTATTCACGCTGGTCAAGTAACAAATATGGCGCTTTGCGAAACGAACAGTCTCGATTGATGAGTTAAATGAGAAATTTACAGTTTATAACGAAACATTTACTGGAGAAAATAACAAACGGCAAGAAGTGATATTAACTCCATAAATGACCATCTGTCATTATTTTGCCTTGTCATTGTGGACCTTACGTAAAAAGGACGTCAACAGTTTGTGTACGGCCAAACACTTACGATAAAGGGAGACAATTTAAGGGGAGGTAACTTTTGTATGACAATGGTTCCGTAAAAGTGTCATGTTCACTGCAGTGAAATATCAAGTGTTATGTTCACAGCGGGGAAAATATCACTTTTCTCAACTTCATAAAACTCAGCCTTTCACACTGAAGTATATAATAAATAAGAACCTTCGTCCGTTATTTAGATATGGGCCATACTATCGTGAACACCCTCCTACCAATTCGGATCACAACTTTAAAATCATTACGGATGCAGTCGAAGCATATATGCCCCAAAATGGGTCGAAAGGGAAGATGAATCTTTGAATGTCTTTCAGAGTTGGTTACGTCAGCGCGTGATGTTGTCATTGGTAGAATGCACAAACTGAAAAAGAACCTATTCTGTCGCAACCATAATTCATCCAAAATCTTTCTGTCCTACATGACAAGTTTGTAATTGTTCCCCCTGAGAAGGCCTCAAATAGAATAAACATTATATGTAAGCACACTGCATTAATTGTTTAGTAAAAGAATTTGATATAAGTGACATATCAAATAATGCTACTTATACAGCCAGTATGTTACAGAGGAAAAAATCCGCCCAAACCACGCATAAGTTCTATCAACTTTGAACTTGACCAAAGAGCCATGAAAATCCATACAAAGAGATATATATTGCTGGTTCCAGCTAATGTACCACCAAATCCCTGTCTCAAAGATTAACCATAATCCTTCATACAATCAAGGAAGGACTTTCTTTATATTAACAAAAAGTATTTATTTGAGGCAAGTGGAATTAATACTATGTGGATTATCAAAACATCAAAGGATTTGCTTGGAATCTCATAAATGAACTAAGTTCAATTCTGTCAAAACATTGACTTTTCAACTTTGTTCACCACACGACGCACTTAAAGATAAACTTCATTCCTTGGTCCATAGGGCATGTGTTGCTAAAGTGGTGACCATAGATATCTATCTTCAGAGGTTTAGGACAATTTGTCAAAAATGAAAGCAAATGTCATTTGACGTTCACTGAGAAAGCAATATGTGAGATGCTGGACTTCGTCCTCAGTAATATTAACGTGAAATTTGGGGATAATACATTTAGGTAGGATATAGGCATCGCCATGGGCACCAATACAAACTGTTGATTGATCTGGTTCGAGGCCTCAGTGAAGCTTTCAAGAAATTTATGGTTGGCACGTTGAGGACATTTCCAAATTTTACGCATCAAAGACCAATTGTATATCCGGAGCAATTACCTATGTTGACTTGTACAACCCATGCTTGCTGTACAAAGCGACTATGCTTGTGGTAAGAGGCGACTAACGGGATCGGGTGGTCAGGATCGCCGATTTGGTTGATGCATGTCATTGTATCCCAAATGCGTAGATCGATGCTCATGTTATCAATCACTGGATTGTCTGGTCCAGACTCGATTATTTACAGACCGCTGTCATGTAGCTGTAATATTGCTGAGTGCGGCGTTAAACAACAAACAAACTTTGTTCCCGAGTTTGTTCGGGCGAATGCTTGACTTGCCTTTGTATGTGTTTGTGACGGGTGCCACCGGTTACACTGCAGGCTACACTTGCTATCATCACTGTTTGATAGTGATCCATTAAAACATAATTCTAATGTAGTCGGAATGGTACAATGGACTCTGCCTTTAACAGAGATTTCATATGATTATGGAAAGGGTTTAGTCGCTTTTATTATCATTATAGCTAGGCTTATACATGCTGATAACGGAGCTTCCAACCAGAAATTGGGTCAAAAATACATTATGATTGTTTCAAACTGTGTTTTGACATTAGTTTACACTCGCATTAAAGGTGTCAACCATTTCTTCTGTCTGCTAACATTGTTGAACTTAAATAGCAGCATATTGTCAACCAGAATATGACTAGAATTTCAGGAATATATTATCATACTTAGAAAAATAATTACTTTTATCCGTTCGTTTCTTTACACACCTTAACGTTTATATATTTCTGTGTAATACACGGAGTTCTATTGATACTATAGGTTCAAGTAAATTTTCAATGATATTCACATCCGACCCACTTTTTAATATTCAGTTTTAATAGAAGCAAACCAAACAGGTTCCCTACTTAACAGTGTGGTGGCAGCTAGCCTGGAGACGTGCAGTTGTAGATACGATGTCGATATGATGTATATACGATGTCGATACGATGTAGATACGATGTATCTACATGGTACGACTCTCTCGGCTTCGAAGGGCGTTGCAACATTCTACATTTCAAACTACTACACTTCCAACGTGGTCCGTGTACGTGCTTGTTGACAATTCAGCTTAATTTACAGGTTAATAACGAATTGATTGAAACCTCAAAAACTGAACGTTTCAAAACTTTAAATTTTCATTTTCTGCTGTATTCATACTTCATTGGTGACATACTCATACATGTATTGAAAAACAGAAACCGAAATCGATTATATATCATGTTTCGTAACTGTACCATGGCAATAATAATTTGACTACTATCCGGTTGCCTCCCATCTCTCTTGCCATGTTATGTCTGGAGAAAAACACCGCCTAGCCTGCAGATATAGGTATTTTAGATATTTACATTAGAGAATCATGTAGATAATTCCTAAAGACAAATTAAGATCGATATATATGAAAGTGAAGAAGCGGCGGCGTTGAACTATTTAATTTTTCAATGTACCAAAGAAATTTCTACTAAAATCAGTGTCCATTGTAAGATTTCGACTATGTCATGTGTGTATGAATAAATATCAAATAGTGTTTGTTTGTTTGCTGTTTAACGCCGCTCTCAGCAATATTCCATCTATATGACGGCGGTCTGTAAATAATCGAGTCTGGACCAGACAATCCAGTGATTGACATCATGAGCATCGTTCCACGCCATTGGGATCAATGACATGTATCAACCAAGTCAGCGAGCCTGGTCACCGATCCCTTTAGTCGCCTCTTACGACAAGCATAGTCGCCTTTCATGGCAAGCATGGGTTGCTGAAGACCCGGATCTTCACGGGTCTATCAAATAGTGACACTAACGGTGGGGCAAGATACACTGACCTTTTCGCGAACACCTAGTGCTATCAAATAGTGATGACACTAGGTTTCGCGAAAAGGTCAGTGTATCTTGCCCCACCGTTAGCATCCGTGACAAACTGTTTCAGAGGTAAGTCACTGGGTTGAACATATGAACGAATGGTACAAGTCTCAAAATAGGGAATTACATCGGATGTAAGTTTTGTCACTGATGCGTAAAATTTGGAAATGTACTCCACATGTCTGCCATAAAACCTTTTGAAAGCTATACTGAGGCCTTTAGCCAGATCAAACAATAATTATAACATAGCACACGATGCCACACAATCAACTTTGAACACTCACGCCATTTTACTTACACAAACGACACAAACGTGGATGCCAGGGACCTAATTTACCTCGGAATCCCCGGGTAGGGTAGAAAAAACTCGAAAAGGTCAGAGTGGAAGTTTCTTGGAAATTAACTCTTTATTTGGAACTAAAATATTCATAACTCTTGTTTCCAGGGGAATGTTATGCATTCGGAACACACCATTGAACAGTAAACACATATAAACTTTTTACTTCATTATTAATGGGACTGCCTCCAGTGAACTATTTCATATAAAAGAAACAAAGATGATTAAATGCGCTGTACGCAGTGTCATCACAGCCTGGCAGGATTTGACATTTCTAAGTTTGCCCTTAACGTTAAACCAAAACCTAACCACACCCTATGCATAAATTGGAATGGAACATATAAATTGCTGGCGAAGCAAACATTAAACCGGATCATTGCAGCTATAGTGATTAGTATGTAAACTTATACGTCAAGTTCCAGGCAGTATGATGTGACCTGAGTGACAGTATGCAATGAGTAGTCTCCACACGATGTATGTATGTGAACTGTATCGATATAAAGCTATGGGTATACTGCTTTACGTTTAGAGGCCATAGACGTCACTCCCTGCGCCAGTGTTATGATTGATCAGATCAGCGCCTACCACCATCACTGAGCAGAAGAAGCAACTCACAGGAGCCTGGAAGAAAAGGAAAGTTCAGCTTTAGCATCGGCGAAACAACTCAGCAATCATGCACAAATGTTGTGGAAAGACTTCCAAGCTTCTGAAGGTGTCAGCTCTTGTCCTCTTCATTGCGCTTATCCTTCATCTGATTGGATTTGCCTCACCATTCTGGAGTCAGAGATTCAACTCAAATGAAGGTCTTTGGGAAGCTTGTCAAGCAGGAATATGTCTGTCCACTGACTCCTCGCCTCTTCTGCAGAGTAAGTTTTTATAGGATTTTGTCCTGGGGGTTTTTCATGGCAGATATATTAGCATGCGTCGATTAAAGTCAAAAATTCCTTTTTCGATGAATGTATTTGATACCAAATATAGGCGAAAAACTCTTTTAAGCATCATAGGAAATGTAAAAAGGTAGAGTTGTACGATTGCCTTTTTCTTGTTCGTTTCATTTTAGCCACCCTCAAACAAACACGGTGTATACTTTCTGATGCCCTGTAGTCTATGATAATATGTTTTGAAACAGTAACCGGAAAAATAACCTGCCTCAAACAGTCCCCGGTCGCTTCACAGAATGCTGAATGTCGAACCCTTACAATAATACAATTCTGGAAGAAAAGGACAGTCGGGATGGAATCCAATGCAGGAAGTATTTATTAACAGGCACATATTGATGTATTCCAGCTCAAGAATGGTTCAAGGCAGTGCAAGGGGTGATGATCGTCTCCTTCATCACTGCTGTCGTCACAGTCATCCTGACGCTGGTGTTATTGTTTGCTGCATCCCTGGCACGATCGGTACCTCTCATCATTGCCACACTGGCGTTCGCCGTAGGCACAGGTAATACACTCACTATGGAGTGAGTTTATTAGATTAGTTTAACGCCACTTTGTTATTTCGAGGCGGTTAGTTATGTCACGTTATGTCCTCACGTGGGCGGAAAACCCGAAGTAGTGCAAGTCACCAATTTGGTGAAACCATCGGGCATGGTGCCGATTTTGATGATGAAGCATGCTTCATAAAAAACATGAACCTTCATCAACACATTCGCTACAGTGTATATATACAGCTTAGGTCTTCAAACCTTGCGCATCTGTTCATGTTGGGCGGCAGGTTCGACGCAGTGCAAGCTTGTAAACTTTACATCTCTGAACTCAAAATACCGTTTAAACAGTGTATGGTTTAAATGAACTCATTGACAAGATGGCGTTTCAGCAGTATGTGGTCTAGACAGGATCCTGATTGCAACAAAGGTCTCTTTTGCAGCCCTCGAACAACGTGCACCTACTAACAGTGAAACATACCTTTGTAGTTTTAAGCTTAATATCTTTCATCGATCTTGAGAAACTATCAATGTCTGTACTTCATAGGTGTCTTCATCCTGATCGGCGTGGCGGTGTATGGAGTTCAGGCCAGTGTGCTGTTTGAAGATCTGTTTGGTCAAGAGTTCGAAGTCGGCTTCGCCTACATCCTCTCAGTCATCTCCATCTTCGGCTACTTCATCGTGGCTCTCATGCTGGCTGTTGATATTGACCACAAAGTGACCAAGGACAGAGAGATTGGCGAGGTAAACTCTTCGTATATTCTGAACGATTGTTATGTGTTGTGCTAGAACAGAGAGTGTGGTTTAACGCCTCTTTGATATATCGGCATATATCGGCATGTCATTTACATGGGAAGTTAGTGAGTGAGTGAGTGGAATTTTACGCCGCTTTTAGCAATATCCCATCAATATCACGGCGGGGGACGCCAGAAATGGGCTTTACACATTGTACATTGGGAAAAGAAGGTCTGATGTGACGTTTTCAATTACGGATGGTATTTGCAAACTAAGAATCAGAATCAGGGCGAATCTGCTATTCGAATGCACGATCATGGGATTCTTTCGCGGAATTCTATCATGGAATTCTATCATGGAATTCTATCATGGAATTCTATCATGGAATTCTATCATGGAATCCTATCATGGGATTCTATCATGGAATTCTATCATGGAATTATATCATGGAATTCTATCATGGGATTCTATCATGGAATTCTATCATGGAATTCTATCATGAAATTCTATCATGAAATTCTATCACGAAATTCTATTATGGGATTCTATTATGGGGTTCTATCATGGAATTCTAATATGGGATATTATCATGGGATTCTATCACAGAATTCTAACATGGGATTCTATGATGACAACAGGACCACTTGTATCCCCGCAAGACGAGCGTGTTATATGACGTCGTTTCAGTTACAACGCTGCCACTCAGTTAATATGGGAGCAAAGTAAGCCGAGCCTGCTACTTCTGTCTATATCAAGATAACTGTGTAAGAACCTACACTGACACGTCGCTACATGCAGTAGACCAGAAGTTGTTATCCATTTTTATTATTTACTCACCAACTACTAGAATACCCCTAAAACAGTTCTATCTAGCTACATACGTATTGTAAAACCACGAACCTGGATGTGAAGAATCACACTAAGGATTACAGTCCAGGCAAATCTTGGATTCTAACCAAATTATCTTGAATACAAGACACTTTTAAAATGACACAACTTCTTTAGTCTTTGTAAGACGGTTCAGGGCTAATTCTTGTCCCTTCAGCAGGTGAATCGATATTAAGTGTCATGTATTCACATTGTTCCCATTTCTAAACTTAAAAACTCAAATGATCTTGTCAGAAGATAACAGTGAGTGAGTGAGTCGGGGTTTAGCGTCGCTTTTAACAGTATTACAGTTATATCACGGCGTGTCAGCTTAATGTGGGAGGAAAGCCCGAAGTGATGCAGGTCTTAGACGTTTACCACTTCGGTGAAACCCACGAGCACGGGTATGGTACTGACAAACCGGGAAACATAATCTGGGTGAACCGGGATTCGAACCCAAAATCATAGGTTTCCCAAGGGACGCAACTCTGCACAGCAAATTGCGGCGTCCTAGACGACTAGGGTATCCGGTGCCCCCCAGAAGATGACAGCCTTGAAGGGAATCACTGTGGGAGTTACAAGGAATCCGCAGTATCCCATGATTGTCTAAAAAAAACGATTAATGAAAATCATCAGGTTTCAGTGGTTGACCGTTCTGGCGACATGTCACCGTGCCATGACCGCTGCTCATGTTGCCAGTCATTTTATTACCTGGTCCAAACCCAATAATATACAGACCGTCGTCACATACTGCGTCGTTAAACAACATTCTCCCCTTGGTTGTAAAAATGAAGGATGTAAAATATACCAGGGTGATTAATCAGGTTAGTACATAGAAAGTGAATATGATAATGTGGTTATGGATTGACATTATATCAATCCAAACCAAGATTTTCGTTATTTCCATAAAAAATGTTTTATCCGAATTGTGGTTATGTAAAAATTGACACATGGTACCTCATATCATACATGGGATACATATGCGATTTCTGATTTCCACCACAACCCACCGCACCCCCTGCCGGGATATGACTGGAACATTGCTATTCGTTATCTAAAACTATACTTACTCACTCAAACGGTTTTTCTTTCCCAGGGCGAAGGAGACGCCGAGAGCGGAGAAGCTGCTGACGCTGAAGCCGATGAGCCTGTGGCCGACAATGCTGGGGAAGAAGCAACCGCTTCCAAACCAGATAAGGTGAACATGGCCGAGGACTCCGTGATGAGCAGCTCAGACGCTGGGAACAACGCGAACAACGCGAGCAGCGTGAACAATGCGAACAACGCGAACAACGCGAGCAGCGTGAACTACGCGAACAACGCGAGCAGCGTGAACTACGCGAACAACGCGAGCAGCGTGAGCAACGTGAACAACGATGTTTAATCGGCAGTCAAACCAACTCACCCCCACAACAATGACATCTGACCAACCTTCTTGCCCTAGTATCACAGCCCCAGTGAAAGCCAGGCACACTCCACAATTGTATGAAGGGTGCAGCAGACTATCCTTACTGTACAATCCGAACCAACATATCATCTTTGAATTTATTATGATTATATCTAAGTTAGTCTACATACGCTGTATGAAATGTAATTCCTGTCTCCCTCAGGGCACTTTTAAATTAATCATTTGTAGTTCATCATTCTGTTGAACTGTATGATAATAATACTACGATCTTGAACGTTAGCTTATTACCATTATTTAAATTTGCCTGTGACCACTAAGGGCCTGTGGGCATGGACTTGGATGTATCGCTGCGTGAAATAGGACACTCCATGGAGAATCTTCATAAGAGAAAGTAACCTAGTTGTGTGTTTATGTCTGTTTACAGCTTTCGAAAACGTATGAACAAAGTTTTAGTTTGTTCGAGAAAGCAACACATTCCATATTTGTCTGTAAACCATAACTTGTTAGATGATCAATAAATTGCAAGAACGATATTGAGCTCTCTCTTCATTTCTGTAATCTAAAACAGCAATAAAGCAACTGTCACACTGTCGCACTTGACGACTGTAGCACTTGACGACTGTTTTACCGTCAAACTTGACATCTGTTTTGATGTCACACTTGACGACTGTTTTACTGTCACACTTGACGACTGTCACACTTGACATCTGTTTTCCTGTCACACTTGACGACTGTTTTACTGTCAAACTTGACGACTGTCACACGCGACGACTGTTTTACTATCACACTTGACGACTGCTTTACTGTCAAACTTGACTGTTTTATTCATACTTGACGACTGTTTTACTCACACTTGACGACTGTTTTACTGTCACACTTGACGATTGCTTTACTATAACATTTGACTAATGTCACGCTTGACTGACATACTGTCACACTTGGCGACTGACATACTGTCACACTTATGCCACCTATATGGCGGCCATCTGTGCATAATCGAGTCTGGGCCAAATAATCCAGTGATCTGCTCATTTGGGATACAATATTATAACAATGAGCCTGACCACCCGACCAACATGGGTTTCTGAAGACCAATTTATAACCCGGATCGTCACGGGTAGCTGTAACACATAAGCCAACTTCCGCACATACGTCAACTGTAACTCTTACATCAACTGCCACACACATGTCAACTGTAACTCTTACATCAACTGCCACACACAGGTCAACTGTAACTCTTACATCAACTATCACACACACGTCAACTGTAACTCTTACATCAACTGCCACACACACGTCAACTGTAACTCCCACATCAACTGCCACACACACACGTCAACTGTAACTCTTACATCAACTGTCACACACATGTCAACTGTAACTCTTACATCAACTATCACACATACGTCAACTGTAACTCTTACATCAACTGCCACACACACGTCAACTGTAACTCTTACATCAACTGCCGCACACACGTCAACTGTAACTCTTACATCAACTGCCGCACACACGTCAACTGTAAATCTTACATCAACTGCAACACACATGTCAACTGTAACTCCTACATCAACTATCAGACACACGTCAACTGTAACTCTTACATCAACTGCCACACACACGTCAACTGTAACTCTTACATCAACTGCCGCAAACACGTCAACTGTAAATCTTACATTAACTGTCAGACACACGTCAACTGTAACTCTTACATCAACTGCCACAAACACGTCACCTGTAACTCTTACATCAACTGCCACACACATGTCAACTGTAACTCTTACATCAACTATCACACACACGTCAACTGTAACTCTTACATCAACTGCCACACACACGTCAACTGTAACTCTTACATCAACTGCCACACACACGTCAACTGTAACTCTTACATCAACTGCCACACACACGTCAACTGTAACTCTTACATCAACTGCCACACACACGTCAACTGTAACTCTTACATCAACTGCCGCAAACACGTCAACTGTAAATCTTACATTAACTGTCAGACACACGTCAACTGTAACTCTTACATCAACTGCCACAAACACGTCACCTGTAACTCTTACATCAACTGCCACACACATGTCAACTGTAACTCTTACATCAACTATCACACACACGTCAACTGTAACTCTTACATCAACTGCCACACACACGTCAACTGTAACTCTTACATCAACTGCCACACACACGTCAACTGTAACTCTTACATCAACTGCCACACACACGTCAACTGTAACTCTTACATCAACTGCCACACACACGTCACCTGTAACTCTTACATCAACTATCACACATACGTCAACTGTTACTCCCACACAACTGCCACAGACATGTCAACTGTAACTCTTACATCAACTGCCACACACACGTCAACTGTAACTCCTACATCAACTATCACACACACGTCAACTGTAACTCTTACATCAACTGCCACACACACGTCAACTCTAACTCCTACATCAACTATCAGACACACGTCAACTGTAACTCTTACATCAACTGCCGCACACATGTCAACTGTAACTCTTACATCAACTGCCACACACACGTCAACTGTAACTCCTACATCAACTATCACACACACGTCAACTGTAACTCTTACATCAACTGCCACACACACGTCAACTGTAACTCTTACATCAACTGCCACACACACGTCACCTGTAACTCTTACATCAACTATCACACATACGTCAACTGTTACTCCCACACCAACTGCCACAGACATGTCAACTGTAACTCTTACATCAACTGCCACACACACGTCAACTGTAACTCTTACATCAACTATCAGACACACGTCAACTGTAACTCTTACATCAACTGCCGCACACATGTCAACTGTAACTCTTACATCAACTGCCACACACACGTCAACTGTAACTCCTACATCAACTATCACACACACGTCAACTGTAACTCTTACATCAACTGCCACACACACGTCAACTGTAACTCCCACATCAACTGCCACACACATGTCAATTGTAACTCTTACATCAACTGCCACACACATGTCAACTGTAACTCTTACATCAACTATCACACACACGTCAACTGTAACTCTTACATCAACTGCCACACACACGTCACCTATAACTCTTACATCAACTATCACACATACGTCAACTGTAACTCTTACATCAACTGCCACACACACGTCACCTATAACTCTTACATCAACTATCACACATACAGCAACTGTAACTCTTACATCAACTGCCGCACACACGTCAACTGTAAATCTTACATTAACTGTCAGACACACGTCAACTGTAACTCCTACATCAACTATCAGACACACGTCAACTGTAACTCTTACATCAACTGCCACACACATGTCAACTGTAACTCTTACATCAACTATCAGACACACGTCAACTGTAACTCTTACATCAACTATCACACATACGTCAACTGTTACTCCCACACCAACTGCCACAGACATGTCAACTGTAACTCTTACATCAACTGCCACACACACGTCAACTGTAACTCTTACATCAACTATCAGACACACGTCAACTGTAACTCTTACATCAACTGCCGCACACATGTCAACTGTAACTCCTACATCAACTATCACACACACGTCAACTGTAACTCTTACATCAACTGCCACACACACGTCAACTGTAACTCTTACATCAACTGCCACACACACGTCACCTGTAACTCTTACATCAACTATCACACATACGTCAACTGTTACTCCCACACCAACTGCCACAGACATGTCAACTGTAACTCTTACATCAACTGCCACACACACGTCAACTGTAAATCTTACATTAACTGTCAGACACACGTCAACTGTAACTCCTACATCAACTATCAGACACACGTCAACTGTAACTCTTACATCAACTGCCACTCACACGTCAACTGTAACTCTTACATCAACTATCACACATACAGCAACTGTAACTCTTACATCAACTGCCGCACACACGTCAACTGTAAATCTTACATTAACCGTCAGACACACGTCAACTGTAACTCCTACATCAACTATCAGACACACGTCAACTGTAACTCTTACATCAACTGCCACACACACGTCAACTGTAACTCTTACATCAACTATCAGACACACGTCAACTGTAACTCTTACATCAACTATCACACATACGTCAACTGTTACTCCCACACCAACTGCCACAGACATGTCAACTGTAACTCTTACATCAACTGCCACACACACGTCAACTGTAACTCTTACATCAACTATCAGACACACGTCAACTGTAACTCTTACATCAACTGCCGCACACATGTCAACTGTAACTCTTACATCAACTGCCACACACACGTCAACTGTAACTCCTACATCAACTATCACACACACGTCAACTGTAACTCTTACATCAACTGCCACACACACGTCAACTGTAACTCCCACATCAACTGCCACACACATGTCAATTGTAACTCTTACATCAACTGCCACACACATGTCAACTGTAACTCTTACATCAACTATCACACACACGTCAACTGTAACTCTTACATCAACTGCCACACACACGTCAACTGTAACTCTTACATCAACTATCACACATACGTCAACTGTAACTCTTACATCAACTGCCACACACACGTCACCAATAACTCTTACATTAACTATCACACATACAGCAACTGTAACTCTTACATCAACTGCCGCACACACATCAACTGTAAATCTTACATTAACTGTCAGACACACGTCAACTGTAACTCCTACATCAACTATCAGACAAACGTCAACTGTAACTCTTACATCAACTGCCACACACATGTCAACTCTAACTCCTACATCAACTATCAGACAAACGTCAACTGTAACTCTTACATCAACTGCCACACACATGTCAACTGTAACTCCTACATCAACTATCAGACAAACGTCAACTGTAACTCTTACATCAACTGCCACACACATGTCAACTGTAACTCCTACATCAACTATCAGACACACGTCAACTGTAACTCTTACATCACTTCGGGCTTTCCTCCCACATTAAGCTGACACGCCGTGATATAACTGGAATACTGTTAAAAGCGGCGAAAAACTCACTCACTCACTCACTCTTACATCAACTGCCGCACACACGTCAACTGTAACTCTTAGATCAACTATCACACATACCTTAACTGTCATACTCAAGTCAATTATCACACACACGTCAAGTGTAACTCTTACATCAACTATCACACATACCTAAACTGTCATACTCAAGTCAATTATCACACACACGTCAAGTGTAACTCTTACATCAACTGCAACACATACCTTAACTGTCATACTCAAGTCAATTATCACACACACGTCAAGTGTAACTCTTACATCAACTGCAACACATACCTTAACTGTCATACTCAAGTCAATTATCACACACACGTCAATTGTAACTCTTACATCAACTACCACACACACGTCAACTGTAACTCCTACATCAACTACCACACACACGTCAACTGTAACTCTTAGATCAACTGCCACACACATGTCAATTGTAACTCTTACATCAACTGTCACACATACCTAAACTGTCATACTCAAGTCAATTATCACACACACGTCAAGTGTAACTCTTACATCAACTGCCACATATACCTTAACTGTCATACTCAAGTCAATTATCACACACACGTCAAGTGTAACTCTTACATCAACTGCCACATATACCTTAACTGTCATACTCAAGTCAATTATCACACACACGTCAAGTTTAACTCTTACATCAACTGCCACACATACCTAAACTGTCATACTCAAGTCAATTATCACACACACGTCAATTGTAACTCTTACATCAACTACCACACACACGTCAACTGTAACTCCTACATCAACTACCACACACACGTCAACTGTAACTCTTAGATCAACTGCCACACACATGTCAATTGTAACTCTTACATCAACTGTCACACATACCTAAACTGTCATACTCAAGTCAATTATCACACACACGTCAAGTGTAACTCTTACATCAACTATCACACATACCTAAACTGTCATACTCAAGTCAATTATCACACACACGTCAAGTGTAACTCTTACATCAACTGCAACACATACCTTAACTGTCATACTCAAGTCAATTATCACACACACGTCAAGTGTAACTCTTACATCAACTGCCACATATACCTTAACTGTCATACTCAAGTCAATTATCACACACACGTCAATTGTAACTCTTACATCAACTGCCACACATACCTTAACTGTCATACTCAAGTCAATTATCACACACACGTCAAGTGTAACTCTTACATCAACTGCCACATATACCTTAACTGTCATACTCAAGTCAATTATCACACACACGTCAATTGTAACTCTTACATCAACTGCCACATATACCTTAACTGTCATACTCAAGTCAATTATCACACACACGTCAAGTGTAACTCTTACATCAACTATCACACATACCTAAACTGTCATACTCAAGTCAATTATCACACACACGTCAAGTGTAACTCTTACATCAACTGCAACACATACCTTAACTGTCATACTCAAGTCAATTATCACACACACGTCAAGTGTAACTCTTACATCAACTGCAACACATACCTTAACTGTCATACTCAAGTCAATTATCACACACACGTCAATTGTAACTCTTACATCAACTACCACACACACGTCAAGTGTAACTCTTACATCAACTGCCACATATACCTTAACTGTCATACTCAAGTCAATTATCACACACACGTCAACTGTAACTCTTACATCAACTGCCACACATACCTAAACTGTCATACTCAAGTCAATTATCACACACACGTCAACTGTAACTCTTACGTCAACTATCACACATACGTCAACTGCCACACAAATGTGACGCACCGGTGACGCACTAACATGATATCCGGTGCGATTCCCTAGTTTGAGTTGCACAATATGACCCCGTGTCTATTTAGGTGAACATGAATTTTGCATGTGTTTGCGACGGGAGCCACAGTTGGGACAGGACACGCTCAGCTTTTCGCAAAAACCCTGTATCATCACTGTTTGATAGGGATTCATAAACATATGCTCATGCAATGCACTCTGCTTAAACAGATGTGTATTATGATTGTAGAAACGACGTCGGCTTCAAATGAAGTATCCTGGCATGGAGCAAGCATTACAAGTCGCAAGTCTTAAATGACTTAATGTTATCAGTTATTAGTACTTTTCTGAAGAACTCTCACCCTTGACGACTGTCATACTGTCACACTCGACGACTGCATTACTGTCACCCTTGACGACTGTCATACTGTCACCCTTGACTACTGTCATACTGTCACACTTGACGACAGGCATACTGTCACACTTGACGACAGGCATACTGTCACCCTTGACGACTGTCATACTGTCACCCTTGGCGACTGTTTTACCATCACATTTGACAACTGTTTTACTGTCACACTTGACGACTGTCATAGTCACAGTGGAGAGATTGCGAACATGTCATGTTATAATGGATAATGGAATATGTTTACGTGATAGGTGAACCCATCTGGTTAGGAATGAGGAAAATACAACTTATTCGTAACTGATCAAACTTAATTAACGTGATATCCCGTTCGCTATGTCGAAACAGGATCATAGTACTGAAACTGCATTAGTGTTAGTTCCAATTACCAGTCTGCAATGTGCCGAGGAAGCTCTCATTCGCGTGTTAGGTCTGTCCTGTCATTGCTCGAAAAGAGAATTGGTATCAGCAGAACAAAACTACGGTATAGTCTACATCTTACATCTCAGGTCGAGAGCAATCTGTTTACATTGATGGAATTGGTTCGAAGAAATAAGACATTACTGTTCGGTGTTCCGCAGGGATCCTTCCTAGGACCGAGTCTGTTCACTATCTACATATCACCTCTGGAACACATTATCAGACGATCTGGTTCGCAGTTCCATATGGATGCAGACGCCACTCAACTGTACATGACATGCACACCGTGCAGCAGAACATCGGTGGCGCATATCTTTGCTGATATCAGAGAATACATCATTTCTTTCAACTCTTTGACGAGAAGCCCTTAATCCAGATTGCCAGTCTGTCACTATTGTCATTCAAATTAGGCGACAGTGTTATGGAGCCAAGCACAATGGTGTGCAATATTGGCTATAGGGGGGCTCTACTTTCAGCCTTGGCGATCACACCGGTAACGTCTGCATCCTGACATATTTCAATATCTGAGATATTGACCTATCAGGAAATGCATCAATATCACGTGTGGCTGCAGCCCCCATTCAGGCATTCGTGATATCTCGTCAGGACTATTGTAATGTCCTTCTTTATGGGTTGCCAAAAAGCCAGATAGCAAAGATTCAGTTCGTCAAAAACACAGCATCCAGTGTGGTCATTCTTTCTTAAAAGGATATAACACCTTTACATGTGTACGCATGCGACCGCAGTGGCTCCCGGTCGTAAAGCGTAGATCATCGTAGGGCTATATCATTTTTATAGTATTATTCGAGCTTCGAATCTCATTTAAAAACAAGTTTGCAGTATATAGTTACACTCCCATTCTATATAAGACTCCCTACTTTGAACAAAACAATGTTTACTTAAATCAATACTCATAGTTTAGTTTATTTTTTTATGAAAGAAAACAGTAATCGATAGTAATAAAGTACTCGTTTAATGACCAGAATTTACGTTTGCTGATAATAGGCCCAATATTAAGTAATGTTGTAGTATCTCAGTTACGATCGTCGTAGTGCTAAGATAGATCGCTTTGGACAAGTGGACCCGGGGGCACGGGTGGCCCAGTCGTCTAAGGCGCCGCGATTCGCTGTGCAGAGTTGCGTCCCTTGGACACGCCAGAAACCTATGACTGTGGGTTCGAATCCCGGTTCGCCCCGATTATGTTTCTAGGTTTGTTGGCAGGGATTGGGATGTCTACCTGCAGGATACTGCCTGAGTGATGGTCAAGGACATAATTTGGCGTCCTCAGGACAGATACTACGGTTAAGTCCAGGCATTAGGAGTATGGCCACATTTTCAAAGCGTTTCTAGTGAGAGGTTAATTCAGGAGTGGGGTTCTGCCAAGAGTGATAGAAACTGGGGTAAAATATTCATACGATTTTCATTACATTTTGGCCTATATATATGGATGACAACCATCTCCCTAATAGACCAGCCTCGATACAGATACCAATAAAAGTGGGCTTAAGCTGGGCGGGTCTGTTTGGAAGCAACCTGTTAAGAATAAATCATATTCGCAACTGTCGTTTATTCATACCACGCCTGTTCAAATTATTTGATAGTACAGTCATGTATTTGGAAAAACAGACGACATTTATTGGACCAATGAAAACGAATGTACATGTCATGTGATCTGCAAGTTGTCCAATTCCTAATAAATAATCAACAGTTATCCTTTGGGGCAAACTAACCCACACCTCAACCTTTCAAGCACATCACGCCAGTTCTAGTAATGAGAGAGTAGTCATAAATCATACTTTTAGAAGCCAGAAATTATCAGAACGTTCAGCAAAGATGGGATGCTTGGTGGGATGCTCGAGGCTGTTCAAGGTAGCTTCTCTCATACTGTTCCTTGGCCTCATCGTCAATGCGATTGGATTTGCTTCGCCATTTTGGTCAAACAGATCGCCGGACATCGAAGGCTTGTGGCAGATCTGCGGCAATGGAGTCTGTGAAGGAACCGTGTTTAATCCTTTATCAAGTAAGTGCAGATTCGCCCATAAATTATTAACCGTTAGATTATTAAAATTCGGACAAGCCACGGCAAACAATTACACAGATTTACGTTCCTTTGCCTGATATCAAGTCTTTGAATGGCATTTAGTAGTGATAGACATAAGGAAGAGAATTTTAAGGCTATCAACTTCTTTATTATGAGGAAACACAACGTTTCGGAGTATATGCTTACTCCTTCATCGGGTCCCAAGACCCAAGACCCAATTGCGTGGATCGATGTTCATAACGTCAATCACAGGATTGTCTGGTCCAGACTCGATTATTTACAGACCGCCGTCATTTAGCTGTAATATTGCTGAGTGCGGCGTTAAACAACAAACAAACAAACAAACAAACAAACATAATAAAGAAGTTGACATCCATAAAATTCTCTTCCCTTTGCATGATGCATTGTAACAACCAAGACACCAGGTCACACTTACATTGAAGACAGGCTAGGCTACACGAACCTTGTATTGACCCATTCATCTCGATTATACCTCGATTGAGGCATGCAAGTATCATTTAGGTACCTTTATAGCTGGCCGTGGGTTCGAATCTCAAAATGGTTCCGAATATGTGTCTTGGGCTATCAGGACAAGACCCATGTTCTTGGGTACACCATGGTGGTAAACGTCCTGATCTGTGTCGCCCCGTGGGGAATCGGGTTAGCATTGGTAATGCTGGTAATTAAAGGCAACTAATTGGTGACCCCGTTGATGACATGTCAACGTACCCCGACGGCGTGGGACGTTGTCCATAATATCAGTCACTGGATTGTCTGGTCCAGACTCGATTATTTACAGACCGCCGTCATATAGCTAGAATATTACTGAGTGCGGCGTTAAACAACAAATAAACAAAACAAACATCAGTGAAATTCTGTCAAACGAGTACGTATCAAAGTTATTGTCATATCTATACGTTATTGTTATGCATATATTACTGAACGTCACCGCCACGTGCTAAATACGACGTTAAACAAAAAACAAAAATAACATGTTTCTTACATTGGAATATACCATGTCCAATTTAAATCAAACTAACATTGTATGTCATTGTAGTTGTGTTACTTTAATTTGGACGTGTTATGAATTTATGTTATATACACATGGTCATCAATTATAACTGAAAATAAATGAATTTAAACGAATTGACTTTTCAGCGTAAATTGTTAACAAATATAATAATCCTCAAACGATGTAAATTAAGTAAGGACAAGCTTTATAAATGAACAACTTTTTTATTACAAATAGGAGCGTCGTTTTGATGTAGGTTCTAACACCGTTATCAAGAAAGTTATGTACCATACTATGTACATCATTTGCTTGATAACGGTGTTAGAACCTACACCGAAACGTCGCTCCTAATTGTTATAAAGAAGTTGTTCATCCATAAATTTTATCCTTACTTAGTACTGCCGCCTCTAAATGCCTCTCAAAGAAGGGAATGTAAATTAAATATAAAACATTTTAAGCCAACAATAATGATATGGTATCTCCACACAATGCCAGAGGCCGCCACGTCGAGAAATGTGTGGCAGTCAAGTCACGTGTCGTCATAAACATCATGTATCTTGTCTGATGATTTAAAAAACACTAAAGTATTAGTGTACTTTACAGATGCGGCAAATGTGTACACACAGTGGGATATGGGTCTGCTTACTGTTTCACAACAAAGAACGAAATCACGTTGAAATAAGCATCATGTCACCGCATAATTTCACCACACATACACGTGTTTAGCGAATAGGCAGCGCACATTTGTTTGTATTGCAACCACGGCACACATACGCGCATTTCATTAACGTTAGGACGTACACGCATGGTAGTGACGTGCAGATAAACACGTGTACGTCTGTGGCAGTGCCGTTGAAGCTATCTACATGTTGCGGAGACGTTCAGTAATATATACATAACAGTAACGTATAGATATGACAATAACGTTGATACGTTCTCGTTTGACAGAATTTCACGGATGTTCGTTTTGTTTATTTGTTGCACTCTGCAATATTCTAGCTATATGACCGCAGTTTGTAAATAATCAAGTCTGGACCAGACGATCCAGTCATTGACATCATGAGCAACGATCCACGCCATTGGGATACGATGACTTGCATCAACCAAGTAGCGAGCCTGACCACCCGATCCCGTTAGTCTGAAAATGACGTTCCTATACACAAGTCTGAAAGTGATGTTCCTATACACATGACTGAAAGTGACGTTCCTATACATGTCTGAAAGTGACGTTCCTTTACACATGTCTGAAAGTGACATTCCTATACACATGTCTGAAAGCAACGTTCCAATTCACATGTCTGAAAGTGACGTTCCTATACACATGTCTGAAAGTGACGTTCCTTTACATATGTCTGAAAGTGACGTTCCTATACACATGTCTGAAAGTGACATTCCTATACACATGTCTGAAAGTGACGTTCTTATACATATGTTTGAAAGTGACGTTCCTATATATGTCTGAAAGTGACGTTCGTAGACACATGTCTGAAAGTGAGGTTCCTATACAAATGTCTGAAAGCGACGTTCCTCTACACATGTATGAAAGTGACGTTCCTATACACATTCTGAAAGTAACGTTTCTTTACACATGTCTGAAAGTGACGTTCCTATACACAAGTCTGAAAGTGACGTTTCTATACACATGTATGAAAGTGACGTTCCTATACACAAGTCTGAAAGTGACGTTTCTATACACAAGTCTGAAAGTGACGTTCCTATACACATTTCTGAAAGTGACGTCACTATACACATGTCTGAAAGCGACGTTCCTATACACATGTCTAAAAGCGACGTTCCTATACACATGTCTGATAGGGACGTTCCTATATATGTATGAAAGTGACGTTTCAAAACATGTCTCAAAGTGGCGTTCCTATACACATGTCTCAAAGTGACGTTCAAGTACATGTCTGAAAGTGACGTTCTTATACACATGTCTGAAAGTGACGTTCCTATATATGTATGAAAAAGTGACGTTCCTATACACATTTCTGAAATTGACGTTCCTAAACATGTCTGAAAGTTGCGTTCTTATACACATGTCTGTAAGTGACGTTTCTATACATGTCTGAAAGTGGTGTTCCTATACACGTCTGAAAGTGACGTTTCTATACACGTGTCTGAAAGTGACGTTTCTATACACATGTCTCAAAGTGACGTTTCTATACATGTCTCAAAGTGATGTTCCTATACACATGTCTGAAAGTGACGTTCCTATACACATGTATGAAAGTGACGTTCCTATACTTATGTCTGAAAGAAACGTTCTTATACACATGTCTGAAAATGACGTTCCTATATATGTCTGAAAGTGACGTCCTATACACATGTCTGAAAGTGAGGTTCCTATACACGTCTGAAAGTGAGGTTCCTATACACGTCTGAAAGTGACGTTCGTATACACGTCTGAAAGTGACTTTCTTATACACATGTCTGAAAATGACGTCCTATACACATGTCTGAAAGTGAGGTTCCTATACACGTATGAAAGTGACGTCCTATACATGTATGAAAGTGATGATTTATTCATATCTGACAACCTTTGTAGTTTCTTATATAATAAGATGTGCTTTAGTATTATGTATATATCCGTATATTTGTCGGTTGATATGGTAGTTATGTCGATTAAGGATTACCAATATCACAGTTTGGTAAACATTATAGCATTATAGTATTAGCATCCATTCACATAAGAGATGTAGGCACAATGATTTATGCAGAACACAGTTGAAATTTCTTTTTCCCATGTGCTGTTCACAGGTTCTGATTGGTTCGTTGCTAACCAAGTGCTGCAGACAGTCGGTCTTGGTTTGGCCTTCATCGGCGTTATCATCGCACTGTCTATAATGTGCTCTGCCTGTCTGTTCAACTGCTTCAACACCTGCGGGATCCTTCTCACTATACATGCCCTCCTGGCAGGTAAGGAATGCAGTCATTCTAACTGGGCATGCTGGCTGCTAAGGTGTTCAACTCTCACTATATACGTCCTTCTTGCAGCTAAGGTGTTCAACCCTCACTATATACGTCCTGCTGGCTGCTAAGGTGTTCAACCCTCACTATATACGTCCTGCTGGCTGCTGAGGTGTTCAACCCTCACTATATACGTCCTGCTGGCTGCTAAGGTGTTCAACCCTCACTATATACGTCCTGCTGGCTGCTAAGGTGTTCAACCCTCACTATATACGTCCTGCTGGCTGCTAAGGTGTTCAACCCTCACTATATACGTCCTGCTGGCTGCTAAGGTGTTCAACCCTCACTATATACGTCCTGCTGGCTGCTAAGGTGTTCAACCCTCACTATATACGTCCTGCTGGCTGCTAAGGTGTTCAACCCTCACTATATACGTCCTGCTGGCTGCTAAGGTGTTCAACCCTCACTATATACGTCCTGCTGGCTGCTAAGGTGTTCAACCCTCACTATATACGTCCTTCTTGCAGCTAAGGTGTTCAACCCTCACTATATACGTCCTGCTGGCTGCTAAGGTGTTCAACCCTCACTATATACGTCCTGCTGGCTGCTAAGGTGTTCAACCCTCACTATATACGTCCTTCTTGCAGCTAAGGTGTTCAACCCTCACTATATACGTCCTGCTGGCTGCTAAGGTGTTCAACCCTCACTATATACGTCCTGCTGGCTGCTAAGGTGTTCAACCCTCACTATATACGTCCTGCTGGCTGCTAAGGTGTTCAACCCTCACTATATACGTCCTTCTTGCAGCTAAGGTGTTCAACCCTCACTATATACGTCCTGCTGGCTGCTAAGGTGTTCAACCCTCACTATATACGTCCTGCTGGCTGCTAAGGTGTTCAACCCTCACTATATACGTCCTTCTTGCAGCTAAGGTGTTCAACCCTCACTATATACGTCCTGCTGGCTGCTAAGGTGTTCAACCCTCACTTTATACGTCCTGCTGGCTGCTAAGGTGTTCAACCCTCACTATATACGTCCTGCTGGCTGCTAAGGTGTTCAACCCTCACTATATACGTCCTGCTGGCTGCTAAGGTGTTCAACCCTCACTATATACGTCCTGCTGGCTGCTAAGGTGTTCAACCCTCACTATATACGTCCTGCTGGCTGCTAAGGTGTTCAACCCTCACTATATACGTCCTGCTGGCTGCTAAGGTGTTCAACTCTCACTATATACGTCCTGCTGGCTGCTAAGGTGTTCAACTCTCACTATATACGTCCTGCTGGCTGCTAAGGTGTTCAACCCTCACTATATACGTCCTGCTGGCTGCTAAGGTGTTCAATCTTCACTATATACGTCCTGCTGGCTGCTAAGGTGTTCAACCCTCACTATATACGTCCTTCTTGCTGCTAAGGTGTTCAATCCTCACTATATACGTCCTTCTTGCAGCTAAGGTGTTCAACCCTCACTATATACGTCCTGCTGGCTGCTAAGGTGTTCAACCCTCACTATATACGTCCTGCTGGCTGCTAAGGTGTTCAACCCTCACTATATACGTCCTGCTGGCTGCTAAGGTGTTCAACCCTCACTATATACGTCCTGCTGGCTGCTAAGGTGTTCAACCCTCACTATATACGTCCTGCTGGCTGCTAAGGTGTTCAACCCTCACTATATACGTCCTGCTGGCTGCTAAGGTGTTCAACCCTCACTATATACGTCCTTCTTGCAGCTAAGGTGTTCAACCCTCACTATATACGTCCTGCTGGCTGCTAAGGTGTTCAACCCTCACTATATACGTCCTGCTGGCTGCTAAGGTGTTCAACTCTCACTATATACGTCCTGCTGGCTGCTAAGGTGTTCAACCCTCACTATATACGTCCTGCTGGCTGCTAAGGTGTTCAACTCTCACTATATACGTCCTGCTGGCTGCTAAGGTGTTCAACCCTCACTATATACGTCCTTCTTGCTGCTAAGGTGTTCAATCCTCACTATATACGTCATCCTTAGCGAAAAGGGGTTAAATCCTCACAATGCAGACCCGTCTGGCTGCTGATGTGTTCAATCCTCAATATGTACGTCCTCCTGCTCGGAAAGGGTTTAAATCCTCGCACTGCACATCCTTCTGGTATGTAAGGGGTTAAATCTTCATACTGCGCGTCTTCTGGTATGTAAGGGTTTTAATCCTCATAATGTGCGTCTTCGTGTATGTAAGGGGTTAAATCTTCACAATGCGCGTCTTCTGTTATGTAAGCGGTTAAATCCTCACAATGCGCGTCTTCTGGTCTGGAAGGGTTTAAATCCTCATAATGCGCGTCTTCTGGCCTGGAAGGGTTTTAATCTTCACATTGCGCGTCTTCTGGTCTGGAAGGGTTTAAATCCTCACAATGCGCGTCTTCTGGCCTGGAAGGGTTTTAATCTTCACAATGCGCGTCTTCTGGTCTGGAAGGGTTTAAATCCTCATAATGCGCGTCTTCTGGCCTGGAAGGGTTTTAATCTTCACATTGCGCGTCTTCTGGTCTGGAAGGGTTTAAATCCTCACAATGCGCGTCTTCTGGCCTGGAAGGGTTTTAATCCTCACAATGCGCGTCTTCTAGCCTGGAAGGGTTTTAATCTTCACGATGCGCGTCTATTGGTCTGGAAGGGTTTTAATCCTCACAATGCGCGTCTTCTAGCCTGGAAGGGTTTTAATCTTCACGATGCGCGTCTATTGGTCTGGAAGGGTTGAAATCCTCACAATGCGCGTCTTCTGGCCTGGAAGGGTTTTTATCTTCACAATGCGCGTCTATTGGTCTGGAAGGGTTTTAATCCTCACAATGCGCGTCTTCTGGTCTGGAAGGGTTTTTATCTTCACAATGCGCGACTTCTTGTCTGGAAGGGTTTTAATCCTCACAAATCACGCTCCTCTGGTAGGACAGGTGTTCAATTACGCGATGAATAGTGTCCTCCTACGCGGTACAGAAATTATTAACTGTATATATCCTAACTTCCTATTCACAAACATTTTAGTGAGTGAGTAGCCATGTACGCCGGCTGTTCTTAGCAAACTAAAGTAGCTCACCTCCCATACAAACTAGTGTGCATATCAAAGATTGTAATGCTTCTAAGGGTACGTCATCGATTGCTTTTATCATTTCAATGTTTCAGATTGTTGTGTGGATTAAACGAAGATTGGTCATGATATCAACACCTAAAGTCCTACACTTTATTTTTGCAGCTATTCTGTTGATCGCAGGGTTAACACTATACGGAGTTCAAGCTAAGATCCTGGACGCCTCGATCAATTTCCTGTTCGCCTTCTGGCTGACTTTGGCGGCTGGGGGACTCTACCTCGTGTCCGGCATCCTCTTCAGCGTCTCCGTGGACAGAGACTGGAAGCATGACGATGACGCTGTAGAATAAAGCATTAAACAGCAGCCTTAATATCAGAACAAACCACACAAACTATGTCTGTGCCCACTGTCTTACTCTTATTTATCAAATGTTAAGGTATGAGGTGCGGTGGGGGTGGGGTTTATTATTATTATTATTATTATTATTATTATTATTATTATTATCTTCCTTGGTGCGCATGCACTGATTGTTGTGGTATGCTAAGAAGTTACACTTCGCGTATTTTGTACAATCTGAGAAAAAAGTTAATGTATTCGCGTGTGTGCATTGGGACAACATTAGTTTCCACTGTGGCTCTTATTCAGAACAGGGGGCCACGGTTGGCACAGTCGTCTTAAGCGCCGCGATTCGCTGTGCAGAGTTGCGTCCCTTTGACACGCCAGAAATCTATGATCGTGGGTTCGAATCCCGGTTCGCCCCGATTATGTTTCTAGGTTTGTCAGCACTATACCCGTGATCGTGGGTTTCATCGAAGTGGTAAACGTCTGATACCTGCGTCACTACGGGCTTTCCTCCCACATTAAGCTGACACGCCGTGATATAACTGGAATACTGTTAAAAGCGGCGTTAAACCCAACTCACTCACTCACTTATTAAGAACAGAATGCGTCAAACACATTTCTGAGGCTCGGTGCAAGGTTAGAGACGAAGATCTACGATCTGCGCCACTTGGAGCTTTTCTCCCACATCAAACAGGCATGCCGTGGTAAGACTGAAATACTGTTCAAAGCGGCGTTACACCCGAGTTAACCTGTGCCACATTGAATCGGTATCTGTATTTTAGCTCATGGCACCTGCACTGAAAGCAACATTGTAACTTAAAATTATTATTCAAGAGTTTGATACAAGAGCAGCACACAGACAAGAAACAGCCCCAACCCACCAGTTAATCTCTATATTCTGCCTTTCTGAACCTTCTTATCTTATTCCGTTATCATACGTCATTGAACTGATCGTTTAGCATTTCAAAGTTTTATTACTGCTTTCTTGAAATACGAGCACACACAGGTGTATTTTGCTATATCAATTTCTTTTCATAACTGCCTTGGGGGTTGATGAATCTTGCGTTAGTTAACTTCACCATGACACTGAATTCTAACGTTATATTATTTATGTTTCCATTCTATTCAAAATAGTATAGAACGGTTCTTCAAATAACGAGGAAAGAACATCTAACGCGCATCTCTACACAGCATCATATACATGTATACTACTAAACATTGGCTAGGGATATTGAGGTATGGGATTTTATCTTATCAGTTTGTCCCCACTAAATGTTGAGTGATATAATTATATAAGAAAAGTAACTCTCGCTAGGAAAAACATTACATGTACCTTTTTATGAAAGAATTTGTCAGGAAGTTGTGTGTGAGTTTGCGTGACATTTTGGCGCTTGTCGGTCGTATTAGAGGAGGCCATTTCCAAATGTGATGCATCAGTGACTAAAATGTTGTCTAATGCCTTTGTATATGGTCGGGTGCCATCGGTGGGGCGTACGTTGTCGCTAACACCTGTTATTTTCACAAATTGATTGTGATTCATAAATACATACTTATGATATAGTCGAATCGTACAACGGCATAGATATTTCAAGATGGTTTTGTCGTGTTAATGAAGTAGCAAGCCTGACAGAACAGTGGAGCCCTGTAGTCAGAACCCTATTAATCCGGAAACTGTTTGTAACATACATGTTTTAGAAACGGTTACGTCCGGTTTAGCGGGGTTCCACTGTATACAATTCAAGTCATGGAGTAATTCGACATTATTTTGGGTTCCTGATCTGTACCGAGAACCTAAACTGGGATCTCCACTTCTAACAATGGAATCCCTAGGTATATTCGAAACCTCGATAACTCGAAGTCATGTTGACCATCGAAACTATTTCGAGGTAGCCGTTGTACGAATTTTACTGAAGATGAACTATGCATTATTGAGGTCATCTATTCTAAACCTGATAGTAAACTATAATACATCTGATGTACTGATGAAGTAAAACCTCAATATTTTAAATGGTCATATAAAATGAAAATTAAAAGTAGGCAATACTCCAATACGCCAAACACCGTTAGAGTCTACTTCCTCCGATCCATAACTATTCGCCACCTTAGCCTAAACGAACTGTTAACTTTAATCAAGACTGAGCCTTTCGTACCTTGTCCACTCAAATGGACATGTTTGAGAAAAGAATTAATCGTTTGTCCCCATTGTTCTTCCAAAGATTCGAATTTTATTTTTATTTTATAGTTTTTTTTGTAACTCTATTGCGTTACGTACATGATTAGCGCTAATTTCAGAGGGCAGAATTCCATCCATCCTCAATGCTTTATTGAAAAACAAACGTAAGACATTACCCCCGTACTAACGGTATGAACAACGCTATGGTATTTACGTTTAAATATCGTGAATCGCCAGAAGCCATCACCGTGTAGTAGCCATATTGATACGTCAATTAAAGAATCCAGGCACAACTGATAATATATTAAGAAAAAAGACTACAAATTTGGTTCGGACGAATTAAACCTTTTGGCATCCTACTTATTTTGTATTGGAGTATTGCAATAGCGGAGGTCACTAGATACACAGGTGTACCCCCCATTGAGCATGTCTTTGGAAAGAATATTAATATTTTGTACTCACCTTTAATTATGGACTCTGCTGCTGGTCGTGTGACAGAGATGACTGCCCTCGCATCATCAGCGTGTGCAACAGAATCATCTCTGGTTACCTCTGTGTATGCAATCAATGAAGTCTTAAAGGAGTACTATACTAAGACAAATTGGCAGCCCCAGCAAGTTTGAATCAAAACGTTAAACATTTCTTTGTTTGTCTTCTAACTCCAATGCCATTGAGATCAATCAATCAGTTAATTGTTTCACAGCTTACACAGAGACGATTAGTCGTAAGATACTTAATGTGTCGGCAAGACTAACATTGTGAATAGTCCTCTTAAACTTGAAATCACTACGTGAATACTTGAGTATTGTCCTTTATTACGAAAGATCATTTTGGTTAAATAATCAAAACTTTTATATAGTGACAACTGAATTTCCATCTATTTTAAACACTCATATATATTTCTTATGTTTATATTAGTTCCCAATATTATATCAATACATGTTCTATATACACTCAGTTAATCAAACACGGCCGATGGCATCATATGTATGTTGCGACTGATGTATGAAGAGTGTGATTGTGAGTATGAGAATGATTGATATGCGAATGACTAAATTGTTTCAGTTAACGATTACAAATCGAAGTGATACATGTTCGGTTTAGCGTACTTAGAGCACTCTTTTAAAATCCAAATAAAAACTAAAATATCTTTACTCAGTTCACTATCCGTCTATATTATTTCTTACAAGGTTGTTTGGGTTGGTAGGTGTAGTAATAAAAACTTCCTGTCTTGTTTCAAGTGCGGGTTGTTTGCTATTTTTACAGTAACGTACATATTTTTATCTATTTTTTCTGTCAGAGAAGGCTTTGTACTCTTAGCATGGGCTTTACAGTAATTTCCAAAAGTAAATTACTTTCGTTAGATTTTTGTAGCATATTTTAATGTTTTTATCAATCGAAGAAATATATTTTGAATTATCAGCTTCGCCTCGAAATCGTACCCACCTTGATGGTTGCAAAAACAGTTTTACGTCATAAAACAGACAATACAGAATTAAAGCAATACATGACATACACCGTTGAGCACACTGATACAGTTATATACAAACTCGTACTTCGATGTTCAGATTTTTTGCTTGTTTTAGTAGTAATGTCATACATAGGTCATATCTAACTACCCGTGGAGAAGAGACACCCCACAATCACCTATACCTGAGGGAGACATCAGCGCTTACACACAAGTTAATTCTAAATGCATTTTATGCATAGTTGTACTTAACAGAAGAACCTTACAGCTACGAATAAAACGCATTTGACTTATTGTGTTCTGTGTAAAATGTCTCAATTTTAAAAATATTCCTGAATTAAGAAAAAAGATCACAAATAAATAGAATCAGCTGTTGTAGCAATATGAAACTTCCTTCTCTGGTCGACATGTGAAGGAATGTGGCCATATGTGAACTACATGCTTGGTTTCAGAGAATTAATCCGGGGCTTGTTTATTTCCTGTGTTGATGATAAGCAAATAAACGATTGTGCATGGTTTCAATGACTTCTCTTTTTGGTTGACATTGTTGGCAACGAGCAAATAGAGACATAATTCCAATTGAGGAGCACCGGCTGATTATTCCGTAACATTGGTTTGCTTGTACGGTAGCACGGTCCCTTCCACTCATTAGTTGGTTGGTTTGTTGTTTTACGCCGCACTCAGCAATATTCCAGCTATGTGACGACGGTCTGTAAATAATCGAGTCTGGACCAGACAATACAGTGATTGATATCACGAGCACCGATCCACGCAATTGGGATCGATGACGCATCAACCAAGTCAGCGAGTCTGACCACCCGATCCCGTTAGTCGCCTTTTACGGCAAGCATGGGTTGCTGAAGACCTATTGTACCCCGGATCTTCACGGGTCTCCACTCATTAACCCTCCTGGACTTGACATAAAGAGACAAGTGAAATCGCCTCATCTGTATCATATTTACATCCACGCATTAAGATTCAGGGTGACAAAACACTCTCCACAAAACACTGTCGAGTAATATTCCAGCAGCTTCTGCCTTTGGTTTTGGTTTGTTGTTTTACGCCGCACTCAGCAATATTCCAGCTATATGACGGCGGTCTGTAAATAATTGAGTCTGGACCAGACAATCCAGTGATTTACATCATGAACATCGATCCACACAGTTGGGATCGATGACATACATCAACCAAGTCAGCGAGCCTGACCACCCGATCCCGTTAGTCGCCTTTTACGCCAGGCATAGTCGCCTTTTACGGCAAGCATGGGTTGCTGAAGACCTATTCTACCCCGGATCTTCACGGGTATCTGCCTTTGGTGTCTGCGTTTCACAACTTTTGCGGCACATTAGAGCATGCTCTTTCTACCAAGATTTCAAAGACCACCATACTTCTCTTGCTCAAAGGTTTATCAGGATCACTTTCTTGCTTGTTACTTACTTACTTGATTGTTGAACGCCACACTCAATAATATTGCAGCTATATGACGGCGGTCTGTAAAAAATCGAGTCTCGACCAGACAATCAAAGATTGACACCATGAGCATTGATCCACGTAATTGGGATACGATGACATGCATCAACCAAGTCAACGCGCCTGACCACCCGATCCCGTTAGTCGCCTCTCACGTGCTTGTTGTAAGAGCGGACACACTTCGAGGAAGGGTCGTCTTTCCCTTGTGTTGTGCCCATATCTTCACGGGTGGCTTTTGGTGTTAAGCTTTCTGCAAGTACTTTCTGCAAGTACTTGATCACTGCACATGCCTCAACTTTGTCCACTTTCCAATGTGAAGACCATATGCTCCACAATAGTGACCACCTATTGTTTCGCAATATTCCAGCTGTTTAACAGCAGCTTGTAAATAATCGCGTCTGGACCAGACAACCCAGTGATTGATATGACAAGCATCGATCTAGTTTGTTTGTTCATTGTTTAACGCTGCACTCAGCAATATTCCAGCTAATAATCAAGTCTCGGCCAGACAATCCAGTGATTGACGTCATAAGCATCATGAGCAATGACATGCACAAACCAGCGAGCCTGACCACCCGATCCCGTTAATCGCCTTTTATGGGTTGCTGAAGACCTATTCTACCCTGGATCTTCACGGGTGGCTTTTGGTGTTAAGCCTTTTCTTCTGCAAGTACTTGATCACTGCACATGCCTCAACTTTGTCCACTTTCCAATGTCCATAGGTAAAGACGATATGCTCCACAATAGTGACCACATATTATTTAGCAATAGTCCTGCTGTAGGACATCAGTTTGCAAATAAACACGTCTGGACCAGACAACCCAGTGATCGACATGGTGAGCATCGATCTAAACAATGACATACAATGACTCAGCCATCAGTAGTGATTCAGCCATATTGAGGTAGTTCAACAATACACAATACAAGTGTCATGCATCAAGAGAAAATAACTGACAATGCCAAGTTAAGAATACACTTTATTAACAAAATTGTCTCATTGAGAAGTTTGTAAATATTACAAGTAATATGTTATTGCTAGTTCAGTATCTGTGCAACATCACAGTCAATGCTTAAAGTATCCTCTCTAAACAAATACTTCAAGTGTCAAATAAACTCGGGTCCAGTGCAAAGACACACCTAATACTGTCCTGTAAACAAATCACAGAAACAGAAAACAATATATAAGCAAGCAGTGGATTGTCACAAGCATCAACAAAATGAGATCATTTACATTATTTAACTAAATGCATGGCGATGAAATTTGAAGTGTAAACAGAAGCTACAAAACAACTATTGTGACTTCAGCATTGTTCATTATACAAAGGGGGCGGTCTGGTAGCCCAGTGGTTAAAGCGTTCACTTGACACGCCGAAGACCAGGGTTCGATTCCTGACATGGGTACAATGTGTGAAGCCCATTTCTGGTGTCCGCCGTGATATTGCTTGAATATTGCTAAAAGCGGCGTAAAACCATACTCACTCACTCACTCATTATCCAAAGTGGAGGATCATTTTTTCATCAAGGCAATGCAACACATAGGAATTCCAATAATCAACCATAATCAATAATCATAATAATAAATATGTACAAATAGTGCACAAAAAGTAAAATTGTCTTTTTCTAGGATAACAACAAATTTAACACGGTTCTCATGCAAAAGGGTTTCCAAATGGGTGCATGTTTAGGGAGGGGGTTTAATGCAAGTGTAGTTCTCATCAAAGTGGACAGGTGTCTTCTTCACTCTGTATATTAATACTAGCCATGAGTAACGGACAAGTGAGTGATCAGGTTGCAGTCCGTAACATTCTGGCTATATTCTGTGAAGAATTAATCTGGACAAGGCAAACCATTTGTTACAGTTTGAACAGGACTTTGTGCTGTCTAGGTACAGTGACAAAACACAGTAGCAGATGACCAACTGTAATCACCTAGAATATTCAAAGTTAATAGTCTGTACCTCCTGGCAAGTTCCTGCGAGGGATTGGTATGTCAGAGATATCCAAACCTATTCTGAATACCATAGTTCAAATGTAGGATAATTTAAGACATAAAAATAGTAGAAAATGTTTTTCAAAACATTTGGAAATGGGGCATTTGTGAAGAAATAAAATAAATATGGTTTTCCAACAGGTTGTTTTTAAAATATCAAAAGAGATACAAATTTGACAAGCGCACCACGATCTCAGTGATACTTTTAACATGAACAGTGCAATAGCAGCAATGCAGGGAGTTGATTATGGAAAGCTCTTTGTTGCCTTCAGTGAATATTTTCAAAAATAATGATGAAACATAAACATCAGTATGGACGGCATTAATATTCTTAACAGCTCAGTAGCTCACCTGCCTTGAATACAGTTAACACTGAGGTCTGTATACACAAAATGAGTTTATAAAATTACATTAAACAGCAGGTAAATCCATTCGGGTGACAGTGCAAGTAGGATTCACAAGGGTCGCCTCATACACTGCCAATAAAATCCCAATACATATTTATACATAATCAATTAATAAGAATAAAATTACATACAAAAATATTTTATTGAATCTGAATTAAATAAGGAATGATAGATATGATGTAATTTGACATCCTGATTTACTCTCTGTCTGTACAGCATAGCAACTATCTATACAGAAGCTTCCACTACAACAAATGTTTTAACTATTGTCACAAATTTAAACATGAATATTCCTTCACTTGGGATTTACAAGGGTTATTTTATGGGGTATATGAGACTGAAAGCCTTTAATAGCAAGGTATAAAAATGGGAGTCACAGAGAAAAGACAAATATTGAATACAGTACTCTACTACTGTGATGAACGGTCATGCATACTCAGATAGTGAGTTTCCCAACTCAAATAAATCTAAAAGTGTCAGAGCTATAAGTTCGTGAAGTGTGTATGGTATTTTTTTAAATGATCAGTTTTAAGTGGAACCAAATTATGAAACAGCAGCATTCATTCCTGAACATTTTCTGCATTCCAGTGGATGCACTATGTTATTGCATTTGTTTCCTATGTTTATGCATATAGGATACAGGGTTACAGTCCTGTAAATACCTTCCTTAAACCTACAGGTGAGGTGAGGTGAAATAGGGTTTAACGTAGCGTCCAAGATTATTGCACTTATATAGTGACGTGCATACACGTGTGTGTGTGTGTGTGGCTGCTTGTACTAGTCCGGACTGATGCCGATTTATAGTGCTAGCTCACTGAGATACAATGCCGCAGTTTAACATGAATACCCCACACAGACACAGTATACTGACTCCGAGCCGACCTGTCCTTGTTTCAGCCCCTTAATGCAGAGCGCCAGACAGGGTAACAACAAGTACCATCTTTTAACGTCTTTTGGTATGACACGGCCGGGGATTGAACCCCGGACCTTCCGCTCTCCGGCAGACGCTTTACCACTAGACCACGGAGGCGGTTACACCTACAGAATTAAGGCCATGATGTTCTAATATACAATGAATGAATATAAACCTATGTACAGGAAATACAATATATTACATATCAAAGCCATCATACTCTAGTGAATAAAAAGATCAGTTTGTAAGATACAAGTAGAGTATATATACATGCCTGTAGAACATATACACAGTGTATATACATGGCTGTAGAACATATACACAGTGTATATACATGTCTGTAGAACATATACACAGTGTATATACATGGTAGTAGAACATATACACAGTGTATATACATGGCTGTAGAACATATACACAGTGTATATATAGGACTGTAGAATGTATACACATTGTATATACATGCCTGTAGAACATATACACAGTGTATATACATGTCTGTAGAACATATACACAGTGTATATACATGTCTGTAGAACATATACACAGTGTATATATAGGATTGTAGAACATATACACAGTGTATATACATGCCTGTAGAACATATACACAGTGTATATACATGGCTGTAGAACATATACACAGTGTATATACATGGCTGTAGAACATATACACAGTGTATATACATGGCTGTAGAACATATAAACAGTGTATATACATGGCTGCAGAACATATACACAGTGTATATACATGTCAGTAGAACATATACACAGTGTATATACATGGCTGCAGAACATATACACAGTGTATATACATGGCTGTAGAACATATACACAGTGTATATACATGTCTGTAGAATGTATACACAGTGTATATACATGGCTTTAGAATGTATACAAAGAGTATATACAGGACTGTAGAATGTATACACAGTGTATATACATGGCTGCAGAACATATACACAGTGTATATACATGGCAGTAGAACATATACACAGTGTATATACATGGCTGTAGAACATATACACAGTGTATATACATGGCTGTAGAACATGAACACAGTGTATATACATGGCTGTAGAACATATACACAGTGTATATACATGGTAGTAGAACATATACACAGTGTATATACATGGTAGTAGAACATATACACAGTGTATATACATGGTAGTAGAACATATACACAGTGTATATACATGGCTGTAGTACATATACACAGTGTATATACATGGCTGTAGAACATATACACAGTGTATATACATGGTAGTAGAACATATACACAGTGTACATACATGGCTGTAGAACATATACACAGTGTATATACATGGCTGTAGAACATATACACAGTGTATATACATGGCTGTAGAACATATACACAGTGTATATACATGGCTGTAGAACATATACACAGTGTATAGACATGTCAGTAGAACATATACACAACATCTGTAACACCTGCGAGCAGATTCCCCATGGTCCTAAGTATGCAGGATACATGCTCTATCACAGACTTTCTAAGTTATCAAATGATGCCATTTTAGGTCATAATAAGCATTACAATACAAAATCACACATTATCACATATGTCATATCACAGATATCACACAACCTTCAAGTCACACAATTACCTATACATCATGATTTGCCATCTCAAACTCCTATACAGGAATAAATACCTCTAAAAGACAGTATGAAAGTTCAAGTATTTTCATCATTGTTTGGTATATGCACATCACACATGCACATGTAAATAAATACTATTCATATGAAACACATACAGACATTTAAGGCCAGACTTTATTTATGGACTTATTTCAAAAACCTATATTTGTTTCCTTCAAAAGGTTAAATGAATATTTTGCTGTGTTTCATTGTTAAACCTGCCTTAGAGTCTAACATTCTGTTTAAATAAAGGAGTTAAGGAGAGAGAATTACCTCCTTTTCAAAACTATGCTGACAATAAAAGTTCCTCCCTTAACGTCCCACCAACACATCAAGTAATCTGCATAAACTAGGACTAGGACGTGTTAGGCTTTGTCATCAAACCTCCATTGCATGTCCAATAATGCAAGGCTGTTGTGTAGCATGGTGGATTTACATGCTATTGAAATGAAAATCACCTCTGGTTACTATCATCTAAGGTATAAAGCTACAGATAGTGCTGCACTCAAGACATATCTTATTTGTATATGGGTTCTCCACAGGGTGAAATACAGGAACACCATGCTACCAGAGGGCAGTCCACAGCTACATACAAGCTACCACGGGCCTCCTGAGTACCCCAATCTGGGCAATACAGGATCACCATGCTACACAATAGCATGTTGGCACACCATGCTACATTATAGCATGTAGGGACTCCATGCTACAAGATGGCTAGTAGGAACAACATGCTACACAATGGCATGTAAGAACACCATGCTACACAATGACATACAGGAACACCATGCTACAAGATGGCAAGTAGGAACACCATGCTGCACAATGGCATGTAGGAGCACCATGCTGCACAATGACATGTAGGAACACCATGCTGCACAATGACATGTGGGAACACCATGCTGCACAATGGCATGTAGGAACACCATGCTGCACAATGGCATGTAGGAACACCATGCTGCACAATGACATGTGGGAACACCATGCTGCACAATGACATGTAGGAACACCATGCTGCACAATGGTATGTAGGAACACCATGCTACACAATGACATGTAGGAACACCATGCTGCACAATGACATGTAGAAACACCATGCTGCACAGTGACATGTAGGAACACCATGCTGCACAATGACATGTAGGAACACCATGCTGCACAATGGCATGTAGGAACACCATGCTGAACAATGACATGTAGGAACACCATGCTGCACAATGACATGTAGGAACACCATGCTGCACAATGACATGTAGGAACACCATGCTGCACAATGACATTCTACGGCTGGATACAGCTATCAGGATGTTCTGGGTTTCTCCGGGTCCAGCATCAGTGTCTTTATCTGCTGTTGCTGATCGCTCACTAGTCTCCACAACTGAAATAAAAAACAATTGAAGATGTCAGACACCACACTATAGTTAGTTCATTATGGAATGCAGTGGATATATCAGGTCAGACTATTCCTATTTCCTGCTATACTTGACTTGCCCGACTTGTCAGTAAAGACATTAAATAAACCAAAGGTACAGAAGCTCACCTTTACTAACTGACATAAAGTGATATTAAGTTTCTGCATGTTCATGTTCCCATAAATGATGAATACACACATATTTCTTTTATAATTTAGTACAAAAGCTTTCCAAAACTTATCCCTGATAATTTCACTTTAGCATTCTTGCAACCTTGACCTTTACAAAGGCGTCAACCAAATTCCATACAATTTGAGACCTTGACTAAAATGCCATGAATGCCTAGATTAATGACCATCCTCTAAAACAATCTCAAGTTATTTAGTGGGGCCATAAGCTGTTTGTATGATTATTTCAGTGAACTTGACCTTCAAAGCCATCCTATCACATGCAACAAAGCCTCCTTTTCAGACACATGCCATTGCAGCCATTTTGATTTTTTCAAAATTAAAACCATATTTCAGAGTGTAAATGCAATGACCATCCTCCAAAGGTCTGAAAGCAACATGTCCAATAGGTCTACAGGAGAAGTGGCTAGCATGAAATCTATATTCTTCACTGTTATGTGCAGTGACCATGGACATTTTGAATTTTTGAAAATGAAAAGAATACTATGTTGTAATATATATTCTTGATATGTACAGTAGACTTGAAGATGAAAAGTATCTTACTTCAGTGATAATGGGACAGATGGACAGTTCATGACCTTAGGTCACTCCGACAATGTCAAGGTCAGCTAAAATGTGATCAAAGTGATCCATACATAGGTCCAGAAGTCACAGTGCCCACCGGAAATGTGACTTGTGTTTGTGATAGTATAGAGAGATCAAGGGATGCTGTATCAAAGTGAGGAGATTGGGCGCCCAAGTAAAATTAAAATGTCTGTGACAAATGACCATGAATAGCATGTTTGTTAAATAATATCATACCTTCTTATTTTCAGCTTCAAGATGTTGTATTCTTGCTTGTAGATGACCTACATCCTGACTACTAGTTTCATGTTCCTGGAAGATAAATAATCACAGTACATGAGAGACAATAATCCAGTGATTGATATTGTGAGAGACAATCCACATTGTAATGGTACAATGATATGCAATCAACTAAGTCATCGAGTCTGATCACCCGATCCATTGTCGCCTCTTACGACAAGCACTGTCTTCGAGTCCCAGTCACACTTGGCTGTGCACTGTTTGCCATAAGTCATGCAAGAATCTGATAACTGTGGGTTTGAAGATTTAACCGGATTTGCCCTGGTTAGGATTCATGAGTTGTCAGACCGCCTTTGTGGTCTAGTGGTAGAGCGGAAGGTCCGGGTTCGATCCCTGGCCACGTCATACCAAAAGACGCTAAAAGATGGTACTTGCTGTTACCCTGTCTGGCGCTTGGCATTAAGGGGCTAAAACAAGGACTGGTCGGCTCTGACTCAGTATACTATGTCTGAGTGGGGTATTCTTGTTAAACTGCGGCATGGTATCTCAGTGTGCTAGCACTATATATCGGCATCAGTCCGGACTAGTGTAAGCAGCCACACAAACACACACACGTGCATGCACGTCGCTATATAAGTGCAATAATCTTGGACGCTACGTTAAACCCCATTTCACCTCACCTCATGAGTTGTCAGCCCAATTCTCTCAGGTCTCATGAAAGTAGTAAATGTTTATGAACAGAAACACTTTGAGTTTTCCACCCACAAAGGGCTGACATTCAGTGACAGAACTGAAATACTGTTCAAACTAGAAATATTGTGGATACTCACACTTGTCTGAGCTGCTGTGTCTGATATCTGCTGTGAAACCAGGTGTACATCTGGCATCTGTAGTCGGAGAGACGGATGACCACTTGATCCACTGGCTAGCTGGCCGGAGCCTCCGATGTCTGGACTTGGGGTGCAGGATGGTATAGGTATCACTTCAGCATCATTCAACTCCTGTAGAACAGACGAGGTGAGGTGAGGTGAGGTGAGGTGAGGTGAGGTGAGGTGAGGTGAGGTGAGGTGAGGTGCTGAGCGCCTTGCAAGGGGGTACTGTATATATTCTATAATATTTTCTACTTGAACGTTTTGAGTATAACTGTGACACATGCACTCTCTCAATGTGACACAAATGTGTAAATGTCACAGTGTATTAAGTATTCTTAAAAGTTAAATGCTATTTATTAAATTTTAATTAAATTGTTAACATGGTAAGTGTTTGTTTGCTTGTTTGTTGTTTAACGCCGCACTCAGCAATATTCCAGCTATATGACTGCGGTCTGTAAATAATCGAGTCTGGACCAGACAATCCAGTGATTGACATCATGAGCATCGATCAACGCAATTGGGATATGATGACATGCATCAACCAAGTCAGCGAGCCTGACCACCCGATCCCGTTAGTTGCCTCTTACGACAAGCAAAGTTGCCTTTTATGGCAAGCATGGGTTGCTGAAGACCTATTCTACTCTGGATCTTCTCAGGTCACACGGTAAGTGTCTTCCCCATATGCCTCTATAGTGAAGTGTGAACTTGGCGCTGTATATAATGATAGTAATGCACCATAGAAGCCAAACTAACACCGTTCTTTTTTTCATTTGGAAAGTTAGACATTTCAATAATCTATAAGAATTACTCAATCTTAGAAAACATTGAATACATTTGTAATTGAATAAAGATGAGCGGCCATTATTTATTACAGAAGTGAACACTTAAAGGAAGGCTACATGACATCCCCTCACCGCTTCCAGCCAGGGAGGGACGGAGCTGTTGGTCAGTGCCGCTGTGTGCTGAGCCGACTCGGGGGGAGTGCTGGGTTTCCCCGAGTCGAGACACAGTGCAGGGACATGGGGGCTGCTGGGGATCACCGCGGGACTGGCAATGTCATCATCCACAAAGGCACTGTCCTCCGGGACAGTCTCCCCATGGATACATTCAACTGAGGACAAACAGCAGGGGGATATGATCAGGGGGAACATTTATGAATATGAAATATTATAAGTGATTCAAACACTTCAATTACTAAGTGGGAAATATCATGAACACAAAATACAAATGTTCAAGTCTCACCAAAATATTAAGCATCAATTTTTTAAATCATAGCAATACAAACATAACATGGGCTCTGAAATGAGAATATTTGCATTATTTGTTTCTCAACCCTACATATCTTTGTTAACCATACAATTATTTCTCAATCCTGCATATCTTTGTTAACCATACAATTGTGTACATATGTATCTTTGTTAACCATACAATTGTGTACATATGTATCTTTGTTAACCATACAATTGTGTACATATGTGTTTCTTTACCATACATATGTGTTTCTCAATCATGTACATGTTTCTCTACCAAACACATGTGTTTCTCAATCAAACACATGTTTCTCAAACATACATATGTGTTTCTCAACCATACACATGTTTCTCAACTATATACATGTTTCTCAACCAAACACACATCTCTCAACAATACATGTTTCTCAACCATGCATATCTTTCTCAACCCCACATATCTTTGTTAACCATACAATTGTTTCTCAACCCTGCATATCTTTGTTAACCATACAATTGTGTACATATGTATCTTTGTTAACCATACAATTGTGTACATATGTGTTTCTTTACCATGCATGTGTGTTTCTGAATCAAACACACGTGTTTCTCAACATACACGTTTCTGAACCATATATATGTGTTTCTCAACTAAACACATGTTTCTCAACCAAACACAGTTTTTTCAACCATACATGTGTTTCTCAACCACACGTTTCTCAACCATACATATGTTTCTCAATCATGTACATGTTTCTCTACCAAACACATGTGTTTCTCAATCAAACACATGTTTCTCAAACATACATATGTGTTTCTCAACCATACACATGTTTCTCAACTATATACATGTTTCTCAACCAAACACACATCTCTCAACAATACATGTTTCTCAACCATGCATATCTTTCTCAATCATACAAGTTTTTCAACCACACACATGTTTTTCAACCACACACATGTTTCTCAACCATACACATGTTTCTCAATGATACATATGTGTTTCTCAATGATACATGTGTTTCTCAATGATACATATATGTTTCTCAATGATACACATGTTTCTCAATGATACATGTTTCTCAATGATACATGTGTTTCTCAATGATACATATATGTTTCTCAATGATACACGTTTCTCAATGATACATATGTGTTTCTCAATGATATATGTGTTTCTCAATGATACATGTTTCTCAATGATACACATGTTTCACAATGATACACATGTTTCTCAATGATACATATGTTTCTCAATGATACATATGTGTTTCTCAACCAAGCATATATGTATGTATTAATCATACATGTACATATGAATAACTATGACTCCTTGTGTTTGACACCAACATTTTCATAGTTAAACCCCATAGTTTTGGACCCACCCTCGTCGGGAAGCCTGCCTACCAGTTGATTGTTGTTGGGACCATCAATACGTAACTACAGGAACATTGCCATGTACCCTTGATTTAGCAATCTGAGCCAAATTACTGTGAAACACAGTTCCCAGGTTAACAGGGTTTGCTCAATAGTATTGAACCCTGGAATTCTCTCAGTACAATTAGACTATGGAAATACTGGAGACACTACATGAGGACTGTCAGTAACCTATTCACACTTGACATGACGCTACTAGACATATTGAATACACAACACTCTCAATGTGGTTATTTATATCCGATGCCAAAGGCCAAACTTGAATTCCTATCATGCTAACTTGGGCCATGTTGGATGTTTAATATTCCTGACACAGTGTTCAGAAGCGGCATTACCTAGGTCACAGTGTACCAACGTACAATAAGGAAGGTGATAGTTAGATTACGCTGAAATTGAAAACAGAATTGTTCCTTGGCAAACAGTTTTGAAAAAATAACGACGGCAGCATTGTGTTACTTTCGATGTCAAAGAGTTAACTGGTGCTCCTGACACTATATTTTGAGAGAGATATTGTGGATTACCTTGTTTATAACAACCTTGAAAAGTATTGCAGTTATGAGAGAGTTGGGCTCTGGTGACACAGTCATTTAAAGGCTGCAATTTGCTGTGTGGAGTTATGTCCCATAGGAATGTCAGGATTCAGTGATCATGGATTCGACTCCCAGATTCTGTGTTTTCAACAGTGGATCATGGCACGGCTCTGGGCCACAACTCTGTATAGGGAACTGCTTTGTGTAGCCACTAGGCCTCATAAGATGAGATTTCTACAATTTGTGTCACATCACAATATACAAACTATCCACCAAACATATTAAAATCACATGAAAATGCTTTGAATCCTAACAAGCTGTATCTATACCTTTCGCATAATGAAACATACATACAGAGTATTCAGTTTCAGCTCTGTTGAAAACTTCCCATTGGTATGATTGAAGAATTTGTTAATATCAAATCTGAACAGTTAGTGATTGAGTGAGTTTGGATTAACACAGATTTTGGCATTATTCCAGCAATATCATGGCCGGGAACACCAGAAATGGGCTTCAGACATTGTACCTATGTCGGGAATTGAACTCAGGTCTTTGGCGTGACGAGCGCCCGCTTTAACCACTAGGCTACCCAACCGCCCCTCAGATTTGAACAGCTCAGCAATATTCATACATGGGGCTTTATCATACCACCATGTCAGAATAATGAGATCTGATTGGTCCTTGTGATCTTGATAAAATACTGTGTACCCCGTCTTGGAGAGGAATTCATTTCTCAGCCTGGGAATAAATCTCTTATATCCCACCATGAGCAAATAATGATGAACATGAACTTCTGAGAGACAGAATAAATCCCTTATACCCCGCTTCAAAGCAAAAAGACGCACACATTTTTCCGAGTCAATGGAAGTCATGTGACATAGCGCAATTTAACCTCAGCTCAATCGAACAGCTGTTTTCTATCAATTTTGAATATGTTTGAATTAAGTCATATTAAAACATGTCAGTAAAATAATATTCTTGTAGCAAGATCACGCCGGGTACATGGGGTATTATGCGTCCCACGTTAAGTTTTATACCACGAGCTTGATGGGGATGCATAAAACCCCGTGTACCCCGAGTGATCCTTCTACAACTTGTAATATTATTCCCAATCTCATTAAGATCAGATCTTAGTTCTCGCTACCGCTAAACAAAGATCTGAGGACATCCCATTACGGGTCACTTCAGACCGACCTTGCTCGAACTTTGACCGACCAATGGAATGACCAATCAGAAGGCAGCTTTCTCGTGCTTTACGGCATTAATTTCAAATTGGCGACTACGCTTTGAAACATATTTTGACAAATTCGCGATTACAAATTTGAAATCTGAACAAAAGAACATTCTGGAATGGCTAATAGATGGTCTAGATTGAATGGATATAGTCATTAAACCCATAACTATCGTTCGGAGTTAAAGTTTTCGAGGCTGCATGATCAGAAATCACATTCCGACTGTCACTTTCATAATCTGGTAAGCGATGCTCTGATTTGTCGGATGAAAGGTCGTTCTGACATGACCCATAATGGGATGTCCTCAGATCTTTGTTTAGTGGCAGCGAGAACTGAGGTCTGATTTTAATGAGATTGTATTATTCCAGACATGATCTGAGTGCTACCTGTACAACATAACTAAGTCAGAGCTACCTTTGTAGATATGACTAGCATGCAGGGGGACTGTGTACATGCTGACATCAGCATATCTTGCAAATATTCCAATCATTTACAATAACGTTACTATATTCAAACCTTGAAAACATAAATAACAAGTTTCCTGAATCATTTTGTCAATGTAGAATACTGCTGAAAAAAATACATATCACCACATGTCAACTTTAAAAGCTGGCAAGAATTATTTTGACAACTGTATTGTAAAACTACAACAAATTAATATGTTCGTCAGAAAAACTTTCAAAACATCTATATACTATTTCAGGGGTAGTCATTTTCTAATCAGAAATATATGCTTTATATCAACCTTGTCTACAAACATGTAGGTACAAAAGAACACTCTTTGAAAAAGAAAACATTGAATAGATATATAATATCTAAACAGTGATATTCAGTCAGGTGATAAGGTGTTAAGTAACTTCTGACCAAGGTGACATGATATTCAAATATTTAAATATTTGAAACTTTTATTGAAAATTTCAAAAACATAAATTGTTCACAACATCTTGAACAAAATCTGAAGAACAAACATTTATTTTGGTGTGACCTCATCAACTCAAAGCAGGGAAGAGAAAAGCTCTGAAGAGGAACAGGAGACGAGAAATTGTAGTGAATTATTTGTTTGTATATGAAACAATATTAACTTAATATGTAGAGATTGTTGTCATGGAGGGGCTGTTTGTTACTCCAGTGGGGAAGGGACATGTTAGATGTTTGAGTCAGACATGGCAGTGAGGGATAACGCCATGCAAACAACTCCAATCACCCATTAAAACCATGCATTGTCACCTTGCAAGCACACACAGAATACACATTTCTCAATACATCTAAAACATCTAAAAGGATACAAACTTTATGCTTATTTTTTATATTACAGATGACAATTAATATTTTTTTAATGAGATGAAGACAAGTCGTTCATAAATTGAACCTGTAAATTTCGACATAGAATTAACATCGTTAAGATAACAGAACATTTTTCACTTCAAATGCTTGCAGTCCTAAACTCACCATTAACACACACTTCTGAAGGCATGCACAGAGCGATGGTAGTATGTCTTACCTGATTCTGGGGCCTTGTCTAAAGCAAATCATAGGCAGATCATACATTTTATATCAATGAAATACTCAATCTCATTTAAATCAGACCTCAGTTCTCGCTACCTCTAAACAAAGATCTGAGGACATCCCATTAGGGGTCATGTCAGAATGACCTTTCACCCGACCAATCACGATAGTTACGGGTTTAACGACTGTATCCATACAATCTAGACCATCTATTAGCCATTCCAGAATGTTCTTTTGTTCAGATTTCAAATTTGTAATTGAGAATTTGTCAAAATATGTTTCGAAGCGTAGTCGCCCATTTGAAATTAGTGCCGTAAAGCACGAGAGAAAGCTGCCTTCTGATTGGTCTTTCCATTGGTCGGTCAAAGTTGGCGCAAGGTCGGTCTGACGTGACCCGTAATGGGATGTCCTCAGATCTTTGTTTAGCTGTAGCGAGAACTAAGATCTGATTTTAATGAGATTGATGAAATACTGCATTCAATGATTAAGTGCTCCCCTTCAATAATCAACCCCAGGGACTTTCAATTTCACTATTTGATATTGTATTTGTATTTAATACAACCTAGTGAAAATAATGCCAAACAGGAAGTTTAATAAGCATCAGAAACCCTTGGCACTAATACATCAAACATGGTACTGCAAAAATATCTTGTAAAATCTACATAGATTTGCCTTCAAAATTACACTTTTAGACTGACAGGAATTCACACACAAAATTGGTATCAATTGTTGATGATGAAAATCAATATATAAATATGTATATGAATATTGTCCATTCCAGTCATTTCAACTACTAAATGATTAGTAGATTTGTTTTTAAAAATTTCAAATGACTAGTTCAAATTTCATTTGGAAGCTTGAAAATGTTTTTACTTCAATATTTTCTATTTGATAGTTTTTATTTTCAGTGTGATCTCCAGTGTCAATATTCCCACTATCATGGTGCCTGTAAATACTCATCTGACAAAGGCAAACCAGTGATTGAAAGCATGAGCAGCGACCAGTGATTGAAAGCATAAGCAGCGACCCATGCCATCAGGCCACAATGACACGCAACCAGCTAAGTCATAGAGCCTACTCTCCCCATCAACCTAAGTCGTTTCTCACGACCCACAATGTGATGCTGGGGACCTACTCTACCAAGTGTCCCAGGAGATCTTCACACAGTTCCACTCCTCACTCATGTACAGTGTCACAGCCAGTCACTGTTGGCATCATGTTGACACTGTATTCTTTGGATTGTTTATTTGTAAATGACATGTTTTCAATTCCACTGTCATGATATGGCTGAAATATTGCCGATGTGACGTAAAGCATAAACTCACTCACTCACTTCAATTCCACTGAGTATGCATGATCAAGAGATAATTACACTTCTCTATGTGTAACAGATTTTAATGAATCAGAATTCAAAATATATTACTCAAACAACAGTTAAGGACCACCTGATTCTTTGATATTACTTTAGTTAATCAGTCATGATATAGTAGTATACAAACATATACCAAAGACTACTGGCACCCATTTTGTGTGATCAGTACACCAGCCACACTGATGTACAGCCCTGTGTATTTCCTACAGATTTGGAGGAGCTGGAGTGGACCAGTACACGAGCCACACTGATGTACAGCCCTGTGTATTTCCTACAGATGTGGAGGAGCTAGAGTGAGATCAGTACATGAGCCACACTGATGTACAGCCCTGTGTATTTCCTACAGATGTGGAGGAGCTGGAGTGTGATCAGTATAGAACCACACTGATGTACAGCCCTGTGTATTTCCTACAGATGTGGAGGAGCTAGAGTGTCACCAGTACAGGAGCCACACTGATGTACAGCCCTGTGTATTTCCTACTGATGTGGAGGAGCTAGAGTGTGATCAGTACACGAGCCACACTGATGTACAGCCCTGTGTATTTCCTACAGATGTGGAGGAGCCAAAATGTGACCAGTACACCAGCCACACTGATGTACAGCCCTGTGTATTTCCTACAGATGTGGAGGAGCTAGAGGGTGATCAGTACACGAGCCACACTGATGTAAATCCCTGTGTATTTCCTACTGATGTGGAGGAGCTAGAGTGTGATCAGTACACCAGCCACACTGATGTACAGCCCTGTGTATTTCCTACAGATTTGGAGGAGATGGAGTGTGATCAGTACATGAGCCACACTGATGTACAGCCCTGTGTATTTCCTACAGATGTGGAGGAGCTAGAGTGAGATCAGTACATGAGCCACACTGATGTACAGCCCTGTGTATTTCCTACAGATGTGGAGGAGCTGGAGTGTGATCAGTATAGAACCACACTGATGTACAGCCCTGTGTATTTCCTACAGATGTGGAGGAGCTAGAGTGTCACCAGTACAGGAGCCACACTGATGTTCAGCCCTGTGTATTTCCTACAGATGTGGAGGAGCTAGAGTGAGATCAGTACACGAGCCACACTGATGTACAGCCCTGTGTATTTCCTACTGATGTGGAGGAGCTAGAGTGAGATCAGTACACGAGCCACACTGATGTACAGCCCTGTGTATTTCCTACAGATGTGGAGGAGCCAAAATGTGACCAGTACACCAGCCACACTGATGTACAGCCCTGTGTATTTCCTACAGATGTGGAGGAGCTAGAGTGAGATCAGTACACGAGCCACACTGATGTACAGCCCTGTGTATTTCCTACTGATGTGGAGGAGCTAGAGTGTGATCAGTACACCAGCCACACTGATGTACAGCCCTGTGTATTTCCTACAGATGTGGAGGAGCTAGAGTGAGATCGGTACACGAGCCACACTGATGTACAACCCTGTGTATTTCCTACTGATGTGGAGGAGCTAGAGGGTGATCAGTACACGAGCCACACTGATGTACAGCCCTGTGTATTTCCTACAGATGTGGAGGAGCTAGAGTGAGATCAGTACACGAGCCACACTGATGTACAGCCCTGTGTATTTCCTACAGATGTGGAGGAGATGGAGTGTGATCAGTACATGAGCCACACTGATGTACAGCCCTGTGTATTTCCTACAGATGTGGAGGAGCTAGAGTGAGAACAGTACACGAGCCACACTGATGTACAGCCCTGTGTATTTCCTACAGATGTGGAGGAGCTGGAGTGTGATCAGTATAGAACCACACTGATGTACAGCCCTGTGTATTTCCTACAGATGTGGAGGAGCTAGAGTGTCACCAGTACAGGAGCCACACTGATGTTCAGCCCTGTGTATTTCCTACAGATGTGGAGGAGCTAGAGTGAGATCAGTACACGAGCCACACTGATGTACAGCCCTGTGTATTTCCTACTGATGTGGAGGAGCTAGAGGGTGATCAGTACACGAGCCACACTGATGTACAGCCCTGTGTATTTCCTACAGATGTGGAGGAGCTAGAGTGAGATCAGTACACGAGCCACACTGATGTACAGCCCTGTGTATTTCCTACTGATGTGGAGGAGCTAGAGTGTGATCAGTACACCAGCCACACTGATGTACAGCCCTGTGTATTTCCTACAGATGTGGAGGAGCTAGAGTGAGATCAGTACACGAGCCACACTGATGTACAGCCCTGTGTATTTCCTACAGATGTGGAGGAGCTAGAGGGTGATCAGTACACGAGCCACACTGATGTACAGCCCTGTGTATTTCCTACAGATGTGGAGGAGCTAGAGTGAGATCAGTACACGAGCCACACTGATGTACAGCCCTGTGTATTTCCTACTGATGTGGAGGAGCTAGAGTGTGATCAGTACACCAGCCACACTGATGTACAGCCCTGTGTATTTCCTACAGATGTGGAGGAGCTAGAGTGAGATCAGTACATGAGCCACACTGATGTACAGCCCTGTGTATTTCCTACAGATGTGGAGGAGCTGGAGTGTGATCAGTATAGAACCACACTGATGTACAGCCCTGTGTATTTCCTACAGATGTGGAGGAGCTAGAGTGTCACCAGTACAGGAGCCACACTGATGTTCAGCCCTGTGTATTTCCTACAGATGTGGAGGAGCTAGAGTGAGATCAGTACACGAGCCACACTGATGTACAGCCCTGTGTATTTCCTACAGATGTGGAGGAGCTAGAGGGTGATCAGTACACGAGCCACACTGATGCACAGCCCTGTGTATTTCCTACAGATGTGGAGGAGCTAGAGTGTGATCAGTACACAAGCCACACTGATGTACAGCCCTGTGTATTTCCTACAGATGTGGAGGAGCTAGAGTGAGATCAGTACACGAGCCACACTGATGTACAGCCCTGTGTATTTCCTACAGATGTGGAGGAGCTAGAGTGTGATCAGTACAGGAGCCACACTGATGTACAGCCCTGTGTATTTCCTACAGATGTGGAGGAGCTAGAGTGTGATCAGTACACGAGCCACACTGATGTACAGCCCTGTGTATTTCCTACAGATGTGGAGGAGCTAGAGTGAGATCAGTACACGAGCCACACTGATGTACAGCCCTGTGTATTTCCTACAGATGTGGAGGAGCTAGAGTGTGATCAGTACACGAGCCACACTGATGTACAGCCCTGTGTATTTCCTACAGATGTGGAGGAGCTAGAGTGTGATCAGCACACGAGCCACACTGATGTACAGCCCTGTGTATTTCCTACAGATGTGGAGGAGCTAGAGTGTGATCAGTACACGAGCCACACTGATGTACAGCCCTGTGTATTTCCTACAGATGTGGAGGAGCTAGAGTGTGATCAGTACACGAGCCACACTGATGTACAGCCCTGTGTATTTCCTACAGATGTGGAGGAGCTAGAGTGTGATCAGTACACGAGCCACACTGATGTACAGCCCTGTGTATTTCCTACAGATGTGGAGGAGCTGGAGTGTGACCAGTACACGAGCCACACTGATGTACAGCCCTGTGTATTTCCTACAGATGTGGAGGAGCTAGAGGGTGATCAGTACACGAGCCACACTGATGTACAGCCCTGTGTATTTCCTACAGATGTGGAGGAGCTAGAGTGAGATCAGTACACGAGCCACACTGATGTACAGCCCTGTGTATTTCCTACAGATGTGGAGGAGCTAGAGTGAGATCAGTACACGAGCCACACTGATGTACAGCCCTGTGTATTTCCTACAGATGTGGAGGAGCTAGAGTGTGATCAGTACACAAGCCACACTGATGTACAGCCCTGTGTATTTCCTACTGATGTGGAGGAGCTAGAGTGTGATCAGTACACGAGCCACACTGATGTACAGCCCTGTGTATTTCCTACAGATGTGGAGGAGCTAGAGTGAGATCAGTACATGAGCCACACTGATGTACAGCCCTGTGTATTTCCTACAGATGTGGAGGAGCTAGAGTGTGATCAGTACACGAGCCACACTGATGTACAGCCCTGTGTATTTCCTACAGATGTGGAGGAGCTAGAGTGCAATTAGTACACGAGCCACACTGATGTACAGCCCTGTGTATTTCCTACAGATGTGGAGGAGCTAGAGTGTGATCAGCACACGAGCCACACTGATGTACAGCCCTGTGTATTTCCTACAGATGTGGAGGAGCTAGAGTGAGATCAGTACACGAGCCACACTGATGTACAGCCCTGTGTATTTCCTACAGATGTGGAGGAGCTAGAGCGTGACCAGTACACGAGCCACACTGATGTACAGCCCTGTGTATTTCCTACAGATGTGGAGGAGCTAGAGTGTGATCAGTACACGAGCCACACTGATGTACAGCCCTGTGTATTTCCTACAGATGTGGAGGAGCTAGAGTGTGACCAGTACACGAGCCACACTGATGTACAGCCCTGTGTATTTCCTACAGATGTGGAGGAGCTAGAGTGTGACCAGTACACGAGCCACACTGATGTACAGCCCTGTGTATTTCCTACTGATGTGGAGGAGCTAGAGTGTGACCAGTACATGAGCCACACTGATGTACAGCCCTGTGTGTTTCCTACAGATGTGGAGGAGCTAGAGTGTGATCAGTACATGAGCCACACTGATGTACAGCCCTGTGTATTTCCTAAAGATGTGCAGGAGCTAGAGTGTGATCAGTACATGAGCCACACTGATGTACAGCCCTGTGTATTTCCTACAGATGTGGAGGAGCTGGAGTGTGATCAGTACATGAGCCACACTGATGTACAGCCCTGTGTATTTCCTACAGATGTGGAGGAGCTAGAGTGTGATCAGTACACGAGCCACACTGATGTACAGCCCTGTGTATTTCCTACAGATGTGGAGGAGCTAGAGTGTGATCAGTACACGAGCCACACTGATGTACAGCCCTGTGTATTTCCTACAGATGTGGAGGAGCTAGAGTGAGATCAGTACACGAGGCACACTGATGTACAGCCCTGTGTATTTCCTACAGATGTGGAGGAGCTAGAGTGTGACCAGTACACGAGCCACACTGATGTACAGCCCTGTGTATTTCCTACAGATGTGGAGGAGCTAGAGTGTGACCAGTACACGAGCCACACTGATGTACAGCCCTGTGTATTTCCTACTGATGTGGAGGAGCTAGAGTGTGACCAGTACAGGAGCCACACTGATGTACAGCCCTGTGTGTTTCCTACAGATGTGGAGGAGCTAGAGTGTGATCAGTACATGAGCCACACTGATGTACAGCCCTGTGTATTTCCTAAAGATGTGCAGGAGCTAGAGTGTGATCAGTACATGAGCCACACTGATGTACAGCCCTGTGTATTTCCTACAGATGTGGAGGAGCTAGAGTGAGATCAGTACATGAGCCACACTGATGTACAGCCCTGTGTATTTCCTACAGATGTGGAGGAGCCAAAATGTGACCAGTACACCAGCCACACTGATGTACAGCCCTGTGTATTTCCTACAGATGTGGAGGAGCTAGAGTGAGATCAGTACACGAGCCACACTGATGTACAGCCCTGTGTATTTCCTACAGATGTGGAGGAGCTAGAGGGTGATCAGTACACGAGCCACACTGATGTACAGCCCTGTGTATTTCCTACAGATGTGGAGGAGCTAGAGTGAGATCAGTACACGAGCCACACTGATGTACAGCCCTGTGTATTTCCTACTGATGTGGAGGAGCTAGAGTGTGATCAGTACACCAGCCACACTGATGTACAGCCCTGTGTATTTCCTACAGATGTGGAGGAGCTAGAGTGAGATCAGTACATGAGCCACACTGATGTACAGCCCTGTGTATTTCCTACAGATGTGGAGGAGCTGGAGTGTGATCAGTATAGAACCACACTGATGTACAGCCCTGTGTATTTCCTACAGATGTGGAGGAGCTAGAGTGTCACCAGTACAGGAGCCACACTGATGTACAGCCCTGTGTATTTCCTACAGATGTGGAGGAGCTAGAGTGAGATCAGTACACGAGCCACACTGATGTACAGCCCTGTGTATTTCCTACAGATGTGGAGGAGCTAGAGGGTGATCAGTACACGAGCCACACTGATGCACAGCCCTGTGTATTTCCTACAGATGTGGAGGAGCTAGAGTGTGATCAGTACACAAGCCACACTGATGTACAGCCCTGTGTATTTCCTACAGATGTGGAGGAGCTAGAGTGATATCAGTACACGAGCCACACTGATGTACAGCCCTGTGTATTTCCTACAGATGTGGAGGAGCTAGAGTGAGATCAGTACACGAGGCACACTGATGTACAGCCCTGTGTATTTCCTACAGATGTGGAGGAGCTGGAGTGTGATCAGTACATGAGCCACACTGATGTACAGCCCTGTGTATTTCCTACAGATGTGGAGGAGCTGGAGTGAGATCAGTACACGAGGCACACTGATGTACAGCCCTGTGTATTTCCTACTGATGTGGAGGAGCTAGAGTGAGATCAGTACACGAGCCACACTGATGTACAGCCCTGTGTATTTCCTACAGATGTGGAGGAGCTAGAGTGGACCAGTACACGAGCCACACTGATGTACAGCCCTGTGTATTTCCTACAGATGTGGAGGAGCTAGAGTGAGATCAGTACATGAGCCACACTGATGTACAGCCCTGTGTATTTCCTACAGATGTGGAGGAGCTAGAGTGAGATCAGTACACGAGCCACACTGATGTACAGCCCTGTGTATTTCCTACAGATGTGGAGGAGCTAGAGGGAGATCAGTACACGAGCCACACTGATGTACAGCCCTGTGTATTTCCTACAGATGGGGAGGAGCTGGAGTGAGATCAGTACACGAGCCACACTGATGTACAGCCCTGTGTATTTCCTACAGATTTGGAGGAGATGGAGTGTGATCAGTATAGGAGCCACACTGATGTACAGCCCTGTGTATTTCCTACAGATGTGGAGGAGCTAGAGTAGAACTGAGAAGAGACAGGTGACCACTACTGCATAGACAAAACAAAGTAGAAGCTACTAAATGGCATATACTGACAGTGAACATCACATACATTTTGGTGAGGATACTCTTGACTTGAGTGTTTTCTGGTTGAGGACTTTCTCTGAAAAAGAAAACAGCAATAATATAAAAAAACAAATCAGTAAATAAAATTTTGTTTGTTTGTTTGTTATTTAAAGCCGCACTCAGCTATATTCCAGCTAGAAGACGGCGGTCTGTAAATAATCGAGTCTGGACCAGACAATCCAGTGTTTGACATCATGAGCATCGATCCACACAATTGGGATACGATGACATGCATCAAATAAGTCAGCAAGCCTGACCATCCAATCCTGTTAGTTGCCTGTTACAACAAGCAAAGTCACCTTTTACAACAAGCATGCAATAAATAAGAAGTTGGTAGTAAAGGCTTTGGTGCCTTGTTGTTTAACATTACACCCAGCAATCCTTCTGCTGTATGACTGTAAATAGTCAATAGGACCAGACAATAAAGTGATTGATATTATGCGTAATGATCTACACCGTCAGGGTATAATGTGAGTGAGTGAGTGAGTGAGTTGGGTTTAACACCGCTTTTAACATTATTCCAGTTATATCACGGCGTGTCAGCTTAATGTGGGAGGAAAGCCCGAAGTGATGCAGATCTCAGACATTTACCACTTCGGTGAAACCCACGAGCACGGGTATGGTGCTGACAAACCTAGAAACATAATTGGGGCGAACCGGGATTCGAACCAACAATCAAAGGTTTCTGGCGTGTCCAAGGGGCGCAACTCTGCACAGCGAATTGCGGCGCTTTAGAAGACTGGGCCACCCGTGCCCCTCAGGGGATAATGACACGTGATCAAGCAAGTCACAAAGCGTGGCCATCTGATCCACTGTCATCACTCTTTCAACAAGTACCGGGGATAGGTTGCTGGGGACCATTTCTAACCAGGAATGCCCATTGGATTCTAGTTTGCTTGTCAAACCCTAGATTCAGTTAGATTGTTTGGACAATATGTGAGGACAATGATTTCTCCCACTGTAATATTTTACCAATACTTATAGACTGACCCCATGAGGAGCGGGCTTAGAATTGGTCTTACTGAATAATTTACAGCCACCATCATATAGCTGGAACACTGCAGAATGTGGCATTAAACAACAAACAAACAAACTCCTAGACTGTAAAGAAGTACATCTTACCACCAACAAATAATCACAGTGTGTCATAGCAATGTTTTAACATTATTTCATTTCTGAGAGTCTTAACAGGGATTTAGAAGTGGGATATAATCATGACTATGTGTATGTATAATAAAGAAGTGCTTATCTATGAGAATACTCCTTCTCATATACTCATATTTCATTTCACAGCTTAATGTTGGAGGAATTGCAAACTGACATGTACCACTTCGGCAACACACACCAACATTGGTATGGTGCTGAAAAACCAAGGTTCATCATCAGGGCACATATGTAACTTGAATCTTATAACCAGCACATCCTGGCATGGCTAAGGGAGGCAACTCTGCACAGCTGTCTCTACCCTCGTCACATGAGAATCAATGTAAGCTACCTGCAATAAGAAGTGTGTTCCAGTGACTGGAGGAGATGTCGGCCACGATGTGCAGGCACCCGAACATGGGCCGAGGCAGGGACGTACACTGGCTGTTGGGCCCTTTCCCCTGGTCACTGATGATGGCACCTAGACGACCGCTCTCCCCGTTACCCCATGAGTAGATCTGGTTCTCTGGAGACAATAAACACATGAACATAAACATAGGTAGTCATGGCAACAGTGAAAACATGTTTGTCCAGGGTCCTTGTCAAGAAACCTCAGGATGAAGACTACATGTATACAAACGTTAACCCACACCCATGACTCATTCAGCTGGAAATGTTTGTAATCTGCCGTGACTTCACTGGAAATTGTACCAGGGGATTAAAGGGGTTACATTATATACTTCCTCCAAGCATAAAATGTGTCATGAAATTAATTGGTGTAGCCTTACCTTTCAACTTCAAAAACTAATCATGTAGAATAACATTATATAGTATGGGGTGATAGCAGTTTGATTGAATAATGTTCGCTTTCTTTTCAAAATTAACATCTCCCTTTTGATTTGTGACCTAACTGCCAAGAAATCAATGGCAGGAAATCCCAAATAAGGCATATTCATTTCTTAGGTTGGGTTGGGTTACCAACACGACTGTGCAGGTTCACGTTGCTACACGAGTCAGCACAATCCTTTGGATATAAAAACACAGTGTTTTCTATCCACAACTACAGTTACTGTACTGGACATTTCCAGGGGCGGTTGGGTAGCCTATTGGCTAAAGCGTTCGCTCGTCACGCCGAAGACCCGGGTTCGATTCCTGACATGGGTACAATGTGTGAAGCCCATTTCTGGTGTCCCCGGCCGTGTAATGGCTGGAATATTGCTAAAAGCGGCGTAAAACCATACTCACTCACTCACTCCAAATTTCACAATGTGAGTAAGCAGTGTTTGGTAGGGCTTGGACGAGTCAACATTTACTAACCGGGGAATCCCAGGGCCCTGTTACCCAACCCTACCCGGGTACCCACTGTAAGTCTCAAGAGTTAGGAACAAAATGTCTGATTGGGAATTGTTTTACTGTAGCCCTGGCAAAAACTATTTAGATACATATGTATCAAACATTCAGATCATAAGTACACTGAAGTTGACTGAACTTTATCTTTGCTCAAACATATACAAGTCAAAAGGATGCATCGTCAGAAAGAAATGTGAACATTAGCGACTTGTAGTGTAACCACTGAGCTATAGTGAGTTTTGCCATTAAACAATATATCACATGACTAACCACAGGTCCGAGTAGTACTGTGGGTACCCAGGTCCTACTCAGGACCCACCTGATGCAATTACCTGAGTTACCTGTCCAAGCCGTAGTGTTTGGCTTGTAATTAAAAGATTTTTTGACAAGGTTACACAAACTAAGTACTGACACATATATTAACAAAAATGACAATGTGATCCTACCATTAGTAGAGATGACTGTGAACCCGACGCCACACGAAACCCTCTCCACTCTCTGCCCCGCCAGCATGCCGCCGACACGACATACACACTCCCGCTTCTTGAAGTCTCCCAGACCAAGCTGCCCATACTTGTTGGAGCCGAATGTAAACAGGTAGCCATACACTGTAGGAAGATACAAGAAGACATCAGGGGAAGCAATCACTGAATGTAAACAGGTAGCCATACACTGTAGGAAGACACAAGAAGACATCAGGGGAAGCAATCACTGAATGTAAACAGGTAGCCATACACTGTAGGAAGACACAAGAAGACATCAGGGGAAGCAATCACTGAATGTAAACAGGTAGCCATACACTGTAAGAAGATGCAAGAAGACATCAGAGGAAGCAATCACTAAATGTAAACAGGTAGCCATACACTGTAGGAAGACACAAGAAGACATCAGAGGAAGCAATCACGGAATGTAAACAGGTAGCCATACACTGTAGGAAGACACAAGAAGACATCAGGGAAAGCAATCACGGAATGTAAACAGGTAGCCATACACTGTAGGAAGATGCAAGAAGACATCAGGGGAAGCAATCACTGAATGTAAACAGGTAGCCATACACTGTAGAAAGATGCAAGAAGACATCAGGGGAAGCAATCACTAAATGTAAACAGGTAGCCATACACTGTAGAAAGATGCAAGAAGACATCAGGGGAAGCAATCACGGAATGTAAACAGGTAGCCATACACTGTAGAAAGATGCAAGAAGACATCAGGGGAAGCAATCACAGAATGTAAACAGGTAGCCATACACTGTAGGAAGACACAAGAAGACATCAGGGGAAGCAATCACTAAATGTAAACAGGTAGCCATACACTGTAGAAAGATGCAAGAAGACATCAGGGGAAGCAATCACGGAATGTAAACAGGTAGCCATACACTGTAGAAAGATGCAAGAAGACATCAGGGGGAAGCAATCACTAAATGTAAACAGGTAGCCATACACTGTAGAAAGATGCAAGAAGACATCAGGGGAAGCAATCACTGAATGTAAACAGGTAGCCATACACTGTAGGAAGACACAAGAAGACATCAGGGGAAGCAATCACTGAATGTAAACAGGTAGCCATACACTGTAGGAAGACACAAGAAGACATCAGGGGAAGCAATCACTGAATGTAAACAGGTAGCCATACACTGTAGGAAGACACAAGAAGACATCAGAGGAAGCAATCACGGAATGTAAACAGGTAGCCTTACACTGTAAGAAGATGCAAGAAGACATCAGGGGAAGCAATCACTAAATGTAAACAGGTAGCCTTACACTGTAAGAAGATGCAAGAAGACATCAGAGGAAGCAATCACGGAATGTTAACAGGTAGCCATACACTGTAGAAAGATGCAAGAAGACATCAGGGGAAGCAATCACTGAATGTAAACAGGTAGCCATACACTGTAGGAAGACACAAGAAGACATCAGGGGAAGCAATCACCGAATGTAAACAGGTAGCCATACACTGTAGGAAGACACAAGAAGACATCAGGGGAAGCAATCACTGAATGTAAACAGGTAGCCATACACTGTAGAAAGACACAAGAAGACATCAGGGGAAGCAATCACTGAATGTAAACAGGTAGCCATACACTGTAGAAAGACACAAGAAGACATCAGGGGAAGCAATCACTGAATGTAAACAGGTAGCCATACACTGTAGGAAGACACAAGAAGACTTCAGAGGAAGCAATCACTGAATGTAAACAGGTAGCCATACACTGTAGGAAGACACAAGAAGACATCAGAGGAAGCAATCACTGAGTGTAAACAGGTAGCCATACACTGTAGGAAGACACAAGAAGACATCAGAGGAAGCAATCACTGAATTCAAACAGGTAGCCATACACTGTAGGAAGACACAAGAAGACATCAGGGGAAGCAATCACTGAATGTAAACAGGTAGCCATACACTGTAAAAAGATGCAAGAAGACATCAAGGGAAGCAATCACGGAATGTAAACAGGTAGCTATACACTGTAGGAAGATACAAGAAGACATCAGGGGAAGCAATCACTGAATGTAAACAGGTGGCCATACACTGTAGGAAGATGCAAGAAGACATCAGAGGAAGCAATCACTGAATGTAAACAGGTAGCCATACACTGTAGGAAGATGCAAGAAGACATCAGAGGAAGCAATCACTGAATGTAAACAGGTAGCCATACACTGTAGGAAGACACAAGAAGACATCAGAGGAAGCAATCACCGAATGTAAACAGGTAGCCATACACTGTAGGAAGATGCAAGAAGACATCAGGGGAAGCAATCACTGAATGTAAACAGGTAGCCATACACTGTAGGAAGACACAAGAAGACATCAGAGGAAGCAATCACGGAATGTAAACAGGTAGCCATACACTGTAGAAAGATACAAGAAGACATCAGGGGAAGCAATCACTGAATGTAAACAGGTAGCCATACACTGTAGGAAGACGCAAGAAGACATCAGGGAAAGCCATCAAGGCACACAAGCACTGATCCACTTAGTGTACAAGTCAGCTGTGTCTCCCAAAGGATGAGGTGTATTTGTGGCCATCTTCGGTCTCCTACAGCTGCGAAGTTTAAGGATACTCGAAAGCTTTTGAAGTCCTCATGAAAGTTATCAAACTGCTCATATGAATGAGAGCTAGCATTAACTTTCAACATTTGAATGTTCTGGACTTTTACTAAGAACACCATGTGCAGAGGCATGTCTAAAACATGGGAATAAATGTGTCAATAAGGGCGGATTTTAGAGTTTCAGTAACATTCGAAAACACTGATCCTGACCAAAACCTTCAAATAGGATGATTTTCTCAGGAGGTTCAGATATAAAGGCATTACAACTATTTACTTAGGTCAAGATCACGGTTTAATTTTCTGAAGAAATTCTTTCTTTCATTTAAGGCATACTGCTGTACTTGGCCATGTCATCAGTACAAACAGGCAATAAAAAGAAAAACATGTCCAATAACTTTCATAACATTATTTAAAGTCTTCCAAAAACAAAATGAGTCACTTCCAAGTTGCCTACAGGATTATCATACCTCACTCTGTTAAAATGATATGTGAACTTACCTAACTTACACTGCTACAGAGATATGAGATATACAAATTTACTGTAACCATGGTAACTTATATTCAGTCTATCCACAGAAATTCAACCAAGGATCAAAGGAAGACATCTTGATGCCACTAAGCGGATGACAAGTTTCATTCCCATTGATCACATCAGGTCTGGTACAGACAAACCATGTGTGAAAATTCCATGTAATCTCCCAAACTAAACTTAGACAACATTCCAGGCATCGTAAGATGATACGGATCCTGCGCCACTTACAGTCTATGACTGCGGAGTGTGTCTTGCCAGTGGCCACACTGACGATGTTGTAGCGGCTGAGAGGCTTCACAGTCGTAAATGTGTATTTACAGGGGATGTCGTACACCTGAAAACAGACATGATACACAAACTGATAATTCTGCACCATTTTAAAATCAGTACAGTGAAATAGTGTTAATCATGATGTTATCATTCTCAGTGAAATCAGGATGGTTGGGTAGCCTAGTGGTTAAAGTGTTCGCTTGTCACGCCGAAGACCCTTGTTCGATTCCCGACATGGGTACAATGTGTGAAGCCCATTTCTGGTGTCCCCCGCTGTGATATTGCTGGAATATTGCTAAAAGTGGAGTAAGCCATACTCACTTAACTTAAGTGAAATCTTCCAGACTCACAGCTTCACAGTTGTTGGAACATAATATTGTCACATAAATCACACATAGAGGTCTCCAACAGTAATCGCCTGGAACGCGAAATGTCTGGACTACAGGAGTTTCACTGTGTCTCGATTCAGCATCTCATGATAAGTACACAGTAGTTTGCAAGTCACTAGCCACTAGTCTGGAGCCCGAGTCTATTAAAATTCTGTTCGGTCTTGTAAGCTTAGCTAATAATAGCACATATGATAACACTATACTCTACTATTAATGATGCTTTGAGCCAACATGTTTGGCTGAATAGACTCAGGTTTTGGCCCAGACTGTGACAGTGGGGAGAGACTGAGTGAATGTTGTTTTAACCAAAGTAATCAATAGTCTAGCTTAACCACAGCCACAGTCCATAAATAATCAAGTCTGGGCAATGCAAACTGGTTGATTCTGAATGATCAATGTTTCCCATGACACAGGACATCAGTGGATAGGATGCGATTTACATCCCAAATCCCTGTAATCACGTTTGTGACAAGTCATGTTTACTGCAACATATATTTATCAGTCTTTACTTGTTTTAACAAAAGAGTGAGTGAGTGAGTTAATATTTAACGTCACATCGGCAGTATCTCAGCCATATATCACGAGAACAAATTGAAAGATAAATACCTGTCACGACGGACATTAGCATGATATCACAGATGGAAACCTAAACACTAAAACTTCTAACCAATATATATACATCAACATTACATTTCATTCTATTAAAATACGAGCTATATACCACCAGTAACCAAAGCCAGAACACTCCTACAAAAGATAAATTGTTGACTTGTCATTATAATATGTTTCAATCAACAGAATTATCATGTTATTTGTTGTTATCAATCAATTAACAGGTGCCTGAGCCTCGAAATTTATATACTTTGCTCAGTACTCATGATGACCAGTCTTGATGACCCATTTCCACAAGCTAGGTCAAGCCCAGCATGAGCAGACATACACAGGGAGTGGGTGTGTTGGGTTTTACACTGCTTCTAGCAATATTCCAGCTAAATAACGGGGGGGCACCAGAAATTGACTTGACATAATGTACCCATGTCGAGAATGGAAGCCAGGACCCACTTGCACAAAGCGATCTTAGAGCTAAGACTATTGTAAGCCTATGTTAAAGTATGGGAGTAAAAATCATCTTAGCGCTAAGATCGCTTTGTGCAAGTGGGTCCAGGTCTTCAGCATGATAAGCCAATGCTTTAGCCATGAGGCTACCTACCCCGCAGCTCTCCACCACTGTAAACAGTACAGGCCCAAGAATGATCTATACAAACCTTTGCTTTTCGTTTTCTCAGACCTGATGTTTCGGAATTGAAACCTAGTTTGTTGAACTCGTTGCTGCCACAGGCCAGGAGGCGGCCATTGGTGGTGATGAGGAACGTTCCGTCCGATCCCGCACACACCGACTTGATAAGGTGCTTGCCCGGAGTGGACACCTGCAGAACCAGCGTACTGTAGAACTCAGGAGGAGCTTTTACTGTCTAAGAGTTACACACTGAAACTACTGATATATAAGGTTATTCCACATGAAAAATCAAGAATTTGCAATCGGTTCAAATTCAACCTTTGACATTTACATTACATAACTTCAATGCCATTTCTTAAGAGTGTGTGAGTGAGTTTGATCTAACACTGCTTTGAACAGTTTTCCCGTTAATTCACGGTGTGTCAGTTTGATGTGGGAGGAAAGCCCAAAGTGATGCAGGTCTTAGATGTTTACAACTTTGTGAAACCCACGAGCACGAGTATGTTGCTGACAAACCTAGAACATAATTGAGGTGAACTGGGATTCGAACCCATGGTCATAAGTTTCTGGCTATTTCTCAAGAACAACATTTTGTACTGGAGAAACAATATTTTTTTACTTAAGGACTAAATGCAATAAAAAGGTAGTGATTTTATAAAGATGTCATATATGTATATAAAATGGTAAGGTAGCACAAGCTTCATCTGAACTAAAAAACTGAATCATAAAATGTCAGGGGTTTGCTACTTGTGATATACTTAAAACAAAGACAAGATTCTCATTGAATACTGCAAGACCAAAACTTTTGTTGTGTACTTCTTACTGTCCTCTGCACTCATACTTACCTTCTGTGGTAGACTGCAATCGTCTTCTGAGCCAAGTCCAAGACGGCCTGAAATATCACACACTTCGTTTACATATGCCATAAACCAAGCATAGTGTCAATGTTTTGGCTTTTAAAAAAACCCACACCTCTCAAACCAATTATAACTGAAACAAGAATGTTCATTCCCCACTATCTGCGTCTCAAACAAGATTTCCTCACTATTTGTGCCTCAAACGAGAAGTCCTCACTATATCTGTGCATCAAAGAAGAATTCCTCACTATCTGTGCCTCAAAGAAGAATTCCTCACTATATCTGTGCCTCAAACAAAATTTCCTCACTTTCTGCGCCTCAAACAAGAAGTCCTCACTATCTGTGCCTCAAACAAGATTTCCTCACTATTTGTGCCTCAAACAAGAAGTCCTCACTATCTGCGCCTCAAACAAGAATTCCTCACTATCTGTGCCTCAAACAAGAATTCCTCACTATCTGTGCCTCAAACAAGAAGTCCTCACTATCTGTGCCTCAAACAAGAATTCATTACTATCTGTGCCTCAAACAAGAATTCCTCACTATCTGTGCCTCAAACAAGAATTCATTACTATCTGTGCCTCAAACAAGAATTCCTCACTATCTGTGCCTCAAACAAGAATTCCTCAGTCTGTGCCTCAAACAAGAATTCCTCACTTTCTGCGCCTCAAACAAGAATTCCTCACTATCTGCGCCTCAAACAAGAAGTCCTCACTATCTGTGCCTCAAACAAGAATTCCTCACTATCTGCGCCTCAAACAAGAATTCCTCACTATCTGTGCCTCAAACAAAAATTCATTACTATTTGTGCCTCAAACAAGAATTCCTCACTGTCTGTGCCTCAAACAAGAATTCATTACTATCTGTGCCTCAAACAAGAATTCCTCACTATCTGTGCCTCAAACAAGAATTCCGAACTATCTGTGCCTCAAACAAGAATTCCTCACTATATCTGTGCCTCAAACAAGAATTCCTCACTATCTGTGCCTCAAACAAGAATTCCTCAATCACTCACTCACTCAAACAAGAATTCCTCACTATCTGTGCCTCAAACAAGAATTCCTAACTTTCTGCGTGTCAGACAAGAATTCCTCACTATCTGCGTCTCAAACAAGAATTGAGTAATGAATATAGACAGTTTTTCAACATGGATGTCATAGTGGCCATATTGAAAATCACTTTCATACCTCTTGAACAAATCGGGTAATCATAATTGGTGGGAACAAGCATGTGATGTTTCACCTCCTTTGGTCAAGCGGTTTCTGAGAAGAAGATGTTTATGATACACGATGGACAAACCAAGGTTTAAGTTTATTAAGACTTCAGCACACTCTATTACTGGAATATGCTCCTACTAAGAAACACTTAAAATAATCCACTCACCAAACTCGCCACAGCCCCATGTGTAAACATCCCCATCTTTACTGAGGGCAACACAGTGAGACTCTCCGCATGACACTTGCTCCACTGGTATCTGACTAAAGTAGTCCACTGGTATTGGATCTAGTACATCATCTCCACTGTCAGTTCCAAGGCAGCCAAAGTAGTCGGAACCAAAGGAGTACACCTTTCCTTCATCTAAGGAATAATAAGTTCACATGAACTGGTTGTGTCCCATCTTTTCATGAACATATATTTAGACATGAGTCCACTTGGGTAAACTCTCTAGCAGGATAAATATGTCAAGAAAACGTACAACTTCGCACCCCCAAAAGGGATGATTATAGCCTTAATTATAGTTTTCAGAACTTAAACATCCATCATCTTCCCGAGGCAAGGGAGTTAACTGACCATAGAAGTCCAGTTTCCAGCCTTGCCGAACTAGGCTGGAATTTTGGAGTTATATTTTGCCTGGACTAATGAGTGTATGCCTAGTCCAATCAAAATCACATCAGGACGTCGACATCCGGTTCATAAACTGCCATGCAGATTTAAGTCGACAGCAGGATTTGCAACGTATGTGTACCATCAACTTAGCGTTTACAGATATTTTCCAAATCTTTTCATGGATTTAATCCAGGTGCTCACGTGATTTCATGCATTTCGGGAAGTAAGACTTGTTTTATTACAAAATAGATATTGATTATCGATCAGATCGTCTTCACTGGGCGACACAATTATATTTGAAGCAAATGCAAGTGATATGAGAGGTGGATTCTGATTGGTCAATACGAGGGACATAGATTGGACATAACTCGTAACAGCCACTGGTGGCGCCACGATTGAGCCCAGAAATTCCAACTGCTTCGGCAAGGGTGGAAACTGGAACATCTGTATGCCAAGAATCATTATTTGAATCGTAAGTGTAAGCTATCATTTTTAGGTCTACCCAACTGTAAAGCCCATCCATCTTATTCAAACCACAGGTGATGACTGAGCTCCTGCAGTGGTTCTTACCTGTGACACAGAAGGTGAAGTCCTCCCCACAGTCCACCTGCTTGATGGGGATGCCAATAAGGGCGTCCACTCTCTTGGGGGCCTTGTACGCTGCGACGTCCCCGTGACCCAGCTGACCCACTATGGTCGTGTCACCTTGAAGGTTCTACAAGAAGAATGAACTTCTTACCCCATAACTTCCTATACTATGCAGAAACAATTACAGTAAACTACGTTTATAAGTGAGTGAGTGAGTGTGGTTTTACGCCGCTTTTAGCAATATTCCAGCAATATCACGGCGGGGGACACCAGAAATGGGCTTCACTCATTGTACCCATGTCGGGAATCGAACCCGGGTCTTCGGCGTGACGAGCAAACACTTTAACCACTAGGCTACCCGACCGCCCCAAGTTCATAAGGAAAACGCTTTTAACGAACTGACCGATAAAACAAACCTATGTTTTAGTCCCGGGCATTTGTTGAAAAATGCTGTATATATACTATGGGTATTACAAACTAAAATTGGTGGTCATTTTGAGTTAGTTATAACCGTTGTTTACTGTACTCTCAAGTTTTACATGAAAAGTGGGACTTTTGACTGGTTTTACATCATGATTAAACATGTTCAATTAGTCTTGAATTTTGGGTTCACATCTTTGGATTTTCTATTGCAGAATATAAAACACAAGGTATTTTTGAAGTATTATAAATATTGACAGAAACATTCACATGCATTGCATCCTAGTCCATGATCATAGTTAGTAAATTGCGGGAAAAAATAACTTTAGTGAAGGTTTTCTGACTGCAGTGTAAACAAACAAATACACATACAAAGTTATAGTGAAGTCTATCCATGGGTGTTTGTGTACACCTGAGTGTCAATTTGAGATAACAATGAGAAATGTTTAGCCCAATGGAGAATTCTGAGGCAAACAATTATCCAACCATTACATAGATGATCCACCCTCAGCCATGAAATTATCAACTCAGCAGACGCAGGTTGTCTGTTTGTCAATCAGTGGTTAAAGATATCACTGTTATCTTGCGATCACTGTCTATTGGACCACTGTAGATTAAACGGTTTGATTGCAGCCAGAATGTGGTAATTACCTCCCTTTACAAAATGGTCACTAGCATTAATAATATATCAACATATTAAAATAAAATAGGATTCTGTGACTGAATAATTTCAAAAACACATCTCAAACAACATACAGAAACAAACAGTGTCAGCTGGTCTGATTTGTATTATTTAGCAATGATGTTTCTTTGGTTGTTTGTTTCTTTGTTGTTTTAATAATGCCACACTCAGAATATTCCAGCTATATGATGGCGGTCTGTAAATAATCGAGTCTGGACCAGACAATCCAGTGATTGACATCATGAGCATCGATCCACACAACTGAAATACAATGACATGCATCAACCAAGTCAGCAAGTCTGACCACCTGATCCTGTTTGTCGCCTTTTATGACAAGCATAGTCACATTTTACAGCAAGAATGTGTGGCTGAAGACCTATTCTACCCCGCATCTTCACAGGTCAGGAATGATGTATAAGGTCAGCAACCCCCAGCTGCCAGTGGACTCACCGCCCATGTGTACAGCTCCTTCTCCACGGTCAGGGTGGCCAGGTGGGAGTGGCCAGCGGAAACCTGCAAACACCATACACAAATACAAGTGTTTCCAACATGGAGGATGGTCCTGGGTGCCTAGAGGTTAGCTGTAGTATTGTACTCTAGTGGCCCTATCTTTAACTTACAACATGTTCAACATTTGAGTCTTGATAAGGACACCTGGACTTTGATGCTTACCTTCAAACACTGAAATGTTTCACAGTACTGCAGCAATAACGTGGTGGGGGACATCGAGCATGACAAGTGAATATATGGCTAGACCATCATGTAATATTCACTTCTATAAATACGATCTTGGGTCAGCAAACAGAGACCAAGACAAGATTGTCATTGTCAAGGCTCTGTGCATACACTCCGATGTTTTGAACAGACAATGCCTTTCAGAAAATGGCCTAACAGTGTGTGAGTGAGCGAATGTTTTGTTTGTTTGTTGTTCAGCACCGTACTCAGCAATATTCCAGCTATATGACAGCGGTCTGTAAATAATCGATTCTGGACCAAACAATCCAGAGACTGACATCATGAGCATCGATCCACGGTTACGATGACATGCATCAACCATTTCAGCGAGTCTGACCACTCGATCCCGTTAGTCACCTCTTAGAGTATAGTTGCCTTTTACGGCAAGCATGGGTTGCCGAAGACCTATTCTAATCCGGATCTTTACAGGTCGAGTGAATGGTGTGTTATGCAACAATCAATAATGTTCAATCATGAAGGCAGCCTGTAAATAATCATCAACCTGTGACTGCTATAACCACAACAATCCACGCCATCGGGGGAATGATACGATGAAACAAGTCATCGAGTCTGACCACCCTATTTATTAAGTGACCTCATACATCGAGCACAGGATGCTGGGGACCTATCCTAACCCGGAGTCGCCACCGAGGGATTGCAGTAACAACCAGACATTCCATCAAGGTACCATGACAAACAATCAGCCCTTTCTTACTTGAACTGGGCTCTTCTCTCTACTGAACAGGTCCAGTTTCTGTGGGGTCCGCTTCCCTCCTCCCCACTGATACACCTGGAAAACAATCCTGGTGTTACACAAACATTCGTTGTATAACTTATTAACTTAATTAGTGTCAAACAATTTAAAAACAAACTTAAAATGTCCCTTATTGAGAAATAATACAGAGTTTTTCAGTCTGTTATTTTAATTTTTCTATATTAAGGAAGTACTCAGAAGCTAAACCTTGTTAAAACAAAGTGAAATAGGTAGGTAGTACCTTGGAGACTTTGTGCCCGTGTTGTTATATATACTACTCAAAAGAAGTTAAGGACCACCTGATACTGCAAATCTTGAAATTAATGCATCTCCAACTTAATGCAACAACTGATTTTGACAGTCATTTTGGAGAAATAAATGCGAAGTTTTCATTAATGCGAGCAAAGATCACTCACCCTTTTCCCATTTAATTTACGCTTGGGTTAATTTCAAAATTTACAGTAGTCATATGAAGATTCGAGTGGTCCTAAACTTCTGTGCAAAAATTAGCAATATTGTTGGAAATTAATACAAAATCTTCTTGTCTTTTCTTTTTTTACATAACATGAACAATACTTATCATGGTCAATAATTATTAACATAAAACAATTTCACATGTTTGTACTGTGGTGCCTCGAAGCATAACGTCCAACCTAAACCAAAAGTGGCTTTATGGACTCCCCACCTCACACACTGGGCGGCTAGGTAGCCTAGTGGTTAAAGTATTCGCTCGTCACGCTGAAGACCCGTGTTCGATTCCCGACATGGGTACAATGTGTGAAGCCCATTTCTGGCATCTGCCGCCATGATATTGCTGGAATATTGCTAAAAGCGGTGTAAAACCATACTCACTCACTCACTCACTCACTCACTCACCTCACACATCTTGGCCTTGATGACTGGCACAGCAGTTGAGGTGGATGCCATGGACCGAGCCCTCCTAGATGAAGAGTTCAACTCCCAAACTCTCTGCTCAAGATCTCTGAAACAGTGCCAAGCATGGTTATACATGACAGATATTGGTAGATTGGCACAGTATTTGAGTTGGATGCTATAGATTCAGCCCTCCTGGAAGAGTTCCTACCATATGTGCCACGATACCCTTGAGATATTCATGGCACAATTTTGAATTTATCAGGTTTCACAGACATATCCTGCTGAGGGCTTAATATTTTTATAACAAATGATTTAGCCCTTTAAGCCCTTTATGCTGTTTTTTTTAGAAAAAGTGGAAATGAACTCACTTTGCATTGGAAAACAGCTTGTTTGTGAGTATCACTGATGCTGTTGGTCTCTTGGAAGGATTCTGAAACGAGGACACAATGAACATTGTCCATTTCATTAACAAAAAAAAATATTTTCAAAGATAATTTCATACTTCATTGGTCATATCCCTTAACAAACAAGCAAAGTGTTTGCAAATACTTGAAAAAAACCAGAAGCAGTTCCTTCACAGCCATTGGAAGAAATAATTATCGGCATACACTATTACCTTCAGGCGTGGGAGGGGTGGGGTAGCCTAGTGGTTAAAGCGTTCGCTCGTCACGCCGAAGACCCGGGTTCGATTCCCGACATGGGTACAATGTGTGAAGCCCACTTTCTGGTGTCCCCCGCCATGATATTGCTGGAATGTTGCTAAAAGCGGCGTAAAACCATACTCACTCACTCACTCACTCACTCAGGCGTGGGAATACATGCCGACTACAACAACATACCAGGGCTCACTTGCACAAAGCGATCTTAGTGCTAAGATGATTGTAACTCCCATACTTTAACATAGGCTTACAATAGTCTTAGCGCTAAGATCGCTTCGTGCAAGTGGGCCCAGATGAGGAATCTAACTTCAGATCTGATGACAACATGTTAATTTTCAACATTCATAAAGAGGCTGTTCATAATGTTGATATCTCACATAAGAAATAAACGACTGCTTATCATTGTTTATCATACAATAAAACACTGCAGGAAGAATAAATCACTTGAGGCTGCTTCCTCATGGTTTATTCTCCCTGCAGTGTTTTATTGTACAATAACCAACTCCCACTCGTTGTTTAATCCTTAATTATTATGATAAAAGAAGAGGATGTACCTTCTGCAGCATACTGTTGACGAGGTCGTCCATGTCTTGGGAGTATGAGGAGTCGATCCCACCATGCTCAGTCAGGACTATATCGTACGCCAGTTTCAGGGGGTTCTGGAGACAAGGCAGGTCTGTTACCATGGTTACCTCATTGTGCATCACTCTACTGTGCAATACCAGTGATGTCTGATGTATGAATACAAATGTTACATGTATACTCCAGCCTGACTTTGCACTGGTCTACTGACTGTGGATTGCCTGTGGCCTACTGACAGTGGGCTTCTGACTGTGGCCTACTGACTGTTGACTTTTGACAGTGGGTTTCTAACTTTGGACTACCACCTCTGGTCTACTGACTATGGACCGCTGACAGTGGGCTTCTGACTGTGGCCTACTGACTGTGGACTGTCACATGTGGCCTGCAGACAGTGACCTACTGATATGGACTGCCACCTGGGGCCTACTGACCGTGGCCTACTGACAGTGGGCTTCTGACTGTGGCCTCCTGACTTTTGACAGTGGGCTTCTGACTTTGGACTACCACCTCTGGCCTACTGACTGAGGACCACTGACAGTGGCCTTCAGACAGTGGCCTACTGATATGGACTGCCACCTGTGGCCTGCTGACTGTGGACTGTCACATGTGGCCTGCAGACGATGGCCTACTGATATGGACTGCCACTTGTGGCCTACTGACAGTGGCCTACTTACTGTGGCCTACTGACTGTGGCCTACTTACTGTGGCCTGGAATGTCCTGGTGAGTGTCAGCAGTTCGTACAGGACGCAGCCCATGGCCCAGATGTCGGTCATGGTGTTGTACCTGAAAACAGAGAGTTGAAAAGTGAAGCAACTCTGCACACTGAATTGTGGTCTGAAGAAGACTGAGCAGTTTAAAAGGAGATAAATGGTAATCCCACACATTACTCATTCAAAACACCTTTCTTGATTTTTGTTGTTGCAGACCTTAGTTTTGCCAACTCTTTACTCTCATTCTCGACAACTTTTCACCGTTAAAGAATTTTATGAGTCTAAACCCCTATATAACACACATTCACATAAACGTGACAAGAGTATATAAAAAGTTTCAAGAGTCAGATGAGCTTAACATTGAATTAAATTTAAATGAATTGTCACTTTATCAAAAACATCATATCTTTGATGACATGACTCAAAATTCCATGGTTGCAAGATATGATGTTATTGATAAAGTGACAATTCATTTAAATTTAATTCAATGTTAAGCTCATCTGACTGTTGAAACTTTTTATATACTCTTGTCACGTTTATGTGAATGTGTGTTATCATTAGGGGTTTAGACTTGTAAAAGGCTTTAACTATTCAAGCTTCTCAAAAAACATTTCCTGTTTTTCAATTTTGATATAGGAACACTACTTTCTGTTATTTTGTTTTCATTTGAACTTAATTCTATGTTTTGTAAATATCTTACTTTTCTCCCTTCATGAGTTCTGGAGACATGTAGTACGGTGTTCCAACAAGCTGAAGAGAAAGATGGAAATGAACACTGGATGTGAAAGCCAAGGCAACAAGTGGAATAATCACAAACAGCAACTTTCAACAAGTAGCACTCCCACTACACATAAGCACATGATATTATTACCACAATCAACTGATCACTGTGCATTCAAATTGCAATCTCAGCTCCCTGGGGAGTATACAACCCAAGCTGCCTGCTTCAAGGCTCTGCATTCACATTTCCATCTCTTCCTAAGGGGTACCCATTTGTTGCTGGGTGAAATTCAACCGCCTTCGAGGACTACTGGTAGAGCATCCGCCCGGAGAGTGGAAGGTCGGGGGTTTGATCCCCTGACGTGTCATGCTAAAAGACATTAAAAGATGCGTATAGCCTGTGATTTATAGTGGGGCAGGAGTGAAGCCCTTGGAACATCTCAGGAGTCAAGCTTGCCAATGGGATCACCCATCCACCTACTCTCCACCACCTATAGGACCCCGCACCACATACAATATCGAGAGTATTCTCAGTGTTTGTGTTTGGCACACACTATATTTGAGTCCTGCAATCAGGTCTGACAGAAATACACTTACAGTCTCAGCCATTCCACCCTTGGACTCCAAAGCTTTAGATATTCCAAAGTCTCCAAGTTTCACCAGATCCGTCCTCGTCAGAAAGATATTCATAGTCTTGATATCTCTACAGACATGAAGTATATGTCAGCATTTAAGGCAACACTTTTTTTCTTTTTTCTTTTAAATTAAAAGAGTTCAACAATTAGCTCAGGTAGGTAAAGAATAACATAATTGTAAAGTTGAATATTTTAAATTTATTAAGTCTTAAGTTGTTTGGGTTGGTTGGTTGGTTTTTTCTGAATGTGGCTTATGCCTCTGGTTTGTTGAATCCATAAACCAAAAAATCAAAAGTGTCGCAAAAATCATGTAAATACACAAATGAAGTCAAGGAAATAGCAAATTATTATTTTAAAAAAACAACCAATCAATGCATCGAAAACAAAACACATCTATATATAAAACTTCCTGTTTTCTTTTGTTTACTACTTGAACCAGATAAACATCTAAGCCAGTTCCTAATTTAGAATTATAGTTCAAAGGAAGTGAGTATACGATGCCAGCATTACTTCAGCTGTATCACTGTATCAACATGTAAAAACTCCGTCGGTGCCAGGCAAACCAGTGATTGATAACATGAGCACATCTCCACAAGATCAGGGTGCGATGACACATTTAGCCATGTCATCATTTTATGCAGTTGCCTCATGCTACCAGCAAGGGATGCCGGGACCTATATCAGCCCTTCAGTGGGGTTCAAAACTAGAGATAATATCTTAATTATGCATCATCCTGTAATATAAGCCACAGATATTACAAAGTTAGCAACTGACAAACTTATCTGCACAAAATAAACCATGATACCGAAACATAATAAGAAATGGCTTTAATTAAGCCTGGAGGTACCGGTAACTAGCAGACTAGTACCGATCCTCTAAATCAAAACATAGCTGTTCCAATTCCATGAAAAATAAGAGTTTCTGCACAAACACATAAACATAAAATCACTGGTAAAACGTTTTAAAACTCAGAATTTTACTATCATCACTTGAGGGTCATTTTTTTCCTAAAAGGAAACTTTAGAACAGCAACAATTGATGTTTAGGAAAACCGGAGATGTTTGTTTCTGCATACCTGTGGATGATACCAAACTCATGAACATAGGCCAGAGCTGAGGTGAGCTGGAAGAGGTACCATCTGACAACCTGCACAGGAACAAACACAGGAATTACTTCATCTCATAGGGAACAGTCAAACCATGTGAACTCTTAGACTGCTCAATTAATTTAAAGTGCACGATGAAGTGAAACATATAAGTTAATTAAAATTCTTAATTGAACTTTTAAAAAATATTTTTTTAAATTCTTAAGTTGTGAGCATTTTAGCACCACCTTGCACATGTTTGGTCTTTGGTTCCAGACAAGCGGAGAACCAATATTACACCACAGTGCCAACAAGTATTCTGCTGTGTCATAGGCGGATCCAGAGGGGTCTGGATCCCCCACCCCACTTTTGAAAAACTAATGTAGTATGTTGTAGGCAATACAGTGGTAGAAACTAACAGTTTTAGTCCACTGGTCATTATAGCAAACGCTTTAAAAAAGGCAAATTTCTACCAGTCCTTATGATACCTTAACCTACCTTATTGGGCAGTTTGGCAAGGACTATAGGACTAGTGCCGATTTCTAATGCTGCAATTAAATTGACTGAGAGAGGATCGTTTGGTTTAACTATTGAATCAAAACATTATATTCTGAATATTACCTACCTCCTCGGGAAAGAGATGCGTTTGATGTGATATTTTGTCAAACAGACTCCCACCTGCAGCATGAAGGTGTGAATGTAAGACATTGTATTTAAACCATAATCTACAGAATCCTGCTTACAAACAAGTATTTAAATCATATTGAAACATTTTATTTGATGTGAAACGGAGGCCAAAGTAAAAAAATGTCTTTGAACTCTCACAGCTTTCAACTAAGAAAGTACTTGTCTTACATATCAAAACATATCTGAAGGCAGTAGAAGAAAAGAAGAAAAGTAAAAAAATATTTAAAATAAAAGAGATCACTAGTAAAAAATTCTGTATTGTTTATTTGTTTATTATTGCCTTCTTCTTCTAGGGTTGCTTCCCTTTCATTTTAACTGAAGGCTTTGCTGTCATGAGTGAGAGAACAAGCGTTGTCAAAATGTCAGTGTTATCTATTCCATACAACATGTACAATACGTTGTCAGCTAGATATATTATGTTTTCAGAACAAAAAAAGAAAGAGTATTAGATTGTGGAAGGATTTAGAGTGGTCAAGTCTGCTACATACATACTACATACTGCTACATACTTGTATGATTTTCTACATGACTACATAATCTAACACATATTCCAAAACATACCTTCAGGTTCTATTCTGATTATTTTCATGGTTGAATGTTCATGCATTAAAATCAAGTCCAAAACAATCAATTGGCAAATAATCTATACTACTCAAGTTCGCTAGGGATCACCACCCTAAAAGGTAATACGTCAAATTGTGTGCATCTGTTGAAAAAGCCAAAGACAATATTGAGGGAAGACATGTTTACTGAACAGAAGTCTGTTGTCTTGTGCCAATGTGACATGTGACCAATAATCAGTCTGATCACCAACCAAAACTGAAACATCAAATAATCATAAAACCAAGTTCTTTGTCCAAAAAAACACAAGTCTAAGTTGTGCGTATGTGATCCATGTGATGCGATCACAGCATGGCACGGTCGTCTCATGCTCCCAATAAGTGTCTGGATGGATGCCAAGGGAAGACTGTGCCACTCTTCAGGAAGAGCATTGCCGAGTTCCTGTAGAGTTGCTGGAAGTGCAGGACATTGTGATCTGCAGCTTGATCCACATGTGTTCGATAGGGTGATTGGGCTGGCCAGTCCATGCGGACAATGATCTCCTCCTCTAAGTAGGAATCATTGACCCTGGCACGATGAGATTGTACCTTATCGCCGATGAGAACAAGTCCGGTCCTATTGCACCAGCATATGGTCTCATACACATACACATCGAGAAAGTCATCCCTGTAGTGCACACCTGTTATCATGCCCCGCGGTAGGACATTGAAATCGGTTCTTCCAGCTCTACTGATCCCACCCAATCCATCGCAGATGGCTATGTTGGAATCCTGAAATCTTTCTCCTTGTCTACACCACACTAAAGCACAACAATCTGTGAAGTCTAGACAGTATCTCGGTTCATCAGTGAAAAGTGCTGGAGCCCAGTCCTGGTCTGTCCAATTGAAGCAATCTTCAGGTCAATCCAAACATACCAGCCTGTGATGTCGGGTCAGTGGGATGCGGATGCATGCCCTCCGTGGCAGGGGACCAGCCTCGTGGAGACAGTTACGCACTGTCTGAGTAGAAACTGATTGCCCATGGAGTCCGCAGGTCATTTCTGAGTGTGGTGGCAGTCATAAAGAATTGACATCTTGCTGCAACCAAAAGAAACCTATCTTCCCTGTGTGTGGTGGAACACTGTCCACCACCTGCATGTCGTTGGGTGCATAAGTGCATTCAGCTGTTGCAAATCTCTGTAGCAAATGTTGTTTTGCTCTCTGATAATGATGTGCAGTGATTCTGTAACGCTACATCAAAACACAGGTTTTCATGCATCTCGTACACATTGTGCCCATGACTGCATGCCTCTATCCATTCATCATGAATATGAAGTCCTATGAGGCATACACAATTATTGTGTACTGGGATATTTTAATCTTTATTTGTTGGATGAGTTTTGATATCATCAAAACTTGATCCTTTAATAGCAAACTTTGAGTAGTATATTTTACACTCAATCTTAAATGGGAACTTTTCACCAAGGCTTAATAAACAACAAGACGTTATCTAGTGTGGAAAAAAAGCGTTAAATAATCTCTAGCCGAAGTCTCTGAGCTTCAGTTCAAAAACTGTAAGTTTTGTGAGCAGGAAAGTACTGTAAAAACTGGGAGCGACACATGCTCACAATAGTTTCATGACGCAGTTATTTTTGTTAACCACTTCTGGTGTCCCCCGCCGTGATATTGCTGGAATTTTGCTAAAAGCGGTGTTAAATCAAACTCACTCACACTCATTTGTTAACCACCCACAAAGAAAAGATATAAGGAGGAATATTTCTTCAATTCACTTCCACACTTTGTCAAACCAGCCAGTACCCTAACACTGAGTAATCCAGAAATACGCCAGCCAGTCTATTCTGTTAGATAAACACGCTACGCCAACCTCCTTTGTCAACTACAACAACACAAGCATCTATAGTTTAAAATCACTGACTGACACTGAGTTACCATTTCATCATACTTCCAACGATCAAATATAACACCAGCATAAGCTTTGATCTTTTGCAATCTCAACAGGGTGTCACAAAACTTTCCAGGTGCAGTTAAGGCTGTTGTTAGCCACTCGCAGTAATTTCATGGCACAAACTTTTCAGATTTACAGATTTGGGCAAGAGACCAACCCATTACTTTTAGAAAACTGTTGGCCTGGTATCTTTTAAAGGGTCCATGGCCAACCAATGGCAGCAGTGACAGAAACATTGACACAGGAATTTCAAGATTCTGTGTTTGTGTAATTACCATTGGCATATTCCATCTCTATGAAGAGCGTATCTTCATCCACAAAATGATTGTAGTAAGATACAATGTTGGAATGATTCAGAAGTGACAGAATCTCGATTTCTGTATATGAGTCTTTCTTCTCCCGTTCATTCAGCTTTGCCAAGTTGATTTCCTTCCAAACTACTAGACTGTTGTCCTGAAACAACAAAGCATTCTACATATCATTTTCAATCCATTAACGTGATGAATGCTCACACAGCAAAAATGAAAGTCTTGGAAAATGATGCACAGTAACTACTTCAAGCTATGACTGTGGTAAGACATCTTTTCAAATAGTCACTATGCATACTTTAATTATATGTGACATTAATCAATACTAGGAGATGTTGATTCCATAATGTAGCCGTCTGAAACCATTTAGCATGTTCAGAAAAATTTAACCAACAACCAACATGGATGTTAAAGTGATAATACTATTAATAGAACAATAAAAATAGCACTGTCAAGTTTTGTAGTTCACCTGAATGTGTATGGAATAATAAATATGTGTTAGAGGGCTAATATATGAGACACCATGGCTGATGTTAGGTAACAATTATTAATTTATACCATTTTGCCCATTTGCTGCGCATGAAATGTCATAGGTAATGGTGAAACGTGACATGTTCAATACTGCTGCCCATGTAGTATAACTGGAGAAATGGGTTGTACATGATGGGTAAAATATATGAAGGTAAAAGGCAAAATGTTTTGATACTGTTTTCTCATTATTTCATATTCTATGCTAATTTGGCGACTGGCAATTATTACAGATATTTACCCCACCTACAGTCACATTGTAACTGACAAAGTTACATATTAAGGTAAATGTACCACTGATTCTGAATTTCATGTAATGTCATACGTACTAATCACATTTAGTAATTTACACAGGAATTAAATTTTGTTGGGTGTGTGGGTTGGGGTCGCGGTTGGGGTGCGCGAAAACGGAGGTACTATTAGTCAAAGCGCAAATACAGCTAATTTCCAAATACACTTTGAACTGATTCATGACAATGTCACCTCTGTCTTTCTGTATAGAACTGCTTCGCCAAAAGCACCTCTACCTAGCACTCGCACTAGGACATATGATGTTTCATGTAAACCATCAAAACTCTCGCTAGCCATATTCAACGAGGTCGCCATCTTGTAAACAACTAGCTCGCAACAGGGGAGGTAACCTGTTAATCCCTGCACGTTTGGTTATCTGTCCCACAGAAACACTCTGGAAAGATCCCCATTTACAATGCACTTTGCGGGTCGATTGAACACAAGCGAATTACTTGTTTTAAATTGTTTTATAGGCATTACTTAGAAGTTGACGGATGACAAAGTAGACACAATTTTATGGACAGCAACTTCTTTAATACTGTAAAAAGCGACGTTTCGGTATAGATCCTTATATCTTGTCAAGCAAGACTGACACTGTACCGAAACGTCGCTTTTTACAGTATTGAAGAAGTTGTTATCCATAAAATTGTGTCTACCTTGAATTACTTGTTTTGTGTTTCAGGAATTGTAAATATCTAATATAGTCATACGTCTGGCCCTATAAAGTCGCAGGATCCATGAAGATGAAACTTGGTTTGCATATATTCCAATTCTTGAACTTGTTTTAGTAGAAAAAAATGAAAATTTAAAACACGCCATGACTTAATTTGTGAAAATGTATCAAAGGCATCAGAAAGTTGAAGCTTAATTAAAATATATTTTATTTTACAATAACACCTATTATAGCAGTTTAAAAATTAGATAGTTATACGTATTATGATCATATACTGCGTTTCAGCATATTCCAGCTCAAACTGTCGGTAACAGGGACCCTGCAAGCCGCCAAAGAGATTTGTACGTGTCAGGATCGGTCCGCTGGTCCACCCATTGATTGCGCCATGTCCGCGCTCGTGGGTTTCACCAAAGCAGCAAACGCATTCGAATACGACCTCCGCTACTCTGATCGTTCAGGTGAGGTGAAGTGAGGTTAACGTCGCGTCCAAGACTATTGTACTTATATAGTGACGTGCATGCACATGTGTGTGGCTGCTTGTACTAGTCCGGACTGATGCCGATTTATAGTGCCAGCACACTGAGATGCCACGTCGCCGTTTAACACGAATACCCCACTGGGACACAGTATACTGACTCCGGGGCGACCAGTCCTTGTGTTAGACCCTTAATGGCAGGCAGGGTAACAACAAGTACCATCTTTTAAACTGTTTTTGATATGACGCGACCGGGGATCAGGCGGCAATAAACCGAACTCACTCACTAATACTATTAACGTGCCTCTTGTGACCCGTCTAGGTGACATCGATATCAGTAGCGTCCTATCAGATAACATGTGTTATCAATATACTCTACCCACCGGTAACAGTTTACTGCTGACTTTGAGCCTGACGGCCATGCTGTGGCCACCTGAAGGTAAATAATGGCGGCTACAGTCAATTAACCGGGGATTTGCTATGAAGGGTAAGAATTCGAACTTGATTTATTAAGTCTGGAAATTTCTATTCAAAATATATTCAGCGTCAGAGCACGAGTTTTTATTTCAATTCGCCGCTGCAGATTCAGCAACACCAATCACCATAGTGTGTGTGTGTGTGTGTGTGTGTGTGTGTGTGTGTGTGTGATATACCACCAAGATGCGCAGTGATTAAGGCAACGCAATTCGCTGTGCAGCATATTTGTTTACTCGCTTTACAGAACCGCCGTCTGTAAATTTTGTTAAAATGAAAAATATATAACAGAAATTGTTCTTTTTTATCCAGCCGATAAGCTGATAGCATACTGCACCAAATCAATATTTTCTAAAAAAGGACTACTGAAGTTGACACATTAAACGCGGAAGTCAAACTAAAGCTTTGTTGTTCCTGGAATTGATAAGATGCATAGATGCACAACTGTAATCCCGCCTGATTCGCCAGGCTTGCATTACAGCTGTGTTGTAGGCTCTGCTCCCACATTCATTGATTTTTTTAAAAATATACTAGCTAGCCGACCTGTAATGGAGGAAAAAATTAAAAAGAAATTTAATCGTTTTTTTCCTCACCTACCGACAGGTATTTTCCTGTAAACAATTCGTCAAGCAAGTAATGAAAAATCAAATTGTGTCCTAAGAACAAGTCCTGGGTTCGAAAGAGTTGCTTCACTGAGAACCGCTGGGGTACCTTTTTGTCAACGAAACACCCGTGTTCATGCATACGTTTTACTGATGTGGTAAACGTCCATAAACTGGTTCAACGATTCTTTCCCCTGACAACGAAGCTGACATATCAACGATACTGTTGAAAGCGGCAGTAAAATCACCTAATTCACTAAACCAACTCAGGACTTATAGGGTTGTGAAAGTTTCATCCCTGCAACGGCGTTTTAAAATATTTGAAATCTCAGCCGTGTATTGTCCCGTTCAGGAATCAGTTATTGTTCTACTGAAAGACTTTCTGTTAATTCTGATCAGTGTTCAAATGCGATTCTCTGAAGCAGGGAACCTACACATGGGCGATACGTTAATGTATGTTATCGTATAAATGTACAGTCTACTTAACACGGTCACGAACAAGGTCATGATAACAACTTGTGGTATACTCATAAAATCGTATCTTTTAGATTTTGTTTCTTGAAAGTAAGATTTTGTTTGTTGAAAGTAATATTTTGGCAAGGAAACTATCCTACTCCCATGTACTTGTGAAGTATGAATATATGTAATGTTTGTTTTACATTTTTTCAGTTTCCCGAATATTTGGGATCGTTATTAGATGCACCTTACAAGCAATGAAGAGGTCTAAAATGTCTGGTAAATCCCCTCCAACCAGAACGAGGAGAGCGGCTCTAACGGATTTGCTTTTAGCCTACATCGTTATTGCTGCACTGGCTGTTACATTTTATGTGTATTTCATCACTTCCGCAACACAACACGTCAACGCCATTCAGATCTCTCGAAAGGCATATCAAAAAGATTTTCTGCGAAGGCAACGAAACACGAACAAGCTTGCCAACCAATGGGGAGACAACTCTGTACTTTATAACATAGGCCAAAATCGACAAGGGTTTGGATTTCCAAACGGCAATGGAAATATTAAAGAACTTTCAGCGGTTGAGAAAGACTTGATGCCAGTTGAATCTTATTTGGGAGATGAAACCAGACCGCAGTCATGTGACAACTGTTTTAAGTACAATGTGAAGACCGTGATACAGGGAAAGTCATGTTTACTGTCATGGGCAAGTAAACACATAGATGTTTTAGTTCTAATAACCTCTGCTCCAGGAAACATCGACAGAAGAAACGCTGTGCGCGAGACCTGGTTGTCTCCATATCAAAACAACACCAGCAATGTGCGATATTTATTTCTTTTAGGTTTGAGTGAATACATGGCATCTGATGCTCTGATTCAGCAAGAAAACACAGTACATGGGGATATACTCCAAGGTGACTTCTTGGAAGATTATCACAACCTTACATACAAAACCCTGATGGGAATGACATGGGCAGTCCATTACTGCAAAGAGGTAAAATTAATCATTAAAGTAGATGACGATGTTTGGTTAAATATACCAACATTACTGGGACTACTTCACTATAAACGTATTCCTTTCGCTCTTGGTGGCAAATGTACATACAACTCAGCACCCGCAAGGAGTCCAGATTCTAAATGGTATGCGTCGTTCCGGAGTTACCCGGAAGATCACTATCCGCCATTTTGTGCAGGACCGGGGTATGTGCTGTCGCCTAAGACCGCAGCAAATATTTTAGAAGTTTCTAAAAATGTTCCCTATTTTCACCTTGAGGATGTGTACATTGGGATGTGTATTCAGAAACTAAAGCAACGAATACAAACTATTCACGGATTTATGTCATTCAAGCCGCCTGGCCATTTATGTCATCTGCGACACAATTCGATAGTCCTGATTCACGAGGTGTCGCTGAATGATATGCGGCTGGCTTTTGGGAACAGGTGTGGGGGGAATGTGCACAATACCTTACTGGGCAAGATGAGGCACAAGATGTGGGCTTAAGTGGCTTAAGAGTAACTTGACTGCCTTGTACATTCCCAGCAAATGTCAAGCATGTCATCATGTCTGTTAGTATCCCAACTGACAGTGCTGTAAATGATACCGCATAAAACTAGTTAATAAATACATTTATTATCACCTGTAGTTAGATTGTTACATGAGTGACTGAGTGTTGAGTGACGCCATTCAGCGTTTCACAAGCTGCAAGTAGATAAACGAGTCGAGATCTGGTTCAGGAAAACAAGCTTAAACAATAAGCAACGCTTCGCCATGACAGGATCGAACACACCTGCGGGGACATACATTGTAACAAAACGGGCTCATCTTTCCAGCATGTAATTAATATTACAAATATATATATATATTGTTCCCCCATCATCGAAGGGGGTCAGTCTTGTTCAAAGATATTCGGTTACAGATGACGTTTGTTATGTTTTACTTGTTTCTACCAAACCGATATCACACAAGAAACCAATCTCATTAAAAAATCAGATCTTAGTTCTCGCTGTTGCTAAACAAAGATCTGATGACATCTCATTACATCTTCCCGAGACAAGAAAGTTAACTGACTATAAAAGTCCAGTTTCCACACTTGCCGAACTAGGCTGGTATGAGTTACATTTTGACTGGACTAACCAGTCTACGCATAGTCCAATCAAAATCGCGCAACTAAATCAAAATCCGGTTCGTAAACTGTCGCGCAGATTTCGGACGATTGCAGTATTTGCAAAGAATGTGCACCGCCAACTCATTGTCAACAGATATTTTCCAAACCTTTTCATGTTTTTTATAAAGGAGCCCGCGTGATTTCATGCTCTTCTCGATGCAAGACCCGTTTTATCACAACATAGATCTTGATTATCGATCAGATCGTCTAGACTGGGCGCCACCGTTTTGTTTGAAACAAATGCAAGTGATCGAATCTGATTGGTCCATAGGAGAGGCTATGAAGGGACATAACTCGTAATAACCACTGGTGGCGCTACGATCGAGCCCAGGAATTCCAGCCAAGTTCGGCAAGGGTGGAAACTGGACTTTTAAAGTCAGTTAACTCTCTTGCCTCGGGAAGATGATCCCATTACGGGTCACGCCAGAACGACCTTTCATCCGACCAATCAAAGCGTCGCTTACCAGATAATGAAAGTGACAGATGGAATGTGTTTTCTTTAATCACGAAACCTCAAAAACGGTAACACGGGCCATTCCGAACGACAGTTACGGCCCGTACGACAGATTCCGTCAAAAGTATCGTCTGTCTCTCGCTTCCGTGGGATAAACATTTGAACAAGAAACTGATCACACTGTCGATCATTCGTGACCACTTGTGTCATTCCCAGACAAGCCGAATTGCGATGACTTTCAACGCCATTGTTTGAATATAGTTGCCATAAAACAGATCAACTTGAAAAGTGCAAAGCAGAGGTGCCATTCGTTGTCGGATAATTGCAACAGACTGTCTACCTCAGATTTGTCTTGCTATTAATCCTGAAGAAAAGTTATGTTATATTTTTATTTTATTAATTTCAGAACATGAATAATCTCACATTGTATGACAAAGCCTACGGAAGCCTTTTAGGGCCATTTGTTTTTTTTATATTTTTTCGATACTATCTTGAAATTTCAAGATACAGAGGTTGAAATTTCAAGATATTAAGTTGAAATTTCAAGATACTAAGTTGAAATTTCAAGATAGTATCAACTTCTGTATCTTGAAATTTCAACTTAGTTTCTTGAAATTTCAACTAAGTATCTTGAAATTTCAAGATAGTATCGAAGAAAATGGCCCTAAAAGGCTTCCGTACAAAGCTCGATTGCGATTGATTTTTTTTAAATAGTGTAAACCAAAGAAACAAAGCTGATACATCTAAACACTTCACGCCTCGTCTCTCTCTGTGACCGTTGACATCTTTCATTGACCGATAACCTGTTTATGTCACAAGTGGCATGCTTTTATCCAGTGTAGCGTCACACTGGTATCCCATCGTCGTCCATGGTGATGTCGTGCGTCTTCAGCTGTTCCGTCTCGGCGACAACGTCGATGGTAGCGTCCATCCTTTCCACGGCTTTCCATGTTACCGAGTCTCTGTCCCTGAGGGAGATCGGCACCGACACGGCACTACCCAGAAGAAGCGCTGTACCTGGCGCAGGATGTATATGTTAACTGAGGGGTGTCAGGAGAAGAGGGCTTTTAGCAGCGAGTTCATTGATCGCCAGTAGTTTTAAATTAGCAAACTAACAAATATGTTATAAGGACATGACTTAAACCATCTTCCCGAGGCAAGCGTGTCCACTAGCCTATATCAAAGCCTATTTTCTACCCTTACCACATCAAAGCCACTTTTCTTTGCTCCACCCTGGCGCCACTTCGCGTAGATTACGAGTTGTGCCCCTTGTAATATAATGAAAACGCGATATCCAATCAGATCGTTGTTCTTATCACAAAGGCGGCGACTACCAAAGGCGACGATCTAGTAGATCAGATAACGAAAACATAGGCAATCGTTGGGGGGTTTAAAAGATAAAAAAAGACATGTTCGTGTCAACAAGAACAGGCAGCGGTAAATCACTTTCATGCATAGGTGTACCAGTTGTGAATGTTGATTTTGTGAAACGTTCTCTGATTGGACTCTCGATATGTGCGATAGTCCAATCATATTTAGCACAGGAAAGTGCTTGATGTGGCAAGGGTGAAAACAGGACTTTGATAAAAAGGCTGGTGGATGCTCCTGCCTCGGGAGGTGTACTTAAACTTGCCAGGACTGTCATTGGGCGTGGGTGATGTGGCCCTTTCGCTCTTTCGTCATCTTATCCTATTTGTTAAATAAGAGGCTCGGGTTCAATTCCAAAATGGGTACAAAAAATGAAGACCATTCCTGGAATGTTCCTAAAAGCGATGCCATAGAACATCACTTACTTGGTTGGTTGGTTTGGTTGGTTGTTTAACGCCGCACTCAGCGATATTCCAGCTATATGACGCGGTCTGTAAATAATCGAGTCTGGACCAGACAATCAAGTGATTGATATCATGAGCATCGATCCACGCAATTGGGATACGATGACATGCATCAACCAAGTCAGCGAGTCTGATCACCCGATCCCGTTAGTCGCCTTTTACAACAAGCATAGTCGCCTTTTACGGCAAGCATGAGATGCTGAAGACCTATTCTACCCCGGATCTTCAAGGGTTACAGGGGCGGTCGGGTAGCCTAGTGGTTAAAGCGTTCGCTCGTCACGCCGAAGACCCGGGTTCGATTCCCGACATGGGTACAATGTGTGAAGCCCATTTCTGGTGTCCCACGCCGTTATATTGCTGTAATATTGCTAAAAGCGGCGTAAAACCATACTCACTCACTCACTCAAGGGTTACATCACTTACTATCAGCATCAGGCGTTTTCATCTTCATCTGAACTGGTAAGTATAATAAGATAACATTGTAATCAATAAATACATTTGTTTAGAACATACCTGCATATATATAACTGTGGGTGTAGGTTCCACCACTGTCAACAATTACACCTGCATAAAAACAAAACAAAAAAACATTACATAAAAAATGTTTTTAAATACAATCGAGAACCGAGTTTAACAATATTTCACTTGTAAAACGGGATGTCAGCTCTAGGTGGAGGAAAGTTTATACCTGTTAACATACCCAGAGCGAACCAACGATCATACTATTAGGTTGCTTAACTGCCTAAGGGACGTAACTCTGCACAGCGAATTGAGGCATATGAGATGACCAGGCCCCCGTTCCCACTTTCGAATCGTGATCCAGAGCTACAGCCGAGATCTCGACCCAGGGAATGTTAATTCTATTATACAGTTATTAGTTATACTCACGTAAGAGTTACATTAAGTTCAAATCATTGAAGAGGGCGGCAGGGTAGCCTAGTGGTTAAAGCGTTCGCTCGTCACGCCGAAGACCCGGGTTCGATTCCCGACATGGGTACAATGTGTGAAGCCAATTTCTGGTGTCCCCCGCCCCCATATTGCTTGAATATTGCTAAAAGCGGCGTAAAACCATACTCACTCAAATCATTGAATCCCTTGGGACCCAGAATGATTACATCAACTTTAAAGATCGACCTATGAAAGAATTTTAGAGATATGGGATCTAAGAATGTTTTAAAAAGATTCATTCAGAGAGAGAGAGAATGTCAACGCCAAAGAATAACCAGTCTTGATTATCCGACGAAACATGTTCTATTGGGCATAAAAGGCAAAAGAGTGATGAAAATGATTTGAATAGATCGCTGGACACTGAAGTAATGTTTTACCTGCGATGGGCGCCCCAATAAGACAACCAATCCCTGACGTGAAGCACAGTAACCCAAAGCCTATCGCCAGTTTCTCCAGACTAATCAGTTCCGCCGTCAGTGGTGTCATCACTGCATTGATCCCTCCGCTGTACAGCCCATACCCTGCTGCATACAGCACCTGGGACCCGAAAGTTGCAGAGTACAAGGGAAACGTAATGGTGAGTATCCCTATCATTCCCATCATCCCTGTGAGGAGCAGCTCCGGGCCTATATTGGGATCCGACGCTGCAAACCCTGTAAGGAGTCTTGAACAGAGACTCGTGACGCCCATTGCTGTCATCAGTGTTGCAGACGCCATCTTGGATGTTCCTTGCTCTTGGGAGTAATTTGGTAAATGGTATATGGCTGCGGTCTCGCCACAAGAGAAAGCAAAAGTACTAAAAAGATAACACAAAAATGGCCCGTTTTTAACAATGCCCACGACGTCTTTGAACGCAGACGTAATCCTTAATAATTGGTTTCTGACTTGGCTAGAGGATTGTCTTGCAGAGTTACCTTTCCCGGCATCCTTTCTGAAGTTGTCCTTTTCAGTTGGCGAGGGCCTCATCAACATCCCAAGGACGAACATGTTAGCCCCCAAAGCTCCCAATACCAGAAACGTCCCTCTCAACATGTAGTTATCAATTAAGAGTCGAATGACCGGAGGACCTACGAACATCCCAAAGGCTGCACCAGATACAGTTATTCCCGACGCCATGGGGCGGTACTTCTTGAAATAGTAGCCACTGACGACGAGAGAGGAAGTCAAGCAAAATCCCATTCCGATTCCTGAAAACACAGAGGATACCAATAGTTGGTTGGTTGGTTGTTAAACGCCGCACTCAGCAATATTCCAGCTATATGACGGCGGTCTGTAAATAATCGAGTCTGGACCAGACAATTCAGTGATTGACATCATGAGCATCGATCCACCCAATTGGGATCGATGACATGCATCAACCAAGTCAGCGAGCCTGACCACCCGATCCCGTTAGTTGCCTCCTACGACAAGCATAGTCGCCTTTTACGGCAAGAATGGGTTGCTGAAGACCTATCCTACCCCGGATCTTCACGGGTCAGGATACCAATAGAGACACTGTCTTTCAAAACATGTATTTACAGACGTTTTGCGACAACATGGATCCGATGAATTCTAATATACAGTGATACATCGTAGATCCGGGCGGTACCGTACCCAGTGAAACAAAACAAAAAGGATTAACAAACATCCGGATTAAGGAATTATTTGTACGTTGTAAGTTTCTTGTTGTTGTTCATGCAGGAAATAATAGGTTTATGTGTTGCTTAACGCCGAACTCAGCAATATTTCAGCTTTATGACGGCGGTATGTTAATAATCGAGTTGGACCGGACAATCCAGTGATTGATATCAGCATCGATCTACGCGATTGGGATACGATGACGTGCATCAACCTAGTCAGTGAGCCTGACCACCCGATCCCTAGACTAACGCTTAATATCTGAAAATATATAATTTTGATAGATTGAAAAGGAGTGCAAATGGGATGGGAGATTCAGAACCTGATGAAAATCTAGACTTATTTCATTTAAGGCTTTTTCATTGCAGAGAGGGCTAGGCGGATGGGAAAATAATATGGTTCAGGGACAGTGAGACAGACTACCCGATCCCGTTAGTCGCCTCTTCTAACCGGGATCTTCATATACCCGGATAAAGGTATTCGGATGGTCAGGATTAAGTACCGTATTTACGAGGTTTCACCATAACTCAAGACAAGCGCCATTTTTTTTATTATTTAATATGATTTTATAAAACAGGTCGTGAAACAATGGCATATAAATGTTACGATGCTATGTGTTTTTCCCAAATGAGGTGAGGTGAGGTGAAATTGGGTTTAACGTCGCGTCCAAGATTATTGCACTTATATAGCGACGTGCATGTACGTGTGTGTTTGTGATTCTGCTTGTACTTGTCCGGACTGATGCCGATTTATAGTGCCAGCCCACTGAGATACCATGCCGCATGTTTAACATGAATACCCCACTCAGACACAGTATACTGACTCTGAGCCGACCAGTCCTTGGTTTAGCCCCTTAATGCCGAGCGCCAGACAGGGTAACAACAAGTACCATCTTTTAACGTCTTTTGGTATCGAACCCCTGACCTCCCGCTCTCCTTTTCCCCAATGAAGGATTACACCATATGTGCAGGCTTTCGCTGACTGAACTTGAGAGGCGCGTTTACGTGGATTGAACGTGCATCTACCTATGTACTGGTAAGGGTTGAAGGAGTAAGGGTGGATGATTATTTTTTTATCAGCCCTTAAAAGTAGGATAATGACTCAATTACTGACAATGTATTCTACACAGGCGAAATCTTACCTCCGAGAAAGGAAAATGTTACTATGAGGATAGATATATTTGTTGCAAAAAAAGCACAAATCATGCCAGACAGATGACACATTCCACCACAGAAAGCTGCGACTCGGCAGCCATATCTGTTTATGACCCACCCAATCAATGGACCTGAGAAGAGAAGAATAGATTTTAGAGAAATAATTTCTCTTGAAACCTGTTACTACAATGTACATCTCGTGTAACTACGACAGTTTACCTTTGCATATATTGTTCTGCTGCCAAATAAAGTAATATATCTATAGGATGTAAGGGCTTTACATATGATGACATATTAGCAAGAATGATATGACAGGAGACTCTGGTGTAAATTGTGCCCGACGTTCATTTTTGTCCTTACAAAATATAATGAGATACTGAGTTGGGTTCAACGCCGCTTGGGTTTCATTTATAGCATGGCGTGTTGGCTTTATTTTGGTGGAAAGACAAAATGTAAACATGTAACAAGGAATCAAAATCGGAGCAAATCTCAGAATAGGATCGACGACCAGCAGAACCTAGCACGACGAAGGGACGCAACTCTGCTTGGCAGAGGATATAATTACCACAGATTTATGTGTGAAAGATGATCAGTAAACCCATACAATGGCGTTAAGACTGGTACGTGAAGGGACCCTACCCACAAGATCTACCCATCTTTTAATCATTCAGATTAATTTATTAATCAAAGTGGAAGCCAAACCCCACCTACGTTAAATATGAAACTTTTGAAAGAAATTTCTATTCTAAATGTACGCGCAATAGTAAAATCAACAGAAATTGGTGTTCATATTGGAATCCAAGATGGCCGCCCAAATTGCGGATAAACAATGTATTTGTTTATAATTTTTTGGGGAAAGAGACATGAATGGGTTCATCAGAGCAAACTGGAGCTAATATGCCTCAAACATCGTGCAAATTCGCCCAATATCACGAATAGTGGTGGATGTATTCACGAATCATATGTATTTAGTCTCAATAAACGAACCAGAAAGAGTCAACGCTGCTGTGTAAATGGAGCCGACCCACGAGACTCTCGTGAGATCACTTTCAATCTCGTCCAGTAGGGCGGCCATTATTATTCCCAGTGAATACACATGGAAGCCTGTTAGAAGCATCCCGCAGAAGGAGACGCCAAGGATCACCCACGCCCAGCCCCCGTCGATGTCGGACTGGAACATCCCTAAAATCAATAAACAATACTGAGAAACAACACAACTCAATAACCTTTCATGCACCATTCTTTACAGTTCGCCGTGACGAGCCAACGCTTTAACCACAAGGCTACTCCACCGCCCCTTGCTTCACAGAGACACACATTTATTTTTTCGTTTCACGGGCCCGTCGCCCCTACTGAAAAGCAGCTGGAAAAGAAATAAAATAAACATAATATATATATTATATATATAGAGTGAGAGAGAGAATCTCACCCGAGTGTCTTTTGATATCAAATATATTAACACGAGTTGATAAAAGTGGAAAAATTCCGAGGCTTGCCGAGGATTTTTGCCACTTTTATGAACGAGTGTTGCTATATTTCATATCAAAAGACACGTGGGGGAGATTTTATTTATCGTCCAACATCATTCTTCCAACTTTTTCAATTTGTAGACAGTAATTAGCAGTGTCTTCAGTGTAAAAGTACTGCTAACAGCATCAGTAGAAGAGCCATCAGTGATGTCATTTTATTGTGACGTCATGGTAACCAGTGATGTCACAATGGTCTGCAAAGCATTGTGCTGTAATTTCATTGCAGCGATATCTACAGTGTAGATATCGCTTGATCTAAACCTGTGGGAGCCAGTTTTGGGTGAGAGATATATATATATATAATGGTTACTGGCCAAAACTGGATATATATATATATATATATATATATATATATATATATATAGTCTGTCTCCCACTTGCAATACATACTCTCTAATACAACATAAAATGGTTTATTATATACATATGCATAAAATACTGGAATTTATTAGTGACGATAGATCAAGTTATCAGTCACTAGTGACTGATATAAACAAGGTGCCGGACTACTTTCCCCTGAGTCAAAACATTAAAGAGTTATCCCCCTTTGGTTACGTCAGATGCCGACTGTACTAAGTCTCAACCGCAGGTGCCTAACTTCTCTTCAACTGACCACAGGAACTTTTTGACGAGTCAGATGTCTGGAAATAACATCTATGGCAATGTTAATATCACTCTTGCGCTGGACATGCTTCGCTCGTAAAAATATTAGAATCTCCCCACTTCACTCGATGAGATAAAAGTGGTATTTGAGAAAACACATTAAATATCCTCTATTTATCAGTGACGATAGATCAAGTTATCAGTCACTAGTGACTGATATAAAAAAAAGTTATATCAGTCACGAGTGACTGATACAAACAAGGTGCCGGAACTACTTGGAATTTTTTGACGAGTCTGATGTCTGGAAATAACATCTATGGCAATGTTAATATCACTCTTGCCGGACATGCTTCGCCAGACATTAGGCACAACTGGCGACAGCGAGACCTACCGCCGAGGCGAGAAGCGCCCGCTTGAATTTTCCGAGAATTGAACTTTCCTAATTTAATTCATGACAGCAAGCAACAATGTTTCAGTTAAAATGTTCGGGGTTCTATAAATGTGTTTATTTCAACTTTCATACTTATCTGTGAGAAAATTTGATCAAATTTGGCGGATTTTGTAAGCCTGGAGAGCGCTAAGCTGATCGTTCGACGTGGTCACAGTACTAACTGTTTATGTATTCATACGCCAATAAAATAATCGCTGTTTGAAAATGATTTCTGTTTTCATTTTAAACAGGAATGTTTAATTATGACAAACAAAAATGTCCACGGAACTTAATACTCCAGGGTTCAATTTAAGGAACTTGATTTAATTTGCACCAGGAGCACTTTGAAAAACTACTTGGACCAGACAAAACCAGGTTGCACCCTGGTCCCATAAATTTATCGAAGTTGAAACAGAAGCATAACTAGTCTAAATAAGTAAAATCTCAGACTTCTGATGACTGCCATGTGTCATGGATTACACATAAGACAGGGATTAGTGATGTAGTATGGTAAATAAAGCTGAGAGGTATTGAGTGTGTTCATGGATCAAAGACCGATGTTGCGAGGATAAGTAAGATTTAGACAAAAGAATGAGTTTTTTACATGCACTTGGTGCATGTAGACTTAAGTGTTAAGTTGCACTTTTCAATAATAGGTTGCACTGGCGCATGCTTTATATAGCTAAATCGAACCCTGCAAGTGACAGATGAAAGTAAACAATTCACGATTGTTATTATGAGTAATCATTACCAGATAGCCCTATCCATCATTTGGTTGTTGTGTTGGTGGGGTGGGTGACAGAAATAGTAAGTTTACCAACTTAGTGAATTTCACACTCCACCCACACACTAACATGTTAGTAGACTTTACTTATTAGTTAGGAAATATTTGTTAGACTAGTTGGTGGCCTATCGTAGATTAGTGGAATGTAATAATCAGTTAGTAGAGATTACTATACATCTTTCAAAGAGGAGTGAATTATACTAATTTAATAAGCGAGATTTACTTATCTTCTTCTCGTAATTTACTAACTGCAATGGTATATTAACATTGCTTGTAGTAAGTTTTACTAACTTTAATCAAATCTCGTTTCTTGGTCATTCTACGCTCCCTGTTGACAGCTTCTGAATACAGTTTGCAAAAGGAACAGAGTGTGTTTTGAAGAACGTGAATTAAACTTGCTTGGACTGTACGTTGAGCAAGGGAGCGGAAATCTGACGTTACCTGAACTCTCCTCTATTGTTTTATATGTAAATAAGTTTCAAACTGTCTCTATCTGCCACTGAAAAACGGTGAAGCTCTCGGCTTACCCAAATAAGCACTTCCCGCTATCTTCTCAGATTATAACTAATTGAGTGCCCATAGATTATAACTCGGGATCACCCTGCATTAGTCAGACAACGTACTATTTCAACCTTTAACCTCACCCTCAGTTTATCTCACAGTATCAACGGTTGCAATGTCAACCGCAATTATTCCTCCATTTCTTCCAAACATCTCGCATTCACGGACGCGCATGTTCCTTTGGTGTGAGTTATTTGGGTTTAACGTCGCTTTTAACAGTATTCCAGTTATATCGCGGCGTGTCAGCTTAATGTGGGAGGAAAGCCCGAAGTGATGCAGGTCTCAGACGTTGGAATTGGAATCGATTGCAGTGCCACCAGTAGCTATTTCGAGTTATGTCCCTTCTGTGTTCTTCCTCCAGATTCCACTTTTCATATAACTTGCATTTGCCTCAAACAAAATGGCGGCGCCCAGTCAAAACGATTTGATCATTTTTCAAGGTCTATCTTGTAATAAAAGGACCTCGCGAAGTGCATCAAATTACTTGAGCACCTTGATTAAAGATTAAAGATTTGGAAATATCTGTCCACGTCAAGTTGACGGTGAACGTGCTTTGCAAATCCTGCAATCGACCGAAATCTGTATTAAGAAACGGATGTCGCTTGCGTTACGCGATTTTGATTTGATTCGGCAAGGGTGGAAACTGGACTTTTATGGTCAGTTAGCCCCCATGCCTCGGGAAGATGTGTCTCCACTAGAAGTGAGTGTTACGAACCTATTCTGTACCGGCACTCCACAGGAAGAGAGTGTTGGGGACCTATTCTGTACCGGCTCTCCACAGGGAGCGAGTGTTGCGGACACAGGAAGTGAGTGCTGGGGACCTATTCTGTACCGGCTCTTCACAGGGAGCGAGTGTTGCGGACCTATTCTGTACCGGCTCTCCACAGGAAGTGGGTGTTGCGGACCTATTCTGTACCGGCTCTCAATAGGGAGCGAGTGTTGCGGACACAGGAAGTGAGTGTTGGGGACCTATTCTGTACCGGCTCTCCACAGGAAGTGAATGTTGGGGACCTATTCTGTACCGGCTCTCCACAGGGAGCGAGTGTTGCGGACACAGGAAGTGGGTGTTGGGGACCTATTCTGTACCGGCTCTCCACAAGGAGTGTTGGGGACCTATTCTGTACCGGCACTCCACAGGAAGTGAGTGTTGGGGACCTATTCTGTACCGGCTCTCCACAGGAAGTGAATGTTGGGGACCTATTCTGTACCGGCTCTCCACAGGGAGCGAGTGTTGCGGACACAGGAAGTGGGTGTTGGGGACCTATTCTGTACCGGCTCTCCACAGAAGGTGAGTGTTGGGGACCTATTCTGTACCGGCTCTCCACAGGAAGTGAATGTTGGGGACCTATTCTGTACCGGTTCTCCACAGGGAGCGAGTGTTGCGGACACAGGAAGTGAGTGCTGGGGACCTATTCTGTACCGGCTCTCAACAGGGAGCGAGTGTTGCGGACACAGGAAGTGAGTGATTGGGACCTATTCTGTACCGGCTCTCCACAGGAAGTGAATGTTGGGGACCTATTCTGTACCGGCTCTCCACAGGGAGCGAGTGTTGCGGACACAGGAAGTGGGTGTTGGGGACCTATTCTGTACCGGCTCTCCACAAGGAGTGTTGGGGACCTATTCTGTACCGGCACTCCACAGGAAGTGAGTGTTGGGGACCTATTCTGTACCGGCTCTCCACAGGAAGTGAATGTTGGGGACCTATTCTGTACCGGCTCTCCACAGGAAGTGAATGTTGGGGACCTATTCTGTACCGGTTCTCCACAGGGAGCGAGTGTTGCGGACACAGGAAGTGAGTGCTGGGGACCTATTCTGTACCGGCTCTTCACAGGGAGCGAGTGTTGCGGACCTATTCTGTACCGGCTCTCCACAGGAAGTGGGTGTTGCGGACCTATTCTGTACCGGCTCTCAACAGGGAGCGAGTGTTGCGGACACAGGAAGTGAGTGTTGGGGACCTATTCTGTACCGGCTCTCCACAGGGAGCGAGTGTTGCGGACACAGGAAGTGAGTGCTGGGGACCTATTCTGTACCGGGTCTCCACAGGGAGCGAGTGCTGGGGACCTATTCTGCACCGGCTCTCCACAGGGATCGAGTTTTGGGGACCTATTCTGTACCCATATGCAGCGTGTGTCTCATTGGCTGTATATATGATATAGCGCATAATCATTCATCCCTTAGCTATTCGAGAAATATTGCCACGTAGGAAACTTGTCATAACTGTCTATATACAACACAGTAATGTATCCTGTGCATGTACCTTGCTAACACCTGAGCACCTGCCAGACTATCCCAGTAACTAGTAGTCAGGTGGTGGCTGTACGCACCCACCACTCGATACACAGCAAATGTCTGCGTGCCGTGTGGCAACACAGGGTCTTTAATGGGTGATTTAGTACGTTCATTGTACAGCTGATTAACCTGGCTTATGTACTTGGTAGTTGTTACATGTTAACTATCTTGTAGCCATGTAGGTAATGATATACCTCTAACCCGGCGACTAGACCCGGGAACGGTCATAGATAATACTTGCGATAAGATCGTTCTGATTGTAAGCCCTGTACGCGTTCAAATTGAACTGGATATAGGATTGTTATTTCAATGCAGATTTCTTTCAGTAGTGCTTATTGCAAACGAATGGTTTTTTCAATGGTGGTTATTTCAAAACACTGTGTAGTACATTTCATCTCAATATTATAATTCCTAATACTTGTTTTTCATTTTTCTTTATTGTTAATTTTCATTAAAGGGAAAAGTGAGTGTCTGTTGAAACAGAATTACATGTGTTATCTATTATTTAAATCGGTAAAATAAATATACATGTTTGTAAACGACCTTTCTCCATGCCATGTACCTTCATGAAAAAATCATGATAACAATGGCACGATGCTCTTCAATCAAGTGATCATTTGACCCCCCGAAAACGTTTATACATTACATGTACTTTATTAACGTGTCAACAGTTAAAGCAGTTTACACAAGATAAACCTAATTAATATCTTATTCATTATTATTTTTATCCCTTGTTTCATGTAATACAATATTGAGATTATTAATTTGCGCAATAGAAACAGTCTAATTGCGTGTATCATGTATATACAATAAGATGGTACACTGAAAGTTGTTTGGTTATTTTTATGTTGTAATAATAATAATAATAATAATAATAATAATAATAATAATAATGTACAAGATTACGAGAATCTTAAACGATCGGCCTGCGGATAATCTCGCGAGCGGATTAGCGTGAGGTTGCGAAGTGACGTCACAATAGGAACAATAGAAAGATGGCGGATTAGCTCTAGTTGGGTCGCTAAGCTCTTCGAGTTTGATTACTTCACGCGTGTTTGTATTCAATGGCAAAATGTAACGTAGCGGAGATTTTCCCAGGGTTTCATGCTAGGGGAGGTAGCCGGGACGGGTAGAACGTTAAGATGGAAGCTCTGGCTGACCGAAGAAGGCGACTCTACGGACTGGATCGTTCCTTGGCTAGACAAGACATAGTGCAAACACTCACTAAAAGTCACGTTCTTCAAGACGGAGAATATAACTACACGAACGAAACACTGAAGGACGGGATCTGGCAAACAAGCGCTAAACGAGATTTTCCGGTGAGAACTGACAAATCGTTCTTTAGTTTATAATATTTTTCGGTTATTTTTATTTATGTTGTGGAGAGACATGCCGGTCCCCGCCCTTGTTTACTACCATTCGGTTTTGATATAATAACGGGAAGAGGATTTTAAAAATCCCTAACACCTTTTGGTCCATGTCGTTAAACAAATAAGTTATCAAATGAAAAAGAAACCATTTTTTAATTTCTTTGATACAGGGACACATACCCATTTTTTGGAATATTTTAATATAGTTTCGGCTTGTTATAAATCTTCCACTTTATATTTTTTATTGTATAGTGTAGATCATTAAATATAACAATAATAACAATACACTCACTCACCGTAATTTACATGTGTTGTTAATAAATATATGCTCCTCACTGGGATTCCGAGGGGCACTGGGGTAGCCTAGTGGTTGAAGCGTTGGCTCGTCACGCCGAAGGCCCGGGTTCGATTCCCCACATGGGTACAATGTGTGAAGCCCATTTTCCGGTGTCTCCCGCCGTGATATTGCTGAATATTGTTAGTTATGGTGTCTGTAGTTGCCGTATACGGTGTCATATTAGGTTAGCAGGAAAATATTTACTGCAATCAACACGAATGTCACTGACCCACTTTTACAAATATGGAAACGTCATAGAACAAACCAGATGACGTCACTATTGAACGTTACGTCACCTATCCCTATCCTATGACGTCACCTAACAACGGGCGTGATAATGGCCCGTCGTCAAGTAATATGAGGGCATTATCAAGTTACAGTGGCCCGCTCATTTCTGATAACATACGGGCGTTTTTTATGATAATTCTATCCATTTTAGTTACCGTTATTATAGCTAAAATGGATGGAATTTGTTATCAAATAATAAGAAACAACAATATCGGTTTTGAAACATTTACTGCAATCAACACGAATGTCACTGACCACATTTTACAAATATGGAAACGTCATAGAACAAACCAGATGACGTCACTATAATGCGTGACGTCATTTTCTCTACCCTATGACGTCACCTAACAACGGGCGTGATAATGGCCCGTCGTCAAGTAATATGAGGGCATTATCAAGTTACAGTGGCCCGCTCATTTCTGATAACGTGCGGGCGGTTTAATGATAATTCTATCCATTTTAGCTATAATATAAGGGTAAAGCTATTTTTCAGGGCATTATCATTTGCAGAAGCCCGAGGACTTCCATTCACTGCCCGACGAAGGAGGGCAATTGAAAAGACCGAAGGCTTCTGCAAATGATAATGCCCTGAAAAATAGCGTTACCGTTATTCTAGCTAAAATGGATGGAATTTGTTATCAAATAAAAAGAAACAACAATATCGGTTTTGAAACATTTACTGCAATCAATACGAATGTCACTGACCCCCTTTTACAAATATGAAAACGTCATAGAACAAACCAGATGACGTCACTATTGAACGTGACGTCACCTATCCCTATCCTATGACGTCACCTAACAACGGGCGTGATAATGGCCCGTGTCAAGCAAAATGAGGGCATCAAGTTACAGTGGCCCGCTCATTTATGATACCATGCGGGTGGTTTAATGATAATTATCCATTTTAGCTATAATAGGTCAGTAACAAAAATCTTGGATTTTTACTGACGGTATCCGGGCTCATATGGGGTTAGTAGTTCTGCGCGATGATTGGTCAATCTCACTTTGAGGCATAATAATGCTGAAAGCGGCGTAAAACCATACTCATATACTCATTGTCATTCAAGGCCAGAATTTGTCCCCTGCGACTTTCTGTGCTGATCTTAATCGCGACTTCACTGTCTTGGTTGATAGGTGCCCTAGTACCCAGTCGGCGTGGATCGTTGCTCATAATATCAATCACTGGATTGTCTGGTCCAGACACTATTATTTACATGCCGTCGTGATATGAACAGGAATAGTTATTGATGATCTTTACGACTTCGAATTACGAGGTGTGCGCGTGCGTGCGTTTGTACTTATTCGGAATAATGTTACAGTGCTAGCCCACTGAGATACAATCTCTCAGTTATAACCTGAATACCCCACTCAGACACAGTATACTGATTCCGAGCCGAGAAGTCCTTGTTTTAGCCCCTTAATGCCGAGTTCCAGGCAGGGTAACAACAAGTACTACATTCTAACCCCTTTTGGTATGACGCGAAACACCGACCGTGTGGTCCCCAGGCAGACGCTCTATCCACTAGGCCGCGAAGGCGATCCAACTGGCACAACTAGTGAGTGAGTGAGTGAGTTGGTTGTACATCGCTGTAATCAAGTTTTATCACGGTGTTATAGAAATCGAGATTAACGTGGTCTTTGTATCAAGATCAATATACCTTACCTTTCACGTGTCACAACAAGGGGACACCTCTTTGTAATCTCTGTGGATACCTATTATCAACCTGATAACAAACTCCTGTGTCCATATACAATCAGGGTAACCAGTTAGTTCTAGATTGAACAAGATCGTAAAAGTAGACGCGTTCACGGGTTGATTGGTGTGTGAATACCGTATTTCCTTTATAAATACGGTATTCTGGTTATTGCTTTGTCTAGACGTCTGCCTCATCTGTGATCTAAATGAAATTTTAACCAGATGCTAATATTTTGTTTGCTGGACGCATATTTAGCACATATTTTCATTTCAGTAAGTGTGTAAAATTATAGTCACGTCGGCAATACGTCACATTATGCGCATTATGTCACGATATGGGCCGCGTTAGATTGTTCAAGGTGGATGCGTATCACCACTATTTTTTAGTACAAATCCAGTGTGGATTCCTGATCAGACTAGGTCCCCAAGATCTTAGTCCCGTCAAGATTCAGGGTTATTTATAATTGATATTCAGCAACGCATGCATGTCTCAAGAGGCGACTATGGGGATCGGGTGGTCAGGCTCGCGAACTTTGTTGATGCATGTCATGGCATCCCAGGCTCTCTGACTTGGCTGATGTCATCACACCCCGACTGAGATAGACACCGCTTATCGTCCACGGCATCTTCCCGTGACATTGGCATTTCTTGACTCGGTCGTAGCTAGTGCCACCAGTGGCTACTAAGAGTAATGTCCCTTCTACGTCCCTCCTATTGAACAATCAGATTCCACTTTTCATATAATTTGCATTTGCTTCCAACAAAATGGCGGCGCCCAGTTAAAACGATCTGCTCAAATTTCATATGCCTCGCTTTGTAGGAAAATATACATCTTTGCAGATTATATTAAAATTGTCAAAAGAAGACAGCTTGTTATATCTTATTATTTACCAAAAGTAACAATTGATCAACTATTTTCATTTTGGAAAAAAATGAGCTACTAAACATTCAACTTTAACATTCCAACAAACGTCAATCGATATGGTAACACTTGTCACGCAGCTTACAGCTATGGCAACATATTCCCAGCTGTCGCACAGGGACGTACATGCCATACTCAGACAGCGGTGAAATACATGCTGTGTTTGAGTGTCGGCGGAGAGTTAGATTACGTACCTGCTTTAACGAAAGGACGTCAGTAACCTCAGGACTACATGACTTTTCCCAATTCAAGACACGGCGTCCCAAACGTGCACTCGATATCAGCTGGAAGTGACGTCAAATTGCTCGATATGACTCGGGAGTTTCGACTGTTTTACACGTAACGTATTCTCCTATTGCCCACAGCCTTACGCCAATATTGATTGTGCTATCGCATGGTTGCACGTTTGTTTTTTATATTTGTTTATTTGTTGTTTAACGCCGCACTCAGCCATATTTATTCCAGCTATATGACGGCAGTTTGTAAATAATCGATTGATATCATGAGCATCGATCAACGCAATTGGGATACGATGACATGCATCAAACAAGACCGTTAGTCGGCCCTGGTTATAATTATATACTTCTTGTTTTTACAGGGCACTGAGCTAGACCGCGATCATGTTGCCGCCGGGGTTGGCCAGGTAAGATATCACTTTATTACCCACGTGGTGAAGATACAGGTGGTAAGATACTAAATCCGTACGTCACTTTCGTTTTGATTGGATAACCGTGACCTCTGTCACACCGGGACTACTTTTTTCATTCATAAAAAAATCGCGAGACGTCATTCATTTTGCAACTACAAGGCAGAACTGAAGAAATTAATAATGAGAACGAGAGATATTTACAAACACTTTATTAAACCAAACAAAATAGTCACACGCATCAAATTCTGTTTGCATCCTATATAAGTTATGCATTGAGCTTCCACAGACATTATATAATCGATCAATAGAGCGAGGGTCCCCCATGAGCGTGACGCACCCGACAACTTTCGCAACTTTCAATTTGATTTAACGTAAAAGGATAAGCCTGGTGAAATGAAGTCTGTTTAACTATCCGGAGAGATATCTAGACTTACTTGGGATGATCCGGTTGTGCCATCAGTGTCCCCTTCGAAGCGTATTTTGTGGCGCTGTTTCGGGAGGTGTTGTTCATGAATGAACGTACACGACTGCACGACCAGATACAAATCTTTCGAAAAATCCGTGGAAGTGTGCCTGACTTCTGATTTTGTGGCCCCAAACATCCCAAATGTGAACAATAACACTCCCTATCTCTAGCGTAAAAAGCTGTGAGTAGACCACGGTTGTCTTTTCTTATTCCGATGGTGACCTTGCCCTTCGATTGCTCGAAGCTGTCACTGACATGCAAGCAGACTTAAGTTTGTTGATTTTCACGTCTTCAGTATAGGGTGGTACAGTTAACATGAATGTCTTTGGCGAACACTCTGATTTCCCTCTTCCAAAATGGTACGAACATGATATAAATTTAGCTGATAGATCAAGGAAACCGAACCATTTTGATTGCACAGACGGGACATTGGGAGTGCGAGTGACCGACTGTTGGTCCGATATTCAAAGCGCGGCGCTTATGTGACTTTTCAAATTTCTTATAGGTGTCCTACGCACTAATAACATGGCGCTTGAATTACCATAAGTTGAAGAATTTCTTCCAAAAGGATCTTGAGCATCGGTGCTGTTTTCTTTGCAAACACAACTGCGTATGCATAGAAATGTCAACAATGCCCATATTTGGGCATTTATCAATATTCATACGCAACCAGATTTTGCAACCGGTTTCAGTTTGGTCTGTCAATATATATTTAACGTGGGTAATAAATAAAATACCACACTCATATTCGTTAGATACCATTTATAAGAAAGTCCACTCGTTTTGTAAAAATGGTATCTAACGAGAATGAGTGAAGTGTTCTCTATTTATTACCTATTGACCTTTTTCACACTTTCGCCATCTTGGATCGAAAACGAGGCTTGGAGAGCATAGCTCCATGTGAGAGTGAGACAGTGACAGTGACAGTGAGACAGTGAGAGTCGCATCAGCTCATAGTGAACAGATAGCATGTTGTGCATTTCACTGATGGACATTTCAAACAAACCAAAACTGGTATCCTCTGTATCTAATACAAAATATATTTCACATTAAATCATGAGGCCCAACTAAAATATGCCTGTAATACACTGGAATTTGCATTTTGCTGTCAGGATCCCGGAAGTTAATCGAAAGGTGCATTTCGAGATACGTATTTCAGAAATAGATTGTTTTATCATAACCTCGTCGGCATATAGGTACAATTTGACAGTTCATTCAATGACAGAAGTTTTGTATCGTAAATAAACCGCATAACATGAAACACGTCAGTGTACTTTTGCAAAACTGCTCAGTCAATGCATGGCTTGGCGAACTCTAGATCAAGATTGAGATAATGTTTATTTCACGTTTCATAGTGGTGTTTGCTGCACAACGCACTATCGTTTTGCCACGAGTCCAGTTGACAAATGACACTTTTTCTGCTATGATTTTCATTTTAACATATTACAATGTTAATTATGAAAATAATTCGTGTGTCAAAATAAATATTCAGAAGGGGCGATAACTCTATTCAGTGTGTACAATGACAGATGATACTTTACTTGTTCTTCAAACAAAACTTACTTAACTGATTATTGCAGATTGTGATTGCACCGTGCACGACAAAAGTAATCATGTGAACTGTTTAAAATAAGTTAAAAGGAAACTAAAAATTTATAAATATAAATAATGCATGAAATTGAAGAAATACTAGTATAAGAATTGATACAACTACCAACTTCTTGAACACCCTCAATCTTGTATGATGATAGGTAATTGTATATCAAAAGGAAGCTACTAATACATTTATCCTGAATAGTTTGAAAATGTCTTGATCAGATATGAGTACAGATAAAATAACAAAAGATAAAAAGGAATCAACTTCAATTGGTAATCAAGCCAAGATAAAATATATGTTTCTGTACAAATTATGTTGATGGAACAATCTGGATTTCTCATATTTAACAAAGAAAAACAAACCAAAATTTTTATATCTTTATTTCTCACAATATAAGTTTTCAAAACTTAACATGGACTGGGTGTCTTTGTCAGTCAAAAGCACCTAATCAAGTTCCAGGAGAAAATAATTTTCTTGCTTGTAAACAAATGGTACAATGTGCTTTTTCAGTGTCTGATAAATATTGGCCATGTTGATTTGTGAGTGAATAAGGTTTTTCACTTCCTCGTCCTATTTAAGTCAAATGTGACAGGAAGCACATTTGTTGATTGACTGAATATGGCTTTCTACTTCCTCGTCCTTTGACAGGACGCACATTGTAACCATTGTGCTACTGTCAGCAGAAAGCTCCTCCAGACATCCGTCACCCGGATACTAGTACTTCATTGTGTTGACTCGCTGGCCTGAAATGAATTATTCAGTAATATTGTAATAATATACCTACTTCAATAATATTTTTTATAAACAATGCATATTCACCTTCTCTCAAAATATTGCTTATTTAGAAAACAACATTCTTCTGAAATAGAGAAGTTTAAGGAAAATTAATCACAGTGTGTAACATTACATTAACATATCTAGATATGGTCAAAAGGTCAATATTTCGACTTCAAATACAACCCGCAAGGTTATTTAAACTCACAATAAATAGTTTGGCTGAATGGTGTGTAAACAATGAATTATTCTTTACAAGATTTCAGTAGCATTTGTATTAAGTCTTTTCAGCTACCATAAACTGCACTGGGAGTTACCAGGTGGTCATGGATATTTTAAATTGAAATCACAACAGAACGGCCAGACTCAAATTTATATCGGTAAGGAGACCAGATAACAGTAGAATAGTTTGTCAATAAGAATAATGTTCAATACTTATGATAAATGTACCGGGATGGTTAAATTGTCACAGTTTGTCCCGATTGCGTGCCTTGTTGACATCTCCATGTGTTTCATGTGCTATCCAGCCTTCACCTTCTGCTCTCCAAGTCTCGCTTGCAAACCGGAAGTAGAGAAGTGTAAAAAAATGTCAATAGAGTTAGAAATAACCGAGTTCATAAAAATCGTATGTGCACTAGTGCAAACATCACTTCTGACGCACCAGTGTATTGTTTAGTCATCCGAAAGGCATTGTTGACGTCATTCGAATCTCATTGTGACGTAAGGTCGGAATGACGTCACGCTAGACTGTGTGTCATACTGATTTTACGAAACTCGTGTAAGAATTCACGTATTACCATCGCTCCCACTTGGGAAATACAAGAATTCTGACTCTCGTTTCGTAAAAAAATCAAGACACACATGCACGTTTAATAGTCTCTATACAGTGTATGGAGTGATAGAGTTGAGCCAAACGTCACTCTGAATACTGTTTCAGTCATGCCACGAGTCAGCTCATTAATGGAGAAAAGCCAGAAACGAATGTCATAGACTTTTACAATGACAACGGTACGGTCATGACAGATTAATGAAAATAAACGGTGCGATATTCAGATTCGAACATATAGGATCAACGGATCCTGACATCTAAGGGAAGTAACCCTTATCGTTTCTGCAGCGGATACAGGTCTACCCGTGTCCATGTTTCGCCTCTAATCCAAACTGCTGCTATTATTACTATTATATTAATTATTTTAGGGGCTGTTGAGTACCCTAGAGGTTAAAGTGTTCGCTCTTCACGCCGAAGACCTGGGTTCGATTCCCCAAATGGGTACAGTGTGGAAAGCCCACTTCTGATGTCCCCCGTGATATTGCTGCAATATTACTGAAAGCGGCGTCTTACCGTACATACTCACTCACTAATACTATTACTGCTACATTCACTCCTGCTTGATAACGGTGTAAGAATCTACATGAAGCGTCACTATATGCAATAAACCAGAAGTTGTTATCCATAAAGTTGTACGTTTTTCTTACATTCATCCACTGGATCAAAACTGTTCTCCTTGTACGTCTGTCCATGTGGTATTGTACAGGGTTACGAAAACGTCGAATCATGATTTAATAAACATCCTAAAAGATTTATTTTTTTTTTAAATTTTATTTTCTTTAAATTTAAAAACATAAACTTATGTACAAATGTCTTCGTTTCATCAAGTGTTGTATAAACTTGAGAGACAAAATTGTGATGCTGTTGCAGCTCGATCATCACTTCCACCTTGGCAATGACTCGGGATCGAACCTCCCGACAAAAACCTACCAAGGCAGCACCACCAAAGACGACTTCGACACCAAGTCGTTCTCGAAGGTATAGTAATAATTTAAACTATTACAGTGAACGATGAGCATGTTATCCTCGACTATAAATGCTATTACGAAGAGAAAGGGTGTTATGAAACACGGAATAGCATGTTATATCAATGTTCGAATGTCGATGCTTGCAGGGCCCTTTGTGTGGTTATAAGTCTCGAGTCCCAGGCGTGTGTGTGTTCGCGGTGATATGATGCATGAGGCACTCAAACATGAGTACGCCTGGGTTTAGGTACGCGCAGAATACAAGTCTCGTAGTTTGGGTGTGAAGTGAGATGCCCAGTACACACACTTGTATACGTCTGGCGTTACATCTGATGCGCGATGCGCAGGACTGGGCTCATTCATGAAGTGCGTTTAGCAAAACACGTACGCATAATGTGTGTGGCGAGTATTGCGCACAATATATAGGCCTAAGGTGTGGGGCGAGTTTGGCGTTTAACACACATACGCCTTAGGTGTGTGGCAAGTAAAGCGTATGGCAAATACGCCTTAGAACCTAAGGCGAGTATGGCGTTTACACAAACGCATACTAGGTGTGTGGCAAGTAAAGCGGATAACACATACGCATAAGGTGTGTGGCGAGTATGGCGCATTACAAATACGCCTTAGAACCTAAGGCGAGTATGGCGCTTACACATACGCATAAGGTGTGTGTGGCAAGTTTAGCGCATAACACACACGCATTAGGTGTGTGGCAAGTATAGCGTATAACACATACGCATAAGGTGTGTGGCGAGTATAGCGCATAACAAATACGCCTTAGAACCTAGGGCGAGTATGGCGCTTAACGCACACGCCATATGCGTGACTACGCCTTAGGAAACGCCCGTTGTTAGATGTTGGGTGGATGCGCAGAGGTTATTGTTTGGTATCTAAATGTTTAATCCTCGTCTGTCCTCAGCCGGCGGTTCTTGCGGCGGATCGGACCATCAACTGGCCCGTAAGTATATACTAGTTTAACGCAGAGCTAACCTAGTACCTGAATAAGGATAATTAATTATCGTAATCGAGGCTAAAAGGAAACATCCGGTTCTTAAATGGTTGACATATTCCTTCATTTGCATAAGCGTGACGGTACGCATGTTAACCGTTAACTGTATAGATAGTCAATATGCTTGACGTTATGACTACAACCGACTGATTCCATCTGCAGGACATGGCTCCCCGATACGCCCCACACCGCGCCATCGGCCAGTCCGAGTACAAAAACACCTTTATGTTGGCGGTAAGTTGCGTCGTCTCGGTGGGTTGATTCTATAAAATACAATAGGAATTTCAAGCGCCAAAGGTTTTACATCACTCTAAAGCCTTTTGCACATTCGTAAACCCTAATCAAACTATCATTTTTTTTCTACGACTTGCGAAACCTTTGACTTAACCAGTAGTTCGGCGTTGCCCGTTTAACTCACTCACTGAAATTTCTAGGGCCGAGCGGCCACTGCCCCAGTCTTCCCCAAAGTGAACACCTGCAAGATGAAACTCCCACTGGACCCTGCCAAGTTCCACCTGCAGAGGGACAGTCACTTCGATTTCGGCCACGACGAGTCCAGGTCAGTTGTTTTACATCCATCCTGAACAAAAGTATCACATCTGTGTTGTCCACTTTAAAAAAGTAAGAGAATGTCCGAGGTACTTAAACATACCTGTAAAAGTAATTGTCATTGCAGCGGCGTGAGCGAGCATATGCGGACATACGGGCGGTCAAGGCAGGATGACCTGTCGAGCAAGCTGGCCAGTACGGGGGACGCCCTGAAGATCAAACGTCACATGAAGGAAATGGAGCTGACCTCCAACGTCTTCCGAGGCGGCGACTACAACGGCGTAGGTGAGTTGTCGGGTTTGTCTTGACGGCGTCTACAACGGCGTAGGTGAGTTGTCGGGTTTGTCTAGACGGCGACTTCAACGGCGTAGGTGAATTGACGGGTTTGTCTAGACGACGACTTCTTCGGCGTAGCTGAGTTGAGGGGTTGGTCTAGGCAGCATCTACAACGGCGTAGATGAGTTGACGGCTTTGTCTAGACGGCGACTTCAACGGCGTAGGTGAGTTGACGGGTTTGTCTAGACGGCGACTTCAACGGCGTAGCTGGGTTGACGGCTTTGTCTAGACGGCGACTTCAACGGCGTAGCTGGGTTGACGGGTTGGTCTGGGCAGCGTCTACAACGGCGTAGGTGAGTTGACGGGTTTGTCTAGGCGGCGACTTCAACGGCGTAGATGAGTTGACGGGTTTGTCTAGACGGCGACTTCAACGGCGTAGATGAGTTGACGGCTTTGTCTAGACGGCGACTTCAACGGCGTAGCTGGGTTGACGGGTTGGTCTGGGCAGCGTCTACAACAGCGTAGGTGAGTTGACGGGTTTGTCTAGACGGCAATTTCAAAGGCGTAGGTGAGTTGACGGGTTGGTCTGGGCAGCGTCTACAACAGCGTAGCTGGGTTGACGACCTTGTCTTGGCAGCGTTTACAACGGCGTAGGTGAGTTGACGGGTTTGTCTAGACGGCGACTTCAACGGCGTAGGTGAGTTGACGGCTTTGTCTAGACGGCGACTTCAACGGCGTAGATGAGTTGACGGGTTGGTCTAGGCAGCGTCTACAACGGCGTAGATGAGTTGACGGGTTTGTCTAGACGGCGACTTCAACGGCGTAGATGAGTTGACGGGTTTGTCTAGACGGCGACTTCAACGGCGTAGCTGAGTTGTCGGATTTGTCTAGACGGCGATTTCAACGGCGTAGCTGAGTTGTCGGGTTTGTCTAGACGGCGATTTCCACGGCGTAGCTGAGTTGACGGGTTGGTCTGGGCAGCGTCTACAACAGCGTAGGTGAGTTGTCGGGTGTCTCTTGGAGGTGACGAGAACGGTTTTTGATTCAATGGATGTTTCCAGGGGATACTTGTTTTTCTAGGTTGGAAAGGTCAGCATATACGACCCCGACACTCGTTTTGGTGGGCACGTAAGGCTCTGTCAGCTAAGGTGCCACAAATCGCTTTGCAACGCCTTGTAACCCCACTTACCCACTTCTGGGTTTCAAATCAAGCTCATTCCAGTTGAATGCTACGATGCTACACAATGTCTTTCTACACGTACGCTCCTGTTGTTTCAACGTACTGCTTTAATGTATTTTGCTGCTCGTATTATCATTGTAATGATGATACCGATGACGATGATGACGATGACAATGATGATGATGATGATGATGCTGATGATGATGTTGCAGCTGCTCACAACTACGAGACAACCACCTTTGGTGACTATGGTCCCCGAACAAGACCCCCAGCAGAGATCATTGCACTCCAGTTCAACCAGGACAAGCCGTAAGTAAACCGTGCGAAGACGCCGTGAATGTTCAACAGAACAGAGAAGTTCAAACCTTATTAATACCTTATCAAACAGAAACTGTTCCTCACGTGTCATTTCGGATAATACCCATAATGGACCCTTGAAGATCCGGGTTAGAATTGATCCTCAGAAACCAATGCTTGTCGTAACAGGCGACTAACGGGAACGGATGGTCAGGCTGGCAGACTTAGTTGATGAATGTCATCGTATCCCAATAGCGTATTTCGATGCTAATGATGATCAATCACTGGATTGTCTGGTCCAGACCAGATTATTTACAGACCGCCGTCATATATTTGGAATATTGTTTGAGTGCGGTGTTAAAAAACAAACAAACATGATAACATAGGGGTATTAAATAGAGAATCTCACTCGAGTGTATTTGATATAAATATTATATATTATTTAAATCTTTCAAACTTTTGTCAACGAGTCACCTGTCACGTCACGTCACTTCACTGCTCTGGAAGCAAAATACGACTAACCCCTGTCACAAGTATTAATGTTATCCTCCATCTGTTACGAAGAAAATGAACATCTACATGAATGTTGCAGGCGGGATGGAAGAGCGTCTGAGAACGTCCCGAACGAACTGACCACGTATGCGAGACAGCACACTGTTCCGGCAGTGTTCAAAGGTAGGACCCACGTCATCTTTCCGAGGCAAGAGAGTTAACTGACTTTAAAAGTCCAGTTTCCACCCTTGCCGAACTAGGCTGGTATTATGGAGTTACATTTTGGCTGGACTAACGAGTCTATGCATAGTCCAATCAAAATCGCACACCGAAATCGAAATCCGGTTTGTTAACTGTCGTTCAGATTTCGGTCCTGCAGATAGTCCAGCCAAAAGTGTAACTCCATAATACCAGCCTAGTTCGGCAAGGGTGGAAACTGGACTTTTAAAGTCAGTTAACTCTCTTGCCCCGGGAAGATGGATCCACGTAGGAGACTAGCTTAACCCATCCCTCAGAATATTTGTACTCTGGGCTCCTTGCAGCTAAAGTCCCCGCCAAACTTCAGTGTCTGTCGTAAAAATACGGATCGGGCGGCCATAATGTGTGACCTGTCCTCTTGCGTGTCATCGGACCCCGACGGTGTGGATAAGGACGCTTCGAGATCATTTAGGCCTTGCAATGTTTCTAATAAAAGTTTTCGAAACAGAAGGGTATAAAAACTAAATTCTCATCAAATACTATTAAGTAAAAATAATTACTTACCGCTCAAAACCGAAATTATTGAAGATGACTGGCACAATGATGATACACAATTGGTCAACCTTTCGTGGCGTCATGGGGATCAATTTCGAATTGTTGTCATCAGCTGATTTCCTCTTGTTTCAGATGCACTGGATGGGAGGGATTATCAAAGAGCGGCTCATTTCAAGGTCAGCATGCATTGTTTCCCGGCCCGTGAAGATCCGGGGTAGGATAGGTCTTCAGCAACCTATGCTTGCCGTAAAAGGCGATTATGCTTTTCGTAAGAGGCGACTAACGGTATCGGGTGGTCAGGCTTGCTGACTTGGAAGATGCATGTCATCGATCCCAATTGCGTGGATCGATGCTCATGTTGTCAATCACTGAATTGTCTGGTCCAGACTCGATTATTTACAGACCGCCGTCATATAGCTGGGATATTGCTGAGTGCGGCGTTAAACAACAAACAAACAAACAAACATTGTTTCCCAGCCAACTGTTCTTTAAGGTTCACAGTAAAGTTAATTCCTCTGTATGACCTTGATTTCTCTTTGCTCCCAAGGTAATTCCAAACCATGTGTCATGTGTCAGTTTGCAAGTGTGAGGACAGGACATATATCGCAAACTAGGAACCAACTTGCATCTTGCTTAGGCTTGCCCTGTATTGGTATTCATTCATTATCCCCCGCCCAACAAAGTTGGCGGGGAATATAGAAACGGGCTCCGTCCGTCCGTCCGTCCGTCACTTTTCGTTTCCGGAGCATAACTCATACACCGTTCAGTATTTTTTCATCAAACTTTGCAGGTCTGTCAGGTACATGCTGAACTGGTGCCTTTTGCTATTTAGAAATTTTAGAAATCTTTATTTTTTACGTTTCCATGGCAACAAGATGGACTTAGGTTCTGTGAGGGTAGGGTTCGTTTCCGGAGCATAACTCATAAACCGTTCAATATTTTTTCATCAAACTTTGCAGGTCTGTCAGGTACATGCTGAACTGGTGCCTTTTGCTATTTAGAATTTTTTTATTTTTTTATTTTGTTACGTTTCCATGGCAACAAGATGGACTTAGGTTCCAAACTCTTCTTTTTTTTACAATTTCCATGACAAGTTCCACCTCGGTTAAAAAAGGTTAGGGTTTGTTTAGATTTAATTATTTCATAAATTCTGCAACAGGGGCGGGGGATATAGCCACGTTAGTGGCAAACTCTTGTTACATGTTTGTTTGTGTACAAGTAAATAACAAAGCATTTGTCTACAGCTCGGCTCTGACGCCAACACAGTCGCCTCCATCTACGGCAAGGACTTCGCTCCGGGTGGGATGGTGACTTGGAGCAAGCCAAAGTTCTATGAACCGCCATCGGCTGGCAATGTAAGTGTCTCCTTAATCTTACAACTTACAAGTCCGTGAGTTTTACGCCGTTAAGAACAGTATTTTAAATCACGATGCGTCAGTTTGAAGTGGAAGGAAAGACGAAGGTGACGCCGGTTAGACGGTAGAAGTTTCCGCTGTGGTGAAACCCACAAGCTTTATGCTGACTCGGGACTCACAAGCAGCCCTGTTCTGATACTGCCAAGGTACGCAACGTGGCACAAAGAATTGCGATGCCACGGCCGATGTAAAAGGTCTCCAATGATTATGATCAGGAGGAATCTGGGTTTTCGCACCCACGATCAGCGGATCCTGGCGCGAGTAAGGGACGCAAGTCTCGCGCCACATGTGACCCCCTTTGTTTACATTAGATTAGTGTACATGTAATTAGATACATATCTCATGTTATTGTAGTACACAGTAATTGATACTTTGCAATTGAGTCTAAACCACATTCAAGTTAGTTAAAAGAAATATCCGCGAAATCTAACTTGAGAAACGTTCGTGCAAAATTAACGATATGCTATCGAATTCGCTTCTGCATGGGGGATGAACAGCACATTTTGACACATATTACCGTGTTTCTCCTTGTTATGTTGTATACAGTTCTTGTAATTCATGTCTTTTCTGGGGACACTGGTGTCCTAGTCGTCTAAGGCGCCGCGATTCGCTGTGCAGAGTTGCGTCCCTTGGGCACGCCAGAAACCTATGATTGTGGGTTCGAATCCCGGTTCGCCCCGATTATGTTTCTAGGTTTGTCAGCACCATACCCGTGCTCGTGGGTTTCACCGAAGTGGTAAACGCCTTTCCTCCCACATTAAGCTGACACGCCGTGATATAACTGGAATAATGTTAAAAGCGGCGTTAAACCCAACTCACTCACTCATGTCTCTCATGTATCTTCTCCAGCTGCTGCAGAATGATCCTGATTTTTCCAAGTTTGGCACAACCAGCAACCAGACGGACTTCACTTTCTCAACCATGCCGATGGCTAAGGTGAGTGAGCAGGTATTCTACGCCTAGTTTGCCCACAGTCCTGAAGGGCGAGAGATGCCTCCGTGGTGTAGTGGATTGAGCCTCTGCCCTTAAAAAAGATGATCGGTGGATCGATCCCCGCCTGGGACGTTAATATATAGCGCGACATAATAACATAAAAAAGGACTGGTCGGCTGGGAGTCGGTAAAATGTGTCTGAGTGGGGTATTCATGTTAAACTGTGGCATGGTATCTCAGTGGGCAAGCACTATAATACCGTCATTAGTTCTGAATAGTAAGCACATACACGTCGCTATATAAGTGCAATAATCTCGAACGCGACGTTCACTTAATCTCATGGGGGACAAGCCAGTGATTCTAACAGTGCCAAGGACTTTCCCGTGAGCTAATATTTTTCGTTTCGTTTGTTGTTTAACGCCGCACTCAGCAATATTCCAGCTACATGACGGCGGTCTGTAAATAATCGAATCTGGACCAGACAATCAAGTGACTGATATGAGCATCGTTCCACGCAATTGGGATATCATGACATGCATCAACCAAGTCAGCGAGCCTGACCACCCGATCCCGTTAGTCGCCTCTTACGACAAGCATAGTCGCCTCTTACGACAAGCATGGGTTGCTGAAGACCTATTCTACCCCGGATCTTCACGGGCCGGGAAACAATGCATGCTGACCTTGACCCCGGATCATGACGGGTATCCGCCGGGAAGTGGCACCGGTCCCCCACCAACTATTGGTGTCCAACAAGTTCCTGGGAATAAACCAGTGATCGTGTAGGCCGTTTGAGATGATTATGATCGTTTTCCTAACTTTCATTGTTGTGATAGTCTATATATGTCGGGAAAGCTTTTCAAAATTTACTTAGTATTGACTAAGTGTTGCTGTTTAAGGGCGCGGATGGCAGGACCATCATGGAGGGAAATATTGACCGTCGTCATGGTAATAACGTCATTCTGTCATATGACCCTTCACGTCACGCTGACGACAGACAGAAATCACGTAAGTTACCGAACATAATCTTTCTGTTATCGTTCTATTGTATTTGCGACCTACCATGAACAATGTGATATGAAAAATCCAATAAATTATCTTGTAGAAATATTATCCAGTGTAATATATCACTATTCTATTATCTGTAACATTAGAAACGAGATACAATACATTTATATGTTGTTTATTATAGAAAGGATATATAATACGCTAGTTAATCTAGAATGCAGAAATTTATACGCTTTTAAGAATCAGAGGATGGAATAGTGTACCAAATTATATTGGTAATTTACAAATGTTTCAAATATCAACGCAATTTAATATTCACTATGAACAAGCTAGCCAAGGTAGGAATTATTAAGTAAGGAGAAGATATATGGATGAACAACTTCTTTATTACAATTAGGAGTGACGTTTCGGTGTAGGTTCTAACACCGTTATCAAGCATAACGGTGATAACGGTGTTAGAACCTACACCGAGCGTCGCTCCTAATTGAAATAAAGAAGTTGTTCATCCATATACGTATCTTACTTAGTACTCCAACTTCTAAATGCCTCTCAAAGAAGGAATTAATAACACTGATTTGTGTATCAGGATTTAGTTTCTATAAAATGTTAATATATTCCCACATATGTTTTCTTTGTCGTAAAATATGAAACGCCTTACAATTCCTTCAAACGTCTGTAGTGTCCCACGGAGACTACCTTAATCCCCCAAGTGCGTACACCCCAATGCAGCCTGTGAAAGCACCTACTGTAGAGTTCGACTACTTGAGGACTAACGACGCGCTACCTTATGAGGGCTTGCCCAATCTCAGCGAGGCAAAGGTGAGTATCGAGACGAATGCTGTGCTGTCTACAGTCGCTCTGCTACACAATGTATATATGATATACAGTATGTACAGAATTTTCTTAAGAATTCTCTTAACTCGCTAAGAAAATTCTTGGCTAAGAGTTACACTCAGGAATGTGCTGTCTACAGTCGCTCTGCTACACAATGTATATATGATATACAGTATGTACAGAATTTTCTTAAGAATTCTCTTAACTCGCTAAGAAAATTCTTCGCTAAGAGTTACACTCAGGAATGTAATCATAATGACTCTAAGAGTAACTTTAAGCTAAGAGTAAAGTTAAATTTGGAGAGTAACTCTTAGTTTGGACGTTGGTCGTAACCAGGGACACCTGTTCTATATTTAGAATTCCGAGCACTCTTCGGGTTTAGGGGCATGATTTTGTATCACGTGATTGTCACGTGATGTCAAGTTGACGTGCATCTGATAGCTTTGCGGGGTGGATTTTCACAAAGCGTCACCATGAAACGCAAACCGAATGGGTCCAACTTGTCAATGAGTGGAAGAAAATTATCAAGGGCAAGTTACGCCGCAATTCAGATTTAAGAGTAACTTTTGGTATTTCTTAGAATTTTCTCAGACGTAAGACCTCTTTTAGCACTGTAAGAATGTGTGCGAATACCGCCCTGGTTCTATTATGACTATTCGGTTTCGGATTCGATACTTTCCTTCTACAACAAGAATGCAGTTTGTGAGTGAGTGGGTTACATGGGGTTTTCTCCGCTTTAAACATTAACTCAGTTACATCTGGGCCTAAAGTGGGGCAGGTCGTCGATGTTTTTCTCTTGACACTAAATCCTCTAAACGCGGTTAGAGAGCTTGAAATTTAAGGACTTTCGTCTGGATGAATTTTGTACACGACCCAACAATCTTCGACCCCCACAATTTTTCTTAGTCTTTACCGGTATTATTTGTGCACTTGACTTGCACTTTGGAACGTCATAGCAGGGTATTTATTTAGTTTATCAAAGCCGACCTTGAGTGAGTGAGTGAGTGAGTATGGTTGTGTGCCGTAATATTCTAATTGGGCATCGCACATTTAACGCATGTAGTTGGCGCACACGGGTATTCGGCGAGCGAACTATTAAAAGTAAAGTTACCCTGTCCCTAAAGGCTTTAAATAATTTAAAATGACCTTGGCGTTGGTAGACAAACAACAGTATTTATCATTCTACTTCAGAATACTTTTGCCGGTACCTTCATGGGCGGCATCCATGCCATGGACCGTAGAAGACAGAAAGAGGAACATTGTCGAGATCGAAATCAGATGCGCAAGGAAACCCACTTCACACTGGGATATTCCGGTCCTGACTTCATCACAGAGACAAACAACCAGTTTGATGGCCGCCCTCAGACAGACCAAGAGAAACACCCTGCCGGAAAGACCGAGTTTATTCCGGACACGAAGTTCGGACACTTGAACGCCAGTGAGAACACCCAGGACATGAAGGCTGCTGACCCGTACGTGTCCTCCAGCAAAGAGGCTTTGACCATCCGGAACCTGTTTGAGCCGGCCAAAACGGAAGCTGCTTTTAATACCTCTGTGATGAAGAGTGATTATACTCCGCTTGGAAGAAGAAGGTGAACTCTAGTCGGTTCTCTCGAATAGTTAGCTTGTCTCGAACTTCATTCAGCATCAGCTATCGCTGAATGTGTTTAATGCATTTTCATATTAAGGAAATTACTTTGAAATCACTGAATCATTGCAATGTAGATTATATGACTGAAACAAGGCGATTACAGTTTCCACATGTACTGCTGGGCAAATGTGAGTGAGTGAGTATGGTTTTACGCCGCTGTTAGCAATATTCCAGCAATATCACGGCGGGGGACACCAGAAATGGGCTTCACACATTGTACCCATGTCGGGAATCGAACCCGGGTCTTCGGCCTGACGAGCGAACGCTTTAACCACTAGGCTACCCGACCGCCCCGCTGGGCAAAAGAAAGTATAAACATGAAAATTTCATTTGACCGTTATCTAAACAAAACACTGAAAACATAAGGTCCAAAACATAACTATGCTATCCGGATTAAATACACCACCATCGAATAACCATTTCTTGTTTGTTTCATTTTTAGCCACCATCAAATATGGGTTTATACTTTCTTTTTCCCCGGCAGAATGTTAAACTAAATCTTCATTACATTCTCGTAAAAAGAACATGTTGTGCTTGTGGCAGCATTAAATTGTTACAATATATTTCCAGGATGAACGCGCATCAGCACCGGATGTTGGACAAATACGACACGCTGTCGAGGAAGACGATCGAGGACTCGCACTTCTTTCATACGGACAACACAGGGAGTGAGTGTTTCATGATTCATATGTTATTGCTACGAATAATCACTCGGATTAACTCGGCGCATTCTGCTACCCGTATAATGCCTCGGGGCAGTACATTCGTCACCACTCGCCCCTTTCCATAACCTGCAAGAAGACTCGTCGCCCTATCGATGAATGATATGTGCGAAAATACGACAAAGCAATCAGAATGCGCGTATGATTTCAAGTTCTTCTTCACAGTTCGTATAACACAACGGTCCTCATTTAAAATATATCATTGAGTGCCGAACAGAAATAGGATATTTTCCAAAAAAATTACTTTGAAATTTGTTTAAAGGTTGGTGACAGGCACCAACACGCGTTGTGTCTCGTGCACGGGACTAGTTCGAATATGGAGTCCTCCAAATGCTAACCGAGATAACCTAGAATGTATACGAGCCGAATGTACAAGCTTTAATGTCAATGACCTGTTTCAATTGCATGGATCTCAGCTCACATTCAGTTACATTGCTGTGGCCTTCTTTTGCAGGAAACAACTACCTATCAACAACAATAAATGATTTCATCAAGCCGGAAGTCATGACAGGTAGGTCAGGGGCTAAACTACCAGTCAAGCAGTAAGGCAATGCTTACACCTAAAAAAGCACATTTTTTACACCAAAAAAGCACAATTTCTTTTATAAGTAAAACTCAATTTACCATCTATGCAGAAAATTATTAGTTTAAACTCTACAAAGTCGAACGTGATATTTATTGTCTCACTTGAAAATCGGAATATTAACTACGCACTTCAGGATTTTAGTGGTAGATGGTTTGTGATAAAATCTAACATACACGGTCCCAAAATGCAGGAAACAGCGTTTAAGAGCATCTAATTTCTAAACTGTTAGCATGCCTCCAAACCCCACGAGCGGACCCTCGTAAAATTGGTTTTGCTTACATATAAAATTAGCCTAGCTGCGACCCTGCATTGACGCTAATGGACAGTGTATTGTATTGTACAGCTTGATACTGTACACGAGACCCATAGCGAGAAAGACATTTGACGTGGGGCTTGTATTGGTACACTCGCCCGTAAAATATTCACCCAAACACTGAACCCAATCCAAGTGAAGTAACTCTTCTTGGAGTGTCTAACGACTGTGTTGTCAAAAGCTGCTTTAATATCTACGTGTGAATTTAAACATTCAGTGTTTTCAGCATAAAGCTGTATTTAGAATCCATGTTCCATTATAAGGGCGTTACACCATACAAAGCCACCCAAAACCCCGACTACGTCTGCGTTACGGCATTGAAGGAACTGGTTATGCTCTTGTTGTTAGGATTATTGGGGATTTCCGGTGCTGTTTTTTCGGAATTTAAGAAATCGTATCAACAGCATGGAAAGTGGACTTTAAATCATGATTACTACAAACCATATATGCTAATAAGTGCCTCAGCTAGTTAGTCTTTTCTGGAAAAAAAACGCCACAACAAACGTTTCATTTTGTTTGTTTGTTTGTTTATTTAACGCCGCACTCAGCAATATTCCAGCTATATGACGGCGGTCTGTAAATAAGCGAGTATGGACCAGACAATCCAGTGATTGACATCATGAACATCGATCCACGCAATTGGGATACAATGACATGCATCAACCATGTCAGCGACCCTGACCACCCGGTCCCATTAGTCGCCTCTTATGACAAGCATAGTCGCCTTTTACGGCAAGCATGGGTTGCTGAAGAACTAATCTACCCCGAATCTTCACGGGTCCTGTTCGTTATAAACTGTATTTGTTTTCTGTCAATAGGTCAGAAGCTCCTAGCAGCCAGATGAAGAAGCTGCTTGAAGGGGTCAGGAATTCCGCTTCAGCGTGAAATAAAGGCTCGGTGATTCAACGTACCAATAATATATATTACATACATACAATTCACCACAACAGAGATGTACAATACACCACAACAGAGATGTACAATACACCACAACAGAGATGTACAATACACCACAACAGAGATGTACAATACACCACAACAGAGATGTACAATACACCACAACAGAGATGTACAATACACCACAACAGAGATGTACAATACACCACAACAGAGATGTACAATACACCACAACAGAGATGTACAATACACCACAACAGACAAGTACAATATACCACAACAGACAAGTACAATATACCACAACAGACAAGTACAATATACCACAACAGACAAGTACAATACACCACAACAGACAAGTACAATATACCACAACAGAGATGTACAATACACCACAACAGAGATGTACAATACACCACAACAGAGATGTACAATACACCACAACAGACAAGTACAATACACCACAACAGAGATGTACAATACACCACAACAGAGATGTACAATACACCACAACAGAGATGTACAATACACCACAACAGAGATGTACAATACACCACAACAGAGATGTACAATACACCACAACAGAGATGTACAATACACCACAACAGAGATGTACAATACACCACAACAGACAAGTACAATACACCACAACAGAGATGTACAATACACCACAACAGAGATGTACAATACACCACAACAGACAAGTACAATATACCACAACAGACAAGTACAATATACCACAACAGACAAGTACAATATACCACAACAGACAAGTACAATACACCACAACAGAGATGTACAATACACCACAACAGAGATGTACAATACACCACAACAGAGATGTACAATACACCAGAACAGAGATGTACAATACACCACAACAGAGATGTACAATACACCACAACAGACAAGTACAATACACCACAACAGACAAGTACAATATACCACAACAGACAAGTACAATATACCACAACAGACAAGTACAATACACCACAACAGACAAGTACAATACACCACAACAGAGATGTACAATACACCACAACAGAGATGTACAATACACCACAACAGAGATGTACAATACACCACAACAGACAAGTACAATATACCACAACAGACAAGTACAATACACCACAACAGACAAGTACAATACACCACAACAGAGATGTACAATACACCAGAACAGAGATGTACAATACACCACAACAGAGATGTACAATACACCACAACAGACAAGTGATTATGATGTTTATTAGGATATATTTTCATTCCGGCCATCAATACATCTATTTGTTGTATTTTATATATGATTTCTATTGGAAAAGTTTTAAAGTGCTCCTGAGGAATAATAAGATACTGCAGTGACAAGCCATGACTTCTTCGAAAATATATTGGGGATTGGATTCGGGATATAAATTTTACCAAATAATGTTATATCAAGAAGCAAACAGCATCAGTGTCGTGTTACCACTACTTACGATATGCTTAATTTGTCAGTATTAGCCCGTGGGCTTTCAAATGAAAACATAAGGTTGAATTTCGTTTTTTTAAGCTTAATGGACTTGTTTGTTCTTATTTCGCTTTAAATTGTATAAACCTTTGGTTTTCTGCTGTTTTTTCCTCTCTCCATGTGTGTACGGTCAGTATTTAGTTTCATTATTTATTTATTTATTTTATTAGCTAAATCGATTATTGAAGACGCATTGATTAGCGACATGTGTTACAACCTGATGTATTCCATGTTCAAGTGCGTGTATCTTCATCTCAGTGCAGATGTTCATGTTTGTATTTTAACTCGTTTTTTGTTACTTAATCTTTAATGTAGACACATGTTCTGTTATGGCCTATATAATTCTGTCGCATTTTCTTAATTTATTGTATGGTGTTTTATTGTACCGTTAAAGCCTTTTCCCCCTGTTTTATTAGGATTAGATTTGTTTAGTTTACTTTTTTTATGATACCTGTTGTATATGTTTTGTAATCAAAACACATCGTTGTCTCAGAGTGACAACTGTTATAAAAAACCATGTGTTGTAGAAGTGGCCACCAATCCTCTAATATAAAACAGTTTGACAGGCTTTATTTCAATAAACCCAACGACTCCGTCGAAATTGTTCTGAATATATAATGAATGAAGCACTAGTACAATACTTGAGTATGTTTTTGGTGATTATGGTTTGGTGTTAAGTTATATTTCCGTAATTGTTGAAGTTAATTTCTTAGGAATACTTGGGTCCCGTGCTGCAATGCGATCATAGAGCTATACGTGGCAATCGTAAGTTCCTTACTTAGAAGCTGCCTTACCACAAATTGCCTCATGTTTCTTATACGATAACCTAGTTATGGCCTAGTAACGGACTGTTCCACTGTTAAAATGTGAAATCCCGATAGTCCAGAAACCCTACAATCTGGACAGTGTTTTGGGGGGAAACGTCTACATATAACAAAGAAATGGTTCTACGTACCGATGACTCGTTAATCCGGACACTGAAAATGTTACAGCCGGATTAACAGGGTTTCATCGTACATAATGCATGAGGTTTATTTTCTTTCGGGTGATGAGTGTTTCTCACGAATCACTTTCGCAGCAGCAAGTTTCGAGGATGAAGGAAAGAAAGTCGCATTCACAGATGCTCAGCCCCGACATTGTACTTGACGGATAATGACTATCGTGTCGTTTCTAAGATTTGATACTTTCAACATGTTGTTTTCATCATTTTATATTTTCAACTCAAGTGTTCATAATAAATCATCTCATCTTCACTTGTGTTTTGTCCACAATGCCTTACTTGTGTTGTATTATATTGTGTACCAGGATCCGCTGGCCCAAATTGGTCCCGATTATGATCCTTGGGTTGGGCACATACAGTACCCGTGGCTTCCGCCTTTGGTCTGTCGCCCCTCGTTGGTTTAGGGATGCCGTTTTCTGGATCTTTAATCGTGGTTCTTTTTCGCACCGGGAACATCCTGGCGCGTCTGGTAACTCTTGAGTCTATCTATCTGGCAGTGAACACAACAGTAAACTTGATTCATTACAAGTCACTTTTGATCAAGAAATAAATGATGAGTGGGAATTGTTTATCGTACAATAAAACTCAGGGAGAATAAACCATGAGGGGCGCAGTGTTTTGTTGTACGATAAAAAACGACCACTCGTCGTTTATTACTTAAATGAGACATCAACATTATGTACAGCCTCAAGGATGTTGATAAAATGTACAAGCTTTTAAAATATCAACCCCTGTTTAAATAATGATGACTCCCTGAATAGAATCCGACCTCGGCAACGTCGAACAAGTGCATTTTATTTACATGTGGGTATTTCCCTCATATTCTCACAATCCTCGCGTCGATTATCTGTACCTTTTCTCCCAATACTGATTGTCAGATCTCTCCCGGTTTTGGATGCGATAGTTAGGCGATCGCGTTTATGTTCGTTGCCCAGCTACATCTGTGGGGAACAACTCACTAGACACACCCCTCTAAAAAATAACGTCGTCAAACAATGAACGTCATCCAGTTGCTGGAGCATGTTCGAATGTCCAGAATCATGATAGAATAATGTTTTATCCTGAAATAAACCACGCTTCGTTCTTCATTGTTCTTTGCGATTTATCGCGTAGCTATCTTATAGTTTATGATCAAACACCGGAAGATTGACAGTCGTACAATATAATGACGTCCTCAAAAAGTAATGACAAATTACAGTAACATCAGCGCTCTGTTGTCTCGAAACAGGAACGTAATTTGGATATTGTTCCTGATTACAGACAGTTATATATAAACACATTGCCAGAGTTTCCGGTATTGATTCAAAAACCAAGCACTTATTTGTTTTCTTTGTATGGTTCCATAAACCTAACCATAACCAGGACACGCCCACAAACGGAGTAGCGTTTCCTGATTGGCTAATAAAAAATGGGTGGGGCTTGTGGTGCATATGTGTGCTCATCGATTACACTGTTTTCGCATCGCTGTTGTTGTTTTTTATGTCAAGGACTAAATACGCAGCCGGTGACGTGAATGATGTCTCATTTACAACAACTGACTTCAATAATAGTTAGCGTTACGGAAGTATTAACGTAAAACCCATTACATGCAGTGTTGTGCAAATTCGGCAGTCTGTCCCAGTTTCTTCCTTGTCCTATATCGAGGACATGACATAAAGTTCAGTAAATCATATGCACTCGTGAAGGTCCGGAGTAGAATAGGTCTTCAGCAACCCATGCTTGCCGTTAAAGGCGACTGTGCATGTAGTGAGAGGATCGGGTGATCAGGCTGGCTGACTTGATTGATGCATGTCATCGTAACCCAATTGCGTGGATAGATGCTCATGATGTCAATCACTGGCTTATCTGGTCCAGACTCGATTATTTACAGACCGCCGTCATATAGCTGGATTATTGCTGAGTGCGGCGATAAACAACAAACAAAGTGCATCATATGGTTACCGGGTAATATGTTCACGCTTAATTCTTCCTTGTCATATATGGAAGACGTTCTAAGTTTTAAATCTATATATATATTTAAAGACATAAACAGGTAGGCGTATTCTTTGAGTGCTGACTAAGCAACAGTACAGTTCATTTTTTTAAATTGTGTCCCTAACTTAAGATATTTTCAATTGAAAATCAAACATGTGTTAAATCAACTGAGAGGTATAGCTTCTTTTGCTCTCCAGTTTACAATGCTAAACAAATTACACGCATTTCTTTCGAGACTCCAGCACCATGGCCACCATGTTGTGTGATGCCAGCGTGTACTGTCTGGATCCCTCGCGTTGATGACCACCTCATTTGCATACTAATCGGCCGGTGTACCGGCAAAGGTCAGGACATATGGATGGGGAAGGTCCGTCGTTCATCAGCCATTAGGGAGGACAGCTACATCACGCTTTAACTTGCTGACATGAAATTGGAGACTTGTGGTGGTCAGTGGTTGAGACGTGGACAATAGACAGAAGGGAAACTTGAACTGCTTCCTCACGCTTGGTTTGTAGTTATAAGGTGGTGGTCAGATTGGCAGTGTAGTGGATGAATATGACCCAGTACAGTAAACTCCGGTTATAACGAACTAAAAGGGACCACTAATTTTAGTTCGTTATAACCGTAGTTCGTTATAAACATATGTACGGCATATGTACAACAAATGGCCGGGACTAAAATATAATTTCGTTATATCGGTCAGTTCGTTATAAGCCTGTTCATTACAACAGTAGTTTACCGTATCAGCATTTTTATATGTATTCTATTAAATAGACGTTTCATTTATTGAAAGAAGTTGGACTTAAAATTAAGTTATTAATTTCAATACCTGACAATGAGGAATTTGTGATATCAATATTTCGATGTATTGATATCTAAAATTTACCATGGTTTTGTTTCGAAAGTTTAATTTGCGATAATGTTACTTCGTTTAAAAGATGATAAACTGAAATGATTTTTAGATGTCAACATTTCGATTTATTTGCTAATCTGTTTTATGGGATGCGATATTGATTTCATGGATATCTAGAAATCGATTTATGATATCAATATTTTATTATGTGAATAATTGATAACTCAAGATATCTCAAAATAAGTATTACGGCGCCTCATAGACATCAACGTCAATTCAGAAAGGGGAATCCGAGCGCTCTTTGGGGAACGCGTTGTCAATCAATTACTGTACGCCGTACTATGGCGAGAAACATGAGCGCAGTTATCAGAGAACAACTGACGAGGTACGAGAATGAAGGTTATCTGTAGGATGTTAAATCCCGGGGTGTGAGACATACATTTATTCACTAGGGATACACAATTCATGTATAAAAATATCACTACCCATTATAATAACTCCCGCATTACCGGACTGAAGGGAGCGTGCTCGTACTGCTTTTGTAATGTACGTACGCGAAGAGCCATGTGAAGGGCTGGCTCCTAAAATGCTTGTGTGAGGTACGTACGCGATGAGTCATGTGAAGGGCTGGCTCCTGAAATGCTTGTGTCATGTACGTACGTGATGAGTCATGTGAAGGGCTGGCTCCTAAAATGCTTGTGTGAGGTACGTACGCGATGAGTCATGTGAAGGGCTGGCTCCTGAAATGCTTGTGTGAGGTACGTACGCGATGAGTCATGTGAAGGGCTGGCTCCTGAAATGCTTGTGTAATTTACGTACGTGATGAGTCATGTGAAGGGCTGGCTCCTGAAATGCTTGTGTGAGGTACGTACGGAAAGAGTCATGTGAAGGGCTGGCTCCTAAAATGCTTGTGTGAGGTACGTACGCGATGAGTCATGTGAAGGGCTGGCTCCTGAAATGCTTGTGTAATGTACGTACGTAAAGAGACATTGAAGGGATGGCTCCTGAAATGCTTGTGTGCGTTACGTACGTAAAGAGACATGTGAAGGGCTGGCTCCAGTAATCCTTGTGTGCGTTACGTACGGAAAGAGACATGTGAAGGACTGGCTCCTGAAATGCTTGTGTAATGTACGTACGTAAAGAGACATTGAAGGGATGGCTCCTTAAATCCGTGTGTGCGTTACGTACGTAAAGAGACATTGAAGGGCTGGCTCCTGAAATCCGTGTGTGCGTTACGTACGTAAAGAGACATTGAAGGGTTGGCTCCTGAAATCCGTGTATGCGTTACGTACGGAAAGAGACATGTGAAGGGCTGGCTCCTTAAATCCGTGTGTGCGTTACGTACGTAAAGAGACATGGAAGGGATGGCTCCTTAAATCCGTGTATGCGTTACGTACGTAAAGAGACATTGAAGGGCTGGCTCCTTAAATCCGTGTATGCGTTACGTACGTAAAGAGACATTGAAGGGCTGGCTCCTTAAATCCGTGTGTGCGTTACGTACGTAAAGAGACATTGAAGGGATGGCTCCTTAAATCCGTGTGTGCGTTACGTACGTAAAGAGACATTGAAGGGCTGGCTCCTGAAATCCGTGTGTGCGTTACGTACGTAAAGAGACATTGAAGGGTTGGCTCCTGAAATCCGTGTATGCGTTACGTACGGAAAGAGACATGTGAAGGGCTGGCTCCTTAAATCCGTGTGTGCGTTACGTACGTAAAGAGACATGGAAGGGATGGCTCCTTAAATCCGTGTATGCGTTACGTACGTAAAGAGACATTGAAGGGATGGCTCCTTAAATCCGTGTATGCGTTACGTACGTAAAGAGACATTGAAGGGCTGGCTCCTTAAATCCGTGTGTGCGTTACGTACGTAAAGAGACATTGAAGGGATGGCTCCTTAAATCCGTGTATGCGTTACGTACGTAAAGAGACATTGAAGGGATGGCTTCTTAAATCCGTGTGTGCGTTACGTACGTAAAGAGACATTGAAGGGATGGCTCCTGAAATCCGTGTATGCGTTACGTACGTAAAGAGACATTGAAGGGATGGCTCCTTAAATCCGTGTGTGCGTTACATACGTAAAGAGACATGTGAAGGGCTGGCTCCAGAAATCCTTGTGTGCGTTACGTACGTAAAGAGACATGTGAAGGGCTGGCTCTTGAAATCCTTGTGTGCGTTACGTACGGAAAGAGACATGTGAAGGACTGGCTCCTGAAATGCTTTTGTAATGTACGTACGTAAAGAGACATTGAAAGGCTGGTTCCAGAAATCCGTGTGTGCGTTACGTACGTAAAGAGACATTGAAGGGCTGGCTCCTTAAATCCGTGTGTGCGTTACGTACGTAAAGAGACATTGAAGGGATGGCTCCTGAAATCCGTGTATGCGTTACGTACGTAAAGAGACATTGAAGGGCTGGCTCCTTAAATCCGT